ATGATGAATCAGGACTACTACATCTTGACAGTCGCATTTATGTCCCAGACTCCGATGATCTCTGTCTTTGCATTCTCCAAAACAATCACGACCACATCTTGGCAGGTCACTTTGGTCAAAATCGGACTCTTGAACTTGTCCGACAGAATTACACCTGGCCACAGATGTGTGAATACATTCGCCACTATGTTAAATCTTGCACTACCTGTGGACATAACAAAACACCTAGACACCACCCTTTTGGCTTACTCAAACCTTTGCCAGTCCCAGAACACCCATGGGATTCCATTTCTATGGATTTCATCGAACAACTACTGGATTCCAAAGGATTCACTGCTATCCTTGTAGTGGTCGACCGCGCAAGTAAGCAAGCAATTTTCATTCCTACTCACGATACCATCAACTCTGAAGAGCTCGCTCAGTTATTCGTTAACCATGTGTTTGCTAAACATGGTGTCCTCAATCATATAACCTCTGACTGCGGCTCCAAATTTGTCTCCCAGTTCACTCGTGCTCTTGCCAAAGCCTTGGATATGGAGCTTCACTTCACTTCCGGATATCACCCAGAGGCCGATGGACAAACTGAACACACTAACCAAACTCTGGAACAGTACATCCACATCTACTGCTCCTATCAACAAGACAATTGGGATACCTTACTACCCATTGCTGAGTTTGCCTACAACAATGCTCCCAACACTTCCACTGGAATCTCCCCATTCTTCGCTAACAAAGGCTATCATCCCAATATCACCGTACATCCTGAATGCAACATCACCTCCGCTCGGGCCCATGACTTCATCGTTAACCTCGACAAGCTCCACCAATTCCTTCGAGATGAAATCACTTATGCTCAGTCCCATTACAAGTTCCAAGTGGACAAGCAATGGTCCCTGGCTCCTGAATTCAAAGTAGGTGACAAAGTCTACCTCAGTTCCAAACATATCAGAACTACTTGCCCTACTGCAAAATTTGCCGAAAAATTCCTAGGACCATTCAATATCATTGCTCAGCCAGGATCCCACTCCTTCACCCTCAGACCTCTGTCGGACCTCCACACCATTCACCCTGTGTTCCATGTCTCCCAACTCGAACCCATGGAAACCAATACTATCCCTAACCATACCCAACCTCCTCCACCTCCAGTTGAAGTCGACGGTGAAGAACAGTATGAGATATCTCAAATCCTCAACTCTAAACTCGACTGTCAGTTCTGCTGTCCACTCCTATACCGAGTCCAATGGTTGGGTTATGAAGGTACTGATGAAGAGTTTGCCTGGATCCCCGCTACAGAATTCTCCATGGACAAATACATTGAAGATTTCCACCATCGTTACCCAGACAAACCAGGACCTGCTATCCAAAATCACCATATGCAAAGTCTCCCTCAAACCCTCGCCCATTGCTTCTTGACCTATCCATAACTTATCGGCTCCCTACAGTCTCTGCTCCTTGAATTTCAAATCAAATCCTGGAAAACTATTGCAAATTACCTTCCCAATTGGGAATGGGACCCATCGGATGCCTATTTCTTGCTTTCCTTCTCCCTCTTACTCACTTGAGCCTACAAGCCAAGATATATAATTATTGCCACCGGGGCCTACACTATCAAAACCATGTACAACACAACATCCAAAAAATTATAACAAGTCCAAGAAGGGCGCCTAGGATTCCATGCGCACCAACTCTCCCATCACCACATCCTCGTCCACCCTATCTTCCCTTCCACTTCCTTCCTCCTCCTCATCACTCATGACAATAAGCTCCAGCTCATCCAGTGCCGGAACTCCAATGGCACCTGTGCCCGGGCACATCTCATCCTTCTTCTTCTCCTCAGGATCCAATTCCCCTTCAGAATCCTCTACCAAAAACTCATCTGCATCATCCAAATACCTCTTCCACAATGCCCACTCAATCTGACAGCCTCCGAGTGCATAGAACTTGTCCCTTGTGTCCAAGAAATGGTCATGATGTTTGATGGCCAATTGGAGACCGTCTTTCCTGAGACAGCCATACCAAACTTGCATGTTGGCGACCTCGAAGGGATCCATGGCGTCGAGGGTTTTGGTACCCATCACATGGGCATTCCACATCTGGGCAACGTCCTTGTCAAGTTGCATACGCATCATGATCCGTAGGGCCTCCGAGTTCACATTCTTGAGGTTTCTGAGCTCGACCTTAGACGCCGTCCATTCCTCCCTAAACTCCTCATCAACGAAACCTGATGGCCATTCTGGTGTGTCACCCTCATGGAAGTCGTCCACAAGGTCATCAACCCAGCTGCTGAGGAAGTCGACCTTCCCCTCTACCCTTTCCAAGCCTTCCTGGAAGTTGTCCATCTTGTCACAAAGTTGTTGCAACAGGTACACAACCTCATCGGAACCCATGGACCCTGATCCTTCACCCTGACTAAACATGCACTTGCTCTTCTTCAGCTTACATCGCTCACAAGTGCGCCCACAGCGGATAAAACACTTCACGTCATCTGCCTTACAATGACCACAACAGCTCTACAGAGCAAGTCAGCATAAGCTACGGGACCCTATGGAAGTAACTTACCATTACTCTTATATTCTTCATCATCCGCCTGCATCTCAGGCTCAGTCTTCAATTTCTTCAAAGGCCTTCCCGATGGCCCCACTGACTTCCTCTTCCCCACTGACCACCACTGCACTAGACTTGATCTTACGCTTCCTCGAAACATCCACTGGCCTCCGAATTGGTCGCCTTGCCCTTACCCTTCCTATCCTTCCTCTGCTTTACCAATTTTTTCAACGCCTTCTCCTTCGGGTCCTTCTCCCACTCGTCATCTCCTGTCAGACCTGCTACCAACCTTGCTCCCCTCATTCCCATCTACCTTCTCCTTCTCCTTCTCCACCTCCACAGCTTTGCTAGCTTCCACCAAAGCCTTGGCCTTGGCCTCACCTTCTAACTTCTTCTTCTCTGTGGCCCTCCTTTCCTCCAAGGCCCTGGCCTCCTCTTCCAACCTCTGCTGCTCTGTGGCAGCCGCCTCTGCCTTTGCCTTAGCCTCTGCCTCCTCTTGCCATTTCTTCTCCGTGGCCTCCCACTCCTCCCTCTCCTTCCTTGCTTTGGCCTCCGCAACCTTCCTCTCCTGCCCCAATTTTTTCTCTCGCCGTTCCAACTCCAGAGCCTGCCTCTTTTCCTCCTTTTGTTTCTGTGCTTTCCAGGCCTCATGAGCCTCTGCAGCATCCTCCCTAGCTTTCTCCATGGTGTCCCGCTCATCATAAAAGGCTTCCAGGTCTTCAGGCCGAATATCTTCGGGCATCAGGGCAGGCTCGTACGGTTCAGGCGTCACAGAAACATGGTACTCAATGGTTGATGACATGACAAATGATGAGGATGAAATTCAGAAAATAGAGGAGATGGTGGTGGTAGGAAGCTAAGAGGTGAAAAGCCACGTGGTCACACTCGGCCATCGGGATCTGCGTCCTTGAGGGCAAGAACACTAAGGGGGGGATACTGTAACAAGCATGCCGATGGAAACCTGACTTCCACTCAACCCAACAAACCACAGCCCAGAATCCTATGGATTCCGATTCCCACTTTCTATTTCATATTCCATTTTATATTTCACTTCTCCATTACAATTTATCAGTAGCCCAACATTGGTAGCAAACATGTCATCGGACCCCATCGGCTACCAACTGGTAGAATACATCCTCCAACAACCCTAGAATGTAGAGCACTCCAAGTAGGAACTAGATCAGACTCCTAACTAGTATATAAGCCTTAGAATTACCCTGTAAATACTCAGTTCGAATATCAACTTGGTTCAGCCCAATCTCTCTCTCTGACTCTTAAGTCACACTCTCGTTCTCCAGTCTGTGGAACTCTGATCCATTGGACTTATCTCTTGCCTCGTCTCTGCCACTCCACGGACTTCCATCCATATCCATCTTAGGGCTTCGGCTCAGGGGTGACATTGCTAATAGCTTCGCCTACACCCGATGCATCCCGTGGCATTTTGCTATGTGCACTTACTGCCGCAATCCTATTGGCACGATCCTAACAGTATAACAGCCTTAGTAAAGACTGAGGAAAGGTCACGGCATTAGAGCTAATGCCACGGAATTGCTATTTGAGCTGTAGAATTGTGGCAGTGCTATGGAATTGTGGCTGTGCTAGACAATCAGATGGGATTCTAAATCCATGAGATCAACAATCAGGTGCCTGGCAGAATTAATGGAAGGGGCACATAATTGATGTGGGGTACAAGTGGGGAAGGATAATTGGCGGCATTAAGCAATATTGCCAGGATTGAAATAGTAGGTTTGTGTGGTGGCTGGGGAATTAGCTATCTGGTAAAATCTGCGAATTCTGAGCATACAGAGCCTGGAGGCTCATCAGCATAGCGGGATCTGATGGGCTTTTAGCTTTCTCCCCATGTCTCACTTTTCCCTTGGACTATCACCACAGAAAAAGCGCATCATATACTAACACATATATACCAGGAATACTCTTTGGAAAGGCAAATAATCGAGGGATACCATTATAAACACAGCCAACGATGACTTAAGTTATACAGCTATCCCATGTAACTGCAATTTTTTATAACTGTTATATATGCCGCAATATTATCACTTATAAACCCAATGAACAATGGCATAGCCTTATAGCCTGACCTGCAGGGGACTCGAGGTAATATCCATTGATCAACGTTCAAGCAGTTTACAAATGTATTGCAACAGATGGTCTTCTCTTATGAACACTTGCCAAGAAGAGGTTCTTCAGTACTCTCAATTCAATCATGGTCATAGACAGGCCAAGCAAATACATTATGAACTACAGTGAGACAATATTTGGTACAGTAATATAAAGCAATACAAAGAGCAATACAGGTACAATGAGCAAGCGATTGAATGCGGTCAAAATGGGGCTTGAGGATATGCAGCAAAATAAACTTTAAGACTGTCAATCAGAAATAGACTACAGCAATGAGTGAAAAAAACATACAAGTCTAAGTGCCTTAGCATCAGCGTCTAGTTGGTTTCCATGGCATTATCATTATCGTATTCAAGGGTAGCATCTTCAATGGCAGCGGCAGCAGGCAGCATTGACCCGGGCTTTAGCATGAGCCTCTCGACAAGTAGCCATCCTTGCAACTGTGCTCTTGGGAGGGTGGATGTCCTCTGATTTGTCCATGTCCGTACGTTTGTTAGGGTCCCCAAACACTTGCCTAGATAACATAAACTTGCGAACAACAAAGAGAGCATGCAGTACATACTCATTCCACCAAGTGAGAGTCTCGAGCGCCCACTCAGTCATCAGGGTGACTCTCAAACAAATCGACGATACTATTGTAGAAAACAGAAAGGTCGAATGCACCATCTTGTTCAGTCCATCCATCCTTGGAAGATAAGGTGTAGCGGCCCTATGTCAATTCATCAATGCTGGTCGGTGGTAGGAAAATGAACTCACTTGACAGGCCACATAGGCAATTTGCCTACCCGTGACTGTGGATAGGCCATTGATCTTGGAAATACTGTCTCGCTTGGGGCCATCTCGCTTTGTTGGGTCAGCCGTTGCTGCAAAAGATGTGTAGATATACCTGTGGTGGAAGGTTGGCAGTCAGACAAGATAACAGAAGAAAATGACATACATGCAAAAGGAGGAATCCTCTCATCAGCCCCTTTTCCTTGTCCTCCAGGTCATACAGAAAAGAGAGCCATTCGGAGGCGGTAACTTTGACCTTTCCATTTGCTAGGTCATAAAGAAAATGGTCACTGTATTCAATCAAGTAAGCATTTGTCTGAACAGAATAAGAAACATACCTTTTGTTAAATTTCTTGAGATGGATTTGGGGACAGAGAAGGTGCCCTGTATCTATATGGTTAAAGCCTTGTCCTGTCTTATGCACTAGTTTCAGAAGTGCGAGAATGTTGTTGACCAGGTCTTCAAGGCAGAGCATCAGAATGTTGTACCGAACCTTGTTGGTGTCGGTGCCCTGAGATTCCTTTATGCCAAGACGAAACTAGGGGAGAGACAGAAGTAATATTCAATGAAAAAGCCCATAGGACTTATCTCTTTGATCATTGCGGTCATTCCAATCTCGGTCTTAGGAAAGCATCCTAAGGGCCTCCCAGATTGTCATGTCATGCTCTAAGATTTCAGCGAGAATACTGAACGACTTCTCATTCGGAGTAGTGTACAGAAGGTCCTTAATATCTATTTTCAGTCTAAGACTTTGTCAGTGATGATTAGTGGAGAAGGAACAAGTACACACGCGATAGCCTTATTGGAGTGCTTGGCACCTGCCCACATAATATCGTCTACTGGAGTGAATAGTGATATGGTGTGAGGAATAAGCTTGCCAATTGTGTGACACATATTGAGGACCCAATTCTGTCTGAGAGGCAAAGAATTAGTGTGATATATGCGCATATATCCTGTAAAATGCATGTACCTCTTGGAGTATCCACGGCAATACCTCTTCTTCCTAGGGCCCACTTGGTTCTTCTTGCGACGCTTCTGTCCAACTTCGTTGCCATCCTCATCATCATTACCACCCTCTCCTTCATTCTCACTCTTGCTCTCATCTCCAACATCATCCTCACTCCCGAATCCTAGCTCATTCGCACTCTCGTCACCCTCCTTGAAGTCTTGACCTTCATTCTCAGATACTTCTTGTGCATGATCCTCCAGGTCTTCAGGTTCGATAGCGTCAGATGTCTGAGGTGTTGGAAACCGTCGTCCGAGTGATTTGTTGGTATCCTTAGGTGCCAATACTCGTCGAAGAGGTACTGCTGCTCCCTGCTGGGCTTGTGGTTTTGGCACTGCATGGACTGGTCCCTTGCTTTGAGCTGATTTCACCTGCGCCGTCTTGCTCGATGGCTTGATGTCCTTGGTCAATGACTTGACAACATTGCTCGATGGTTTGGTGGCCTTGTTCAATGGTTTGTCAGCCTTGCTAGAGGGCTTGACAGCCTTGCTGGAGGGCTTGGAGCAGGAGGAGGCAGGAACCACAGGGCATAGCAGCAATGGGGGAAAGGAAGAAAGATTATTGAATGTGACTTTCTGTCACAGCTGTCACAGTGACTGGCCAGTAGTCACAGCATGACTCTCCCGCTTGCACCTTACGCTTGCCTTGTGCGCTCATCAGTTGTTACTGTCAACATGCACTGTAGCACGTTTTCATGGGGCAGCATTTTATAGCAGGTATGTTTTAGCTTAAAACTACTATTCTCATAAAATGTGGCTCACCATACTGTGTTGCAGGTCATGCAGCCTTGGCAACACCCTCTTTTCTGGGTTCTCCTGATCTTTGCTGTCAACATCATAGTATCCTACGTGTGCAATTCATGTGGAAAGTCAATGGCCAATAAAGCACATGTCATCAGTGGACACAAGTCAAGATGTATGAGGCACACATCAAGAAACCAGGAGTATTGCAGTGAGGCTGGGAGAGATTGGGGTAGTGAAGAAATGGTCAACTAGCAGTGGACAAGGGCTTCAGGGCTTGGCTCTATGGTCAAAGAAGGGTAAAAAACCGAGCTCGTCAACCTGAGGAGACGATATTCCTATGACTGTGAGCATTGTTCTACCCTTTTTTCTTGTTAGATATTAATTTTCCATGTTCTTACAGAGTAATACAGCTGTAATAGATGACGACATCAAAATAGAAGACCATGACATGCATCCACCACTGCCTGAACCAGAAGAAGAACCTGCACAACCTGAATACTTGGAACAAGGCCAGCGAAACCACATGATTCCCCATCGTTTTCAAGATTACCTTCCTGTAGCTTGTATTGCTCCCTTACAACGTATGCTGCACTCAGACCACCAGCCCCTCCTCTACCGGCTGCTCCAGCAGTGATAGCTACTCACTCTCAGTCAACCTCTCATGCTTCTACACCTGAATTGCTGCTAGGCATCAAAACAGAACCAAACCTGTTTGGCCTCTATCGGCAATACAAGACTCTGCCTTCGTTTGACCCTGATGATGCTACAACCATCGCAAATCTCTGTGATGCACCTACATTTGCCATACCTCCAGATACCCTACAGCAGCGATCGCCACTCAGTGTATACAGTGTGCACAGTCTAGAGTCAAATGCAGCTAATCTCTCCACCAACACAGAAGCCCTAGACTCTGGACCATGGTTCGCGTTGTTCATGAATCCCACCATATGCCGACTAATGCACTGGTTCTATTCGACCACAACCAAGATGTTAAATGACTTGAACCGTCTGGTGCAAGAAGTTATTCTGGCACCAGACTTTTCTTCTTCGGATTTGCAGAACTTTGATGCCAACTGAGAGGCTAAACATCTAGACACAAATTCTGTACCCATGGATGGTGCCGATGGATGGTTTCATGATCACGTTACACTCCATCTTCCTCAGAAAGATGTTTGCCATAATTCTGAGCAGGAGGCACCGACTCTTGATATTCCAGATGTCTGGCACTGTTCTATGCTTGACGTTGTTTGCTCAGCATTTCAAGACGAGTCATTTTCCCACTTCCATTTGAAAGGGTTCAAGCAGATGTGGCTGTGCCCTGATGGCAGGACAGAGCGGGTGTACGGCGAGGTATATACATCTGATGTCTTTCTCGAAATGAAGGACAAGATCACCCCAGAGCCAGGATGCATGTTGGAAATGGTAGTGGTGCCAATGATGCTTTATTCCGATTCAACATGTCTTGCAAACTTCGGCATGGTGTCACTTTGGCCTGAATATCTTGGCATTGGGCTAATGTCAAAGTATTTTCAGGCACTACCTTCATTCTTTCAAAGCCATCATCTCGTGTACTTTCCTGTGGTTTGTATGATTCATTTCTTAGTTATTTTAACTTGCTAACATATATCTTCAGTTACCGGATAATATTCAAGATGTGTACATGAAGACATTTGGTTCGCCTGCCTCAAAGGAGCTCCTCACTTTCCTGAAGTGTGAGCTCATCCAAAAAATATGGGAGCTACTCTTAGATGTGGATTTTATGAAGGCTTATGAACATGGCATCATTATTGAGTGTGCAGATGGCATCCTACGTCATGTCTACCCATGATTTTTCACATATTCTGCAGATTACCCTGAAAAGTAAGCAAACAGATTCATTCTACTGTCCCAGGGATTGACTTCAAGTTATGTTAGAGTCCTGCTTGCGAGTATCAAATCCCTTGAGTGGTGTCTCTGTCCCTGGTGCCTCATTGTTAAGGAGAAAGTTTTAGATATGGGGATGAAACAGGACCTCTCTAGTCATCAAAGAATGCTCATGTTGATTGTGAACAGCACCAGCAAGAGGTCGAAATGGTTCGTAAATGGATCTTTGAACAAGAATATGCAGTTTCCAGTAAACGAATTGAGAACATCCTTGGTAAGAGATCAAACACAGCAAATCGGGTAAGAAAAATATTTAACTTACTGTTTCAAACATATTGCTGACTCTCCCTTGCAGAACGCATTTTCGACAGCTTTATTATGACACAGCTTCAACTACTATCAAATGCTTGTACCGGATCTGATGCACGAGTCTGAGAGTGGCAGCTGGAAATCTTTATTCACTCACCTTGTTCGCATTTGCCATGAGATCCCAGGAGCCATTCAATGATTGAACAAACAGTATGTATACATTAATCATGAATCTCGTTGATGCTGCTGCTAACTATTGAATAATTTCACTCGCTACCAACATTTGGTTGTTCAACCATCTGGAAATTCAGCAATGATGTTTCAGGGCAGAAGAAGTTTGCAGCGAGAGATTACGAAGATGTTCTCCAGGTATCTATTTCATTCTGGTTTGAGGTACATTGACTAATTGTGTGTTCCCAGTGTTCTTTTCCCTGTTTTGATGGACTCCTGCCTGATAGCAAGGACAATTCGATTGTTATGGACACCTTATTCGTATTTGCGACATGGCATGCCTTTGCAAAAGCTCACATGCATACAGACTCAACAGTTCAAGTTCTACATGCAGTTACATTGTTACTTGGTTGCCAACTTCAGCTCTTCTCATCCATGGTTTGCCCTGAACTTCTGAACGAAGGAGACACCTTCAGAAATGACCGCACTGTGTCCGTCAACTGATACGCACAACCAAGAAAAAAGCAGCAGCCGCTTCTGTCACTGGTGGGATCTACAAGTCAGTCAAAGCCTTCAACCTCTTCACATACAAGAACCATGCTCTTGGCGAACTACCAGTGGACAATTCCGAGGTTTGGGACTACTGATTCATATAGTACTCAGATTGTAAGTGATAACTATGAGTTTCCCTATGTGATTATTATTAATATGCTCTCTAGGGTGAGCAAGAGCATCACCAAGTCAAACTGTTCTATGCACGGACCAACAAGTGAGGCCATGTAAAGCAAATAGCCATTCTTGAGCGCCGCCAGCGACGACTTCAATGAATTCTTGCTGGGCATATATCTAATCTGAAGGCTTCATCTAAGATGTCTCCTAGGATGCATCCAAATGAGAAGGACCCGCTTCCCAAAGGAAGACCCAGAAAGCCATTATCAGATGTCGCTGTCCAGGAACTACCCCCTTGATCTTCACTGATGGCTTGCCGAGAATGAAGGAGATCTTGCCAGTGGTTGTAAGAGGCCTTCTTTGTTTCCTCTGTACATTCTAATGGTAGCTTTTTACTACAGGACTTCATCCTGAAACTCAAAGAACATATTCTTCATCGACTGTTTGTTCATGAGATTGACCTGGGCGACGAGATTACCCCTGGAACAGTTAAGCCTGACTACACATCATCAATGACTGAGTATTCTGCCACAAGGTTCTTAGGATCAATTATACAACATATGATGTTCATCACGACCAAGACTCCATCAATCCTCGCACATGTTCTGATGTTGTCAGTTCTCGCTAATGACCTGGAAGCAGAAACAGTACATCCATACTGGTATGCTCGAATCATTGGACTTTTTCATGCCTGATGTTCGCTACAATGACCCTGACAGTGACTATGAAGACTGACAGGTGTTTCATGTCGATTTCGCCTGGGTCCATTGGTATGGGTTTGATAGTGACCATCATTCTGGCTTCACTGCAAAGCGTCCCCATCACGTTGGATTTGTTGATGGAAATGACCCAGGTGCCTTTGGTTTCCTGGACCCAGATGATATTATTCGTGTGGTTCATCTACTTTCAGTCTACAGGCTTGGTCAAACTATGGAGTTCCTACCACCATCAATTGCTTGAAGACCTGAGGAAAATGATCACAACTATGAGTGGTACTCCGTTGACATGTGCGTGACTTCATTTCTTCTTGACTATCATTAATCTTTGGTTTCAAGATGGGTGGATTGTGATATGACATTCCGTTACTGCGGTCTTGGAGTTGGCCATCAGAGCACCTGGGACGCAACTCGTCTCTTTCGTGATGATCTCTGCAAAGCATACAATCTTCCATGCAATTTATTTGGTACAGAGGACTCGGAGGATGTAGAGATGGCCTGTTCTGATGATAATAGTGATGGCGAGGCTGAGAGGAGGATGAAGATGATGATGAAGATGAAGATGAGGACAGACCTGGATCAGATGAGTTGGAAATGGTCAATATGCCAGATGAGGAGGCTGAAGCAGATGGGGACCAGTGTGAAGATGCTGAAGAAGAGGATTCAGATGTTGATGATGATGATGAATGGGAGGCTGATGAGGAGGCTGAAGATGAAGATGCGGTGGATGCAGAGCTAGACAATGATGCTGAGGCAGAACTGGATGACGTTTGTGATGATGATGACAACGAGATGGGTCTGGAACTAGATTTGGGCTTTGCTGCATTGTAAACTAGTTGTCAATTCATTATGATTCTAAATAAACCTTACTCAAGATATGCTGTAGTTAAAATGCCTTGTAATCCTGACTGAGGACCCTTGAAATACATAATAACCTACAGTAACCCTACACCTTGTTTATTAACATATACCACTCCGCTTAATATTTGTATTGGGATATATACAAAGCAAATGTATATAAGGTAGGTAAACTTTCCTCACTTTTTGTGGTGATATAGACCTGGTGGTCTCAGCATGCATGCCTGTCACTCTCGTTGAACCACCAGGTGCGTTTTTCTCTTTCTTGTGTAGTTCACCTAACTTACGGGTGCTCTCATTGAATTGACAGAGCACAGCGTTATTTCGCACCCACCCTGGACATTATTACTTTGGACTCAAATAGCCACAGAGGACTTACAATGGACTTAGATACTGTACAGACTTTCAAACTCATGGACTATTTACTTTACTATCAGATGTAACGTCTCCCACCCAGCGCTCATACACGTGGTGCCCAGGATTTCCAATTTGACTTGTGCCCAGGGGGCAGTTTTTTCAGTAAACTTGGACGATCGGTCAGGACACTTGTCAACCAATTAGCTAGAACTTTCCATGCTTTTCCTCAGACTTCTTCCTTAATAAGTAGACTCAGGTATGATGCCGGATTGCTAAATCCCAACATAAGTAAACATGATCTACTTGCTAGGCAAACATGCCTGATCACACGGTGCATGTGTTATCCAACACATCTAACATACTATTAGATTGGTGTATCCTAACAAACCCATCTTTACACCTGTCAACAACTGCATGAGCTCCTTGTGAGAACAGTGACTTTCACCACCCTCCCACCACACCACCTCTCAATTTTCCGGACACTATTACACCCCATACAATCAACCAGCAAAATAGTTAGATGACAGACACAACTATAACATTGACATAATATATAGCACATGTATGAAGGCAGGATACAAAACTTCGAAACCAACATGAAGAAAGGAAAACAAATGCAATGAGGATGATGACAATGATGTATAGCATGCAAGCAAAGATAGAAAATAAGTATATGACGAAATAACTGAAGATCAGTCATCTTGTACAGCATCAGCGAAATGCGGATCCCGCAGATCTTTCACTTCGGCATTCTTCCTGTCTCTTTCCAGCCTGGAGAGCTCCCGTCGCCAGAAAGCAGACACTTCTTCCTCCATTACGTCGTCAGATACCGACCTCTCTGAGGCTCCGATACCCATGCCTCTCAGTATCTCTTCTGGCCAAACGCCTGCAGCAAGCTGGACGTTCCCCGATGTGACACCCTTATACGCACCCTGCGTAAAGGATGCGGTCCTAGTAAACGAACGCTTGACCCCTTTAGATCCAAGCATCGTGGAGACTAAGCCAAGACCTTCCAACATACTGACGACGTCTCCGAACTCGCTGCGAGATACGGGCACGAAAACGTCACTGTCACCGCGCCTCAAGACATCCGAATAGAAAACATGCAACTGCGACATTTCCACGGTTGTCGCCACTACGGGGAGACGTGGCGACGACTGCGAACGCTTCGTGGGTGAGGACAAAGTAGACGTCGCAAGCGGTAAGCTGGCTTCCATCCGTTTTGAAGATAGTAAGACCGAGAGAAGCACGAGCCGAGCTTGAAGGCCCAACGACTTGACTTTGGACGCGATATCGTTGCCACATGACCCTGCAGTTGATGAGGAACTGAAGGGCGACGTCTTGTTCAACGGACCGTGAGCCTTGAGAGCTGCGAGAATGTGGGCGGGCGCCACGGAAAAGCTCGATGATGTTTGGACGTCCTTAGAGATATGCAGAGTGGCTGCAATATCAATTGCCCCTCGCAGAATTTCGAAGAGACTTCGCACGTCCCCAGTCAAAGCGGCGACTTTCTTCGTCAATAAAACCAGAGGTGCAGTAGGAAGTAACCTTTTAGCTTCCTCGGCAGATTCTGTGTTGTACAATGGGGCCAGTCGTGCCTGAACAATCAATAACAGCTGCGTCGGGGTGTAAGGAGGGAAGTGAAGTGTCTGCACAGGCGACGAGAATGAGATTGTCGATGATGTAAGAGTATGAGTATTGGCGATGCCGATGATGCGTAATGAGGAATTGCAAGCGGGAAGGGAGAACACAGCCGACAAGGACTGGGTAGCGGAGGCGATATGATCCAACTCATCCAATACTAGAATGCTATGGGAGATCATGAGTTGCCGCAAGAGAGACATAATAAACCAACATGCCATTTATCGTCAAGACCAGATAGAATGTCTTCTAGGGTCTCCCTCCCCTTCCCCTTGGCAGTCTTCTTGGATCGTTTCCGCTTACAAGGTCCTTGAAATTCTTCAGACAGCCGCTCCCATAAAGCATCGACGTTATCAAGCGCCATACAGTTGATTGTAATAACCTTCGTCCCGTTCAAGTCGGTGCCAAGAGATTGGATGAGGGAGTTGACGAGGGCGGTCTTGCCCGTGCCAGGGGAGCCAGAGATGTACAGGCAGGTGATTTGATCTCCGTTGTCGGAAACCGTGATGAAATTCTGAATAGCTGAGCGCTCCTTCTCGCGTCCTGGCATATCAGCTATGCAATTGCAGGTAGCTCGAAGCAAGGCACGCGCTCGAACATGAATAGGCAAAAGTGATGGCGGGGTAGGCGGTGGTGTAGATATGGTTAAGTGTGAGACACCAGCAGTAGGCGTTGAAGGAGGAACCAACGACGATGTAGATGCGCGCCTCTGTGGCACTGTAGGGAGTGGCAGAATTAGAAACAAGGAAACACAGAAAAGAGGAAGTGGACGCACCTGGCCGCCGGCGCGGCGAAGAAAGGACAGCCTCAGTCGATGTCCTCCTGAGGGTACGCGCAGCTCTAGCTGAGATAGGTGACGATGAATCACCGTTGACCGCCCGGATGAGATACGGGGGGATGTTTTCCTTGTTGTCGTCGCCGTCGAGTATTGTTACCGTTGTCTTGGGGCGTTTGGGATTGGGCGTCGGGTCCGGTGTCTGCAGCTGCTCACAGTTCGAGGGCGAAGACAGCTCACTACGGTGAGTGCGCTTGCCCAGAATCGATAGCTGCTTTGAGCGTGGGGTCTGCATCACCGTCGATGTCGATGTCGAGAATGTTGGTCGTGGTAGAGAGTGACCTGCCAAACAAATCATTTTGACTTTGGCATTCAATCTCCGCCATCACCATCAGTAAATAACGCGAGGCGCGACGCGTAAGGCACGTGCTTGACGCGATGGTCACGTCTTCCTTTTGACAACCACCATGGACTCTCAGATACCCGCTAACGAAGACATAGAAATCGAGGAGGGAATATCTGACGACGAAGTTGAGTACGTGTGAATTAACGATACTCTCTAATCCACGCCAAGACTTCCTAAAGATCTCCGGATGCGACTCAGGCAATGGAAAATATGGCGATATCCTTCCTGAAGCAGTTGGACCAAATTTTCGATTCAGACGACGACGAAAGCTCTTCAGAAGACGACTGCCCCAGGACGAAAAGTTCTATCATTAGGCTGCAGCTGGCAGATAGGACCAAACATACGCCACTCGGGTATCGCACAGCAGCATGACTCAGGATCGACACGCTGATTCATACCTCTAGAACCACTGATACGAAATTCATCTCTTATCCACGAAAATGTACCACCGGTAGTGCGCGGCCATTTGGTATGTGCCTTTTGTCTCTATATGCTATATCCCGCCTCAGCCCCTTCAAGCCCAGCTCTTCCGCGTCCTTGATAGCATGCATGAATCCGTTATTAGCGGTGTTCCTGTAACCAAACGGTATTTTAACATCACTTTACCAGTGCTTCCACTCACAATCTGGTAGTGATATCTACTACAAGGACGTACCACTCTTGAAAACCCAGCGAGTCGTTGACAACGTCCGTGCAGGTCTTCTATGGCTGTTACACTGAGCGCATCTTCAATTTGTAGCTTGTCGATGACCTAGCAGCCACGTTCGACCTCGAAAGATCTCAACTGAACGTCGTGGGTGCTACGACACTATCCTAGCCTAACGAATCGTGACGGTTCTTAATCCTAGCGAGCCACGTCAAAGGGACTGATATGCGGATCATCCCTGACATTCCATTTCAACAGTGGAACCTCTCTGTGTCCTAGTGATACTGATGTAATATTCACCGCCAGCCCCAACGTACTGAGCACTGAACTTCTGGGTACAGGGATCACTAATACCTGTTGGCGAAGACATCCGGACGTTCAGTCTGACAGAAGAAATATCATGGGTCCTCATTGTTGAGAAAGACGTATGGGTCCTTTTTCCTCGTCTTCTCTGAGAGGCTTATCTTTCCACATCTAGGCTATATTTCAACATCTCTGTCGTTTTCAGTTAACCAATCACCCGTCTGTCCCGGGAAGGGGCTTACTGATAACTGTCAAGAGTTTTTCTTGGCTTATATCTCCAGGCTTTCACTGAACGTCACTGTAGGGTAAAGGGTACCCCGACATGGCTACACGGCATCTAGTCAAGACACTTTCAGACAACCTGCCTCCCAGGTCGGAATTTTTATGTTACAGTAGAACTAATCTTCTAACCTTCCCGTCGTTTAGTGTCCCCATCATGGCATTAGTTGACAGTGACGCCTTTGGAATCGACATCTTATCGGTTTACAAATATGGAAGCCGTGCTCTTCAGCACGAAAATTATAAGCTCGCTGCAGAACGTGTCAAATGGCTTGGCCTGTGGTCGAGTGAACTAGCGACGTTCGTCACCTATTCCTGTGTTTTCAGATGCTAACTTCCCAGCCAGTCTGGGTATCGACCGCGACGCCCTCATCCCTATCAGTAAACATGATGAGAAAAAGGTTGGTCTTTCTATCTCAGCACGTCTCTTTCTCCCTAACTTTTGCCGGAGGCATTCGAGATGCTTCGCCGTCAGACAAAAATACCGAAGAGATGGAGGTTTGTCCATTAATTAGTATATTTGTGTTCTTCCAATGTCTGACAAGCCGTTCCGTTCGCAGAAAAGAACTCATGCATATGCTTCACAGTCGTCGGAAAGCTGAAATTGAGATCCTCTACACCAGCCACCCAGTCGCCTCTCCTGCTTATGCACCTCTCCCTGATATGACTTCCGACCACCCGAGCGAAACTACTGCTTCTGGCTGTTCGTTTTCTAATCTGGCTTCAGACGATCCTTCTCCCTGCTCAAGTCAATCAACGAACTCACACCCGCCTCTTCTCCAATATTTGATCACCAAGATTACGAGCTTCGTATCGTCTGCAAGGCATCTGTAGTGCGACTTCTTGTAGCTGTTGCATATTCTCATTACTTTGCTTCTCTAACCGAGCGTCGATGTAACATGATCAGTCCCCGATAAGGATAACGAAATTGTGCAAAAGATTATCGATTGATACTCGAAGGCGTCCAGGCTCCTGTGTAGGTGGGTCGAGGTTTGTGGCAGATGAGGTCAAGCTTCTCGCCCTTGATATCAGGGATATCGTACATACACCTTCTGAAAGTCAGAGCACTCTTCGAAATAAAAATAGTCTTACCTCAGGTCTCGGTGATAGAGCTTCGTAGTTTTGGCCGTTGAATATCCCGAAACAAGAAACATGGCGATGTTTGCATATGTAATGATATCTGCTTGAATTGAGACTCCATAGAATCGGAGGTGATCCTTACATGACTGGACGGAAGATAGGATCCACAAGAGCCCACAAATCGGAACGTTTCGGCAATGCCCGAATGACCTGGACCAGCATCAAGCAGCATCATCATATGCGCATATGCGCAATCTCTCCGACTTTCAATATCGTTATCCATGTCTCTTCTGTGTTGCCTCGACCGTCCGATTTCCGGATTCCTAGAACTCTAGTCCTCTGAGAAGAAACATCCGGGCTAAAGAAGAGCATTCTTTCGCAGAGTCGCTTCCACCGGACGTGAAACATGAACAGTGGCCGATACAGTTCCGTTTTTGTGCCATCCGCGTCGCGGACGCGGACGTTTTCTAGCTGCGCCGCGCCGCCTCCCTGCTCATCATCTTCTGAAAAATATGACACTTTGACAGGCGCAAATTTTACTGGCTATCATTAGGTGAACGGAAAATCAATGGATCTATGCTCTCACGTCTGACATTGCATCAAAGCTACTTTTCGTTTTCAGGGGAACACTACAAGATCTGCTGTGTCGAATGCGCTCCTCGAAGCTAGAGAGTAGTGCAAGACGGATATCTTCATTCCAACCAATGTCATACCCAGGTCTCTTTTCGTCCTTCCATTCCCTCTGGAGATCTGATCAACCAACCAATAATCCGAAATTTGGCCGACGCGAAGGAGCGCGAAGGATGCACAAAATCCTCCCTTGTTCCTGGACGTTGAAACTCCACATTTTTGAACAAGCACTTGGCGTTCAATCTACACCTTCGACAGCTCGGTCCTGACACAACCTCGTTTGTTTCGAGTTGATATTCCTTCTTTTGCTGTATCGTTATCTCTTTACCGCCATGAGCGTGCCTGTAGGAGACATCTGAGGTGCCTGGCCAATGCTAGTGGCTCTCATCAGCGTCGACGAACACGCTCTATTTTGAATCCGGAGGCAGAAGAAAGTCCCGTAGGAGATTGTCGAGTGTGTTCCCGCCAAGGACGCATGTGTAACATCGATTGTCGCATATGCCTGTAACGGCACCGACGACCAGAAGACTTGAATCTCATATCATCAGCGCCAATATCGGGGCTGGCATTTGTGGGGTTCACTCGACTATTGGAAAAGGGTGGCTAGGCCTTGTGTGGCGTCTGAGGCAATTATTGACACTATGACGCATGATTAGCCAAGCCTCCTTGTGCGATCATCGGGAATGATACTTGAATGTACGCCTAACGATCCTTTTAATTGTTTAGGACAAGGTTAACACATATTTGGGAAACACCAACAGCATTTCTATTCCGTTTTTTTTTTCCGCTTTCCCTTGACATAATAAGTCTTGTAATTTACTAGCTGTGGCCCAAAGTCGGGTGGACTCGTAGCCGGGTTCTCGTGAAACTCGCACCTCAAGTGTCACGGAGTCAAGAAGGTGATTGTTTAGAGGCAAATTCCATGGTTTGGCCATTCAAGGCTGTTCAGGTACCAAATTCTCACCCAAAGTGCGGCATTTATCTGACCTTTGAAATTGCCTTTGAAACGTAGTCTCTGCTAAATTGAAAAATTATGTCACACGCATGACATGGGACTGATATCTTTTTCAAAATAGAGGGCATGTCCGTACTGACGGATAATTGTGGGTACATGGCTTAGCTCTTCTACCCGATGTTCGGGTAAGGGGACGTGTCTGAACCACGGTTCCATGGTCTGCACCGCCGTCAACGGTCCCTTGTGCCTTACGTACGGTTGATGATTATTATGCTCATCCAACTGTTTCGATCTAATCTTTCATGTAACGCGGCATTTGCTAGAGGCCCGTCTTCTCTACTTCTGGCCGCGAACCAATCGAGGCTCTACTCGTGATGCAGAAGACTTTCCCTGTAGAGAAGTACCGAGCTCGTGAATGAGCGCGTCCCAAGTCTAGACTAGATATCCAATACCGTCGTAGACTGTGGGGGCTTGGGAGGATCCTTCAACTAGGTGAGTGCTGTCACTATCAACAATCCCACATCTGAAAATACAGTAATCTTGTCCAAACAGGGGTCCTAACTCACCAAACTTGCCGCTGTACCCGAGCCACATCTGATCTGTCATGTCTTCGGTAACCTTTTTCCAGCGATCTAGCTGCACGCGCGCCGGACATGTACCAATGCAGGACAGAGCATGACCTTCATAACCTGTACGCGACGTTACAGATGCGCGCCGAGGATCGCAGAAACAAACGTTTAAAAGATGCCCTCTATTCTCACTTTCCAGTCAGTGCTCAGTCCTTCAGCATTCCCTTGCCTTCTCTTCAGTACCTCATCATCAACGACTTCCTATCATGTTCTCCTCTCACATAATGGTACTCACCTTATTCGCAATGCTTCCTATGTCGTTTGCACGACCCACCCCTGCCGGAGGAGACGGCACCCACGACCATTGGCACGGAGGCAACCAAAATGGCAACAACGGTGGAAGTCATCACGGCTGGCAGCATAGCGGTGGCGGAAACCACAATAGTGGAAGCCATAGCGGCTCTTCCTCCGACGGTACATGTAAATCACCAACCACTCGTGTGGAATGGTAGGTCCTCAATCATTTTGTCTGACTTCAGTTTCTGAACTCTGGCGCCAGGACGACATTGACACAGGATCAGAAAAACGCGTATTTTGAAGCCGAGCTATGCCTTCTGGCAGCACCCGCTCAACTGCAAGCCCGGATAGACGGTGTCGTCTCCCGATATGACGATCTTGTAAATATATTTCCCCTTCCCACCCGGTCTTCTTACTAACCTGATTATAGGTGGGATCTCACGTCAAGCAGGGGAACATCATGGGAGGCGTAGACTTGTGGCACGTTACTGGACAGTATGTCGATGCTTTCATTACACCAGATATTCTGCTGACCTCATTTATAGGTTCTTAGCGGTAAATCCTCTCCCACAGTATAAGTACCAGTTCCTAACTATGTGATAGGCGCATCGCTACTACGTTCACACTCACGAATACTTGCTCCGTAACGAGTGCGGCTATACCGATCCGGTATGTTCATATCCAAATAACGATCCTCCGGTTTTCATGGGCCCTCTTTTCGCAGCTTCCCTACTGGAACGAACAACCCGACGCCGGGTCATTTGCAACATCAGAAACCGTACTCGATTTTGGCGGTGAAGGAATTGAAGAGAATGATTATGCCGTGGTAGATGGACCTTTTGCCAACCTCACTCGCTACCTTGGGCCTGGCACGACCAACACTGCGCACCTGTTGACTCGTGAAGGCGACCCTGAGAATTCTAAGCTCGGCAACCAGACGTATGTGGATGCGGTCATGGCCGAGACCTCTTTTGCGGCTTTCCAAAAACTTCTGTTCAATACGTTGCACGCTGCAGGCCATGGCGGCGTTGGTGGAGATGTAAGTTACACTTCAGCTATTGGCGAGGCTTTCAATTTATACCTGCTGCTTCTAGATGGTCAACCCCATCTCATCGCCTGACGACCCCATCTTCTTCATGCACCACGGATACTTGGACTATGTTCGTGTTCATCGCTCCATTTAATGCTCCGTTGCTGACTGGACCCTTTCAGGTCTGGTGGAAATGGCAAGGACGAAATGATACGAGAATTCACGATCTAGAGGGTGCCGGAAACGAAACACAGGCTGAACCAGCCACCGGCTATGTGGTAAACTGATCGTTCTATGTTAGTTATCCAGGAACTCACCTTTACACAGCCAACGTCAGAAACTACCAACCTATACATGTATGATATATTACCCAACATCACTGTGCGTAAGGGTACTACCATTTCACGATCCTAGTACTGAGGATTGTCTTAGGTCGGCGACGTTTTGGACACTCAGGGCGGATACCTGTGCTATATCTACGCCTGATGCAGCTCTCATTTTCAGTCATCTATCTATTGGTTTATCTATTCTCTTTTCATGTTATAGGTTTATATGGGACATAGAGACTCTTTGGCTGGCCTATTAACTCGAGCCGCTGGAGACGTTCTTTCAAAGCTAGTGTAGATTGATATGGATCTTATATTCCAGCTAAAGCTGCAGACGCGTAAAGGAGAAGGCAGACTTGTTGTGTAATATGATGATGATGATGACGATGAGGGTTTTTAACGGCATATGGGGTGTCCGTGTCCGTGTTCCCAGAATTGTAGCCATATATATTTGTACCAGATCTATTGTATGACATGTCAAATGTAGGCAGAAGCAGAAGGGAAAAAAGAGGCTTTCGAAGACAGCGATGTAGGAGACCTTCGTCGTGTCAGTCCTTGACCAGAAGTAGAGGGAATCGCAAATCTTACAAGGTGTTCAGACGTTCAAGCCAGGCGAAAACAAGGAGTATTCAAGCGAAAAAGTAGGACAACAGTAGGGACATTCCCCTCCCTCCTAGTCTGGTCCTCCGATTGTTGAGAAGGCCTGCGATATCTTATACGTAAATACGTAGTTTAGCGCGACGAGACAGTAGAGAGGGGTAATTGCGAGGGAGATACAGATCTAGGTTTGATTCAACAAACAGCTTACTCCCAACAACACTACGTGCTTACCACTACGTGGACTCGGACTCGGGGGCGATGCTGGCGGTCCACTCTAGTATGCGAAGAATCGGGAACCAGAATATCGAACTGATGTACAGATAGCTCTTGATGAGTACGAGGTACAGGAGGAGCTTGAGCACGGTGCCTAGAGGAAAGGCAGCTAGGGTAGGTAGGTGGAATAACCTTGATGCAGCAGTGGGGAACATGATGGATGCAGGAAGTTGAAGTCGTTTCAAAGTCCGACTCACTGACAGCCACAGACGCGCATTGCACGTGCGCATCAGACCAAACTACGCCTGTCTTGCTTCTCCTTTGTGGCTCGCCAACTCTCAAAAGAACGGTGAGCTGAGCCCAGCAACAAAAGGAGCAGTATCAACCTCATGACTACAGACTCACATAACCAGCTTACCGAATTCCTAAATAGATTCGTACTAAGCATGCATGGGGTGGGTAGGATAACTTGCAAAGAACGAATATACATCACGTATTCCGTTTGAACCGGTCCAAAGCAGACGGTTTCTGGTTTTCCCCACCGTTCGCAGCCGCCATCTTAGCACGCCGTTGCTCCTCTTTCTGTTTTTCCATCTTCGCCCGAATCGCGACCTATATACAGTTATTAATAAGCCTAGTATAACAAGACACGATAACTCACAGCTGTCGGATCAACGACGTTCTTGCGCTGCTTCCGAAGATATCTACAGGATCATTTGTTAGATCGCAGAAGAAAGAGAAAGGGCCATCGTACCTCTTCAAACTCTTATTTTTACCTCTCATCTTCTTCTTTTCTCTCTCCTCTTTCTTAGCCTCCGGATCTCCACTGACCTCATCATCACTATCATCACTGAGAACTTCAGTTTCATCAGCCTTGCCCTGCACCCGGAGCCTCTCCAACCTAGGCAAACGAGCAAACGGAATCTCAACAGAAGGCTTTCCATCAAACGTCGTCTCTGTCGTCAACTTCGACGGTGGCGCCAGACTCCCGACAAACTCTGGATCGAGGGTGATCAAGTCCGGTTGGATCTAAAAAGAATACACTCTCTGAGCACAGAGCCAACGGAAGGAAAGAAAGAACCACTCTTACTTTGTCAAGAAGGGCCTTCACCTCCTTCTCTCTCCTAGCCTTCTTGTTCTCAAACGGATCAGCCTCGGTGCTGTCAAAGTTGGGTTCACCAGATCCGGGTACCAAGATACTAGAGAGGCCAGCAGAGTGACCTATAGTGAGGATATCCTGGAAGGGCGCGAACCGGAGTGACGTCAAAGGTCGATGAGGCACCGGATGGGTCATGTAAAGAGGCGGTTGCGTACTCATATGCACTGGGTTGTGTATCGTTGGAGCAGTGTATACCTGTCAGGCCAATATTTTAGATCCTCATGGCGGAATGATAAAATCAATCCGTTTCTCACGTTGACGGTACCTCCCGATGCTACAGCCAGAGCACCTTTCGCACTCCACTCTACTTCTGCGTACCCACCTCTCGCAGACCACTCCCTCACCGCGCCCTTCCAGTTCCGACAGTCCCACACTTTGACCGTCTGGTCCTTACCGGCTGTGGCCATGTACCGTCCGCCTTGGCTCGGATCCATACTCACACTGGCTACGGGACCGAGATGTGCGAGGAGCTGAACTGCAGGGTGCGGAAGATTGGGTGTCCAAAGGGTCACTGTGCCATTCTGGTGGCCGAGATGGATGACAGCAGTTGTGTAGATTCTGTGTCATAGGCCGTACAGGAACCAAGTTTCGTCCGGTGTTCGCACAGTAGCTGTCCCGTAGATGTATCTTGGTATTTAAGGTATACCCGGCATTTCCCTGCAGGGTATTAGCAGGCGTCAAGGAAGTAGAAAGCGCGCCTCACTATGGTAGCCAGCAGCCAATGATACGGAAGAAATTCCATCCGAGTAGGTTCGATGTGTGCCTTCAGACAGTGAAGCTCGACGCCGTCACGATCGTAGATGAAGACGTACTTCTTCTGCGCGACGGCAAAATGTGAATGATCGTGGAGATATCTGGAGAATACGTTAGAGATGAGCACAAGGCAAAGGAGGGGAAAAGCACGTTATATCACGACATGTTTCCTGTAGCTGCAGCTCAGTATGAAGGGTACCTGCTTGCCAGTCAAACGACGCAACATGGCCCTTGCTTCCAACAACAGCCAGATGCCTGAAAATCATGAAAACTATGCACAAGGGTACATCATTCGAAGACATACCGTCCGTTTCGCGTATATCGCGACCTATACGGCCCACCTTCCAACTTCCACTCTCTCCTTCCTCGCGCACCCTCCTGCCCCGCTCCTTGGACAATTTCATCCTGCCCGACCCGCCATGTCCTATCCATCTCTCCCTCGACCTCCATTCGTCCGGCCTCTCCCGTCAGCAAGAGTTCAGCATCTTCTATCAAGGCTTTTGCTTCTACAGCTCGCGCAGACTGGCGTGATAGCTCCGTACGAAGCTTTTTGTTGGCAATATGCTTGTAGGAATGGGCTCCTTCGAGTGTCGCACCGGATTGTAGGGATTTCGGTATCGAGGTACGCTTGGAGATGGATTGAAATGTTCTGTCTGTGGTACTTGGGCCACTAATAGAGGACGTGTGTCGTAGTTTTCGCTTTTTACCTGCGGGCCCAATGGCGTCTGCCTTGGCAATAAGTGAGTCCATACCGTTGGAAGTCCTGGAGAAAGTCAGTATCGTGACGCTTCCTAACAGCAGATGGACTTACCTAGACCGGAAAACAAGGTCGCACGAACGCTTCCTGGCCGGAGCGGGAGATATTCAGGACGGTGGTCGAGATCGAAAAATGAAGACGGTGGCGATGCATCGTATTTGCTACTCTTGCATGAGACAAACAAAACTAATACCTACTACACTTCATCATTACACATTTACTTTACAGTCTCAGTACTGTTACATGTTATACAAAAGACTTACATAGGATAATTATCACGCTACAAGAGTCACCTATCGGACTCGAGATTAAACACACGAGATATCGAACTAAGAATCAAACAAACTCGCACACAAGTTTAAGGAATTTTTTCCTGGCCCAAACAGAGAAAGGAGAGTTACAACAAGGCACACGGAAAGCTAGGATGAATGTACGTACGGATCAACTCAAATTGCGCCAATATGACCTTCGCTGTTTTAACCGTGACCAGCCTCGGGAGACGGCGTAGCAAAAGCAACCATTCTGTCCATTGCTAACCTGTACTCGGCAGTGGCCTCGGTCCGAAGGTTATCTTGAATCTCGATCCTCTTGTCCAGTTCACTGATTTGAGCCTCTATTAGGCGTTTAACTTCCTCGTCCGTAGCAACCAAGGCGAGGAGCTCCTTGGAAGAGCGTTCGTGGCGAAGCAGAGTGAGTTCGCTCTCTACGGAACACAAGTGCTGCGTTGCCACCTGGATTGCGACCGACATCGATAAAGCATTCTGAAATGTGACGCTCGACTGATGAACCTCTTCCAACACTCTCGTTTGCGCGTGGAGGGCGCTTTGTGCAGCCTGGTCAACATGAAGGAAGAGCTCCTGAAGACGATGGATCTGTCTCTGAAGATTTCGGATGCTTATCGGGGTCGCAGAGAGGGTTTCGCCGTCAAGGTCTCCAGGACAAGCTGGACAACCACGGAGGTTGTACAAGGAGAGATCCATCGGCTTGGAGATGGGTACGAAAGGTGGAATACCATTCGGTAAAGGTAGGTTGCTCTTGATAAGCCTAGCCGCGTTGACAAAGTTATTCATGACAACAACGTAGGCGTCCCCGTCCAGCTCCATCCTACTATGCGCAATGGTGTCAGGACCAAACAGATTGCGAATAATTGCATTCATCGCACGTCGTATCCCTTGAATTCCGCTACAGCCAGTAATGACAACATCATACCCAAACATGGGCACAATGTAGCGGGGTCGGGAGATGGGAAGGACACGCTGATCAATGACTAGAGGTGTGGACTCCAAGTACTCGATGGATGCGGCGTCAATAAAGTCAAATGCTACACGGGTAAACCGACCGCAAGTAATGATGGTGTGGAACTGGAATGTCAGCCCCATCGTGTTGAGTGCATCTGCTATCTTGTCTTTCATTCGTTCAACGTCCTCCATATCATCCATCTTGAAAAATCCGCGACGGGTCCGGTCATATCCTCTGGCGACCTTCCACTCCGCTTTATTTCCATGGGCTAGAATTGCATGCTTCATACTGTTCAGGATGTCGGGTCTGGGGTGGGGAGAGAGCGAGGGTGAGAGCGAGACGAAAACATAGTCGACAGCCCGGAAGGCATCCCCAGGGACGACTACGATATCGGCAGGTGAAGGTAGATACGTTTGCGATGTCAGAGAATTCTCAAAAACCTCCTCATACGTCGCCGCAAAGTCACTCTGAGCAGAGAGCTGCGAAGAACGGTCTAGACCCCAAACTATGAGTTCGAACCCTGCAGCAGGTGTCAGAGTTGGCTCAGGGTCTTCATGAGGCATGCTCGTGGAAGATAGATGGTCAAAATTCGACAGAGAAAACGGAGGGATGGGCTGAGACATTTGATCTGACTGAAGAAATATTTCGAGAAGCGGGGGTTACAGTACCCAGACAGTGGAGGGATGTTCAATAAAGCTGGTTATTATCGTGAAAGACTTTGAATATTTTGAAAGGACGATTAGAATGAAACTAGCGTAGTTGGTAGTGGTGGTGGGTTGGTGACTGCTACCGGATGACCGGATCGGTATCCCGTGAAATTATTCCTAGTCCGGGCCGTGTTTCCGTTCATGGCTTCAACCTGAACCACGTTGCTGAGCGTCGACAAGCCATCCAACTTCTCCCAGCTTACAAACAAGGTTGGAATTATTTCTCTTTTTCAATTGCTATGTACTTACTGATGTCCCATCGAAAGGTTGTCACTATTCATGAATTTTGCCCCCGTTCCCATCAGTCCTCAGCCGATATGGAGTCGGCTCAAATCCATCTTTACTGCAATTCCTTGGCGCTTATGGTTGTGCTTTCCTATGTCTATTAGATCAGCCGTATATCACCGCCTCGAAAATTGGTATGCTGATGGAGAGTGGAATATCTGGCATCTGCCTTTTGGCTTAATTCTAAAGCATACACACGATCGGTCACCATTCCTCGAGGCCTCTAATATCGCATTCGTTCGTAAGAACACCTCCATCCCAGTCCCCCACATTCTAGATGTAATACCTTCACTACCTTCTTATCCCGGAGGGTTGATTATTATGAAGAATATTGAAGGCATGACGCTGCATGGATGGCTTAGGACCAGAATCTCATACCCTCCAGAATTCTATCACTACCTCAACATCCTTGAAAATGGAGAGGACATCAATATCGATGAACTGCGCGCTATTCTTGATGGATTCGAACCCACTGCTGATCTATCGGATTCTGTGGCGCTCCTAGACGACCTTAGACGCGCTCCACTTAAGCTTCGCGCTATCCCTCCCCCTCCTTCTGGCCAGGTTTCAGGTGCTTATGGGGCCCCATTCATATCGATGCTGCTTCCGACCGTGTCGCCCTTCAGCCATTCGAAAGCATTCGTGCTTTCCATGACATGCTCCTTCAATCATGTGGTTTCCGTAGCCGTATGCCTCGTCTGTTGAAGTTAGCCGAACCCGTGTACGCTAAGGAACACAGGCTCTGTTTCACCCACTCAGATCTTCACACTCGTAACATCCTCATAAAGGATGGTCGACTTGCAAGAATCCTCGATTGGGAGACAGCCGGATGGTTTCCTGAGTATTGGGAGTATACCATGTTGGATATCCGGGTCATACAAGGCTACAAACCCTGGCGAATCTCTTGGGATGCGGTTGGCGTCTTTGGATCGCAGTACCAGGAGGAGCTGGAACTTGAACATGCACTGTGCCATTCTACAGGGAGTATGGCAGTACCTCCTGGCATTATTCCTGATGATCCGCTGGATCAGCCGCTAACGGATGACGAATCACAGTAGTTTCTGTATCCTTGGTCCCTCCCCTTGACATTAACCTAGTCTTTTTCCAGGACGGTACGGTGATCTCTAATGCCGACCATCACATCTGATACTCGGAGTCTTAATTACCTTGTTCACATTAACAAATTACGTCACATGTATACGAACAGGAACCCAGAAGAAGTTCAAGGACCCGAAAGGACAATGGGGAGGTCCAATTCGGAGTTGAAAGTCTTATCCATGCTCACATCCACACTGCGCTCCTGTCTTATCATATACGTTTTACCCACATGTCTCTTATCGACAGTGGTCGTTCCAGATTATCCATTTGTTTATAAACCGTCGTTTGACGGTTTCCCTTGCTCCTTGAAAGCCACTATGTAAGTTTTTTTGCCTCTTCTTCCGAACTCTTCTCTCTGATTGTCTGTTTCCCTTCTCAGCCAGAGAGACGACATCTACGCATCTCTCGCCAAATCTGACCAGGTATGGAAGTCCCACTGGATAATTTACTTCGTAATCGTTTGTCAAGCTTCCTCTCTCTGTTTAATATTGAACATTGATGATGCCCATAGAATCCGAGAAAGGGTTTCCAAGATGCATGCAACAAATCAAGGCAATACCAGTCCCTGGAAATACGAGCGTGTGGAATGGAATGGACCGGACTCTACGTTAGCTGTCACCTTCACGAAGATTGGACATGTCGATGACGATCTAACCGTGGAGGCGTTTGAGCAGTATATCATCGATATCTCGATGTCGATTCCCGACGTTGATCGTGGAAAAGAGTCACGCTTCACCTGTCGTGTTTGGTTCAAAGAGGCGATCCGTAGGTTGAATGACGCCCAACTTTTTGTTAATTGTCCCGATGTAGATGCCCTTGAAAAAGAGCTTAATCGGAAGGCTACAGCCCTCCAGTATGCTCAGCTCGATATCACACTCCCAAAATTGCTGGTAGCGAAGAAGGCTGCACCTTGGTCTAGCTGATACGCAAATATCGCCCGTTCGTATGGTTGCGGTGGCCATGTTGTCGAATTTCCAACGAATTTCTACGTTTCGTGTTGGAGTCTACCCATTTACTATAGAAATCCTGTTTCGCATACCACAAATATCTGTCTATCTATTCCTGCTTCAGAATACATTCATTGTCATTCAGCGTTCAACTATTTACCTTCGCGACATGTCCGGCGGCTTGCGAGAAATATTCAGTCAAGTTCTGAAATGCCGCACAGGATATGGCTACATATAAGTAATATCCTCAGCTCGCCCTCCAAAGATGTTGACAACCCACACGGAGAGCCATACCAGACGCGCGAGTACATTGCTTGTGAGTGTCCGTTATAGCGGGAAGTCCTCCAAGATGGCCCAAGATCGGTTGTATCTGTGACGCAAAGTGCGCAATCAAAGGGCTAAGTCAGTTCATCAAGAACTCAGGTGCATCAGCAACGACCGAGGGTCATAGGCACCAGCGATAGCTCCAGAGTCCAGAATTGCAGGAAGACGAAGGAGATGAGCGGGAACAAGAGGAAGACTTGGAAAACGGGAGTAGATAATAATCCACACGAGGGAACACTCCAAGGGAACAAATTCACCATACGAAACCATACATACGTTCGTTTAACTTCAACTACGGCCCTCTGCACTGAGACTCAACCCGACCCACCTGAAAAAAAGTTGGAACAAAGAATTTAACAGTTAACTAACTATCCCGTACGTCTGTCTTTCAATATGCCATGGAGTCAAACCAGAAAGAGCCTGGTAGCAGAGAGTGTACTTTGTTAATCAAATGCAGAAAGTAAAATCTACTACTACCAAGATACAAAAATTCGCAAAAATTCGTTCGACTGGTCGGCACCTCGGCCCGGAAAACGGATCGCTCAGAATAGCATACAACTCCCACGGACACCTGTGGGAAAAATCAAAATAAATTTCTCAACGCCCGTCCTCGATTCCTCATACATACTAAACGCGTCCGGCCACCCTTCTTGGTTATTCACGATGCTGGTGCTCTTCGAGACCGCAATGGGCTACTGCCTCTTCAAAATGTCCAAATCTGCGTCACCCGATGACCAGAACATCTGGAAAGAGTTCGAGACGCCCGAAAAGGCCAACAAACTGTGAGTACGCCTCTTTTCTCTCTGTTGGATGTACAGTACTTACCGGTATTAGGCTCAAACTCAAGGCCATTCACCGATTCACGACAACAGCAACCGCAGTAGAAGACATGACGGCTCTGCAAGACGGAAAAGTCGGACCCGGACTGAAAAAGTTCTTGAGCGACGAGGTGGCGGGGAAAGGCAAGGGCAAGGAGTCGTTGCTAGTTGCTGAGACGCATTTGGGTACGTTTCTCGTCTGTTTGGATGCTTTTTTCTGCATGTGCTTACTTGGCCTTGCAGCGACCGCTATAAAAGACCTACTGAGCATAAAAACCACCGCCGGTGCGTCAAATATGGATCTGTATCGTGGCATTCGAGGACAGCTCGCGTCGTTGTTGGACGGACTGGACCCGAAGGATCTGTCGACTATGAGTCTTGGTCTCAGTCACTCGCTTTCTCGGTATGTGGTCATTTTTCGGGTATTCGTAGCATGGGTTGATTTTTTCAAACTTCTTAGTTTTAAAATAAAATTCTCGCCTGATAAGGTGGACACCATGATTGTGCAAGCCATTGCCCTTCTCGATGATCTCGACAAGGAAATCAACATATATGCTATGCGTGTCAAGGTGCGTCCTTTACTTTCATGCAAAATTTGATACTGACCTTGAGCAGGAATGGTATGGATGGCATTTCCCGGAACTCGCTAAAATCATCGTCGACAACATTGCCTATGCAAAAGTGATCAAGCACATGGGTATGCTTTTTGGGACCTAGTTGTTTTTTTTTACGACGCTAAGAGCTGTTTGCCAGGCTTCCGTACTAATGCATCATCAACATCTTTCGCCACAATACTACCCGAAGACCTCGAACAAGCCGTCAAAGCCGCCGCCGAAATCTCAATGGGAACCGAAATATCCGACTCTGACATTGCCCACATCCACTCCCTCTGTGACCAAGTTATCTCCATCTCCGCCTATCGAACTCAGCTCTCAGAGTATCTCCGGAACCGCATGAATGCCATCGCGCCCAACCTTACCGTCCTTGTCGGTGAGCTCGTCGGGGCCCGACTCATCTCCCACGCCGGAAGTCTCATGAGTCTCGCCAAGCACCCAGCGAGTACTGTCCAGATCCTTGGAGCCGAAAAGGCCCTCTTCCGCGCGCTGAAAACCTAAGCACGATACCCCCAAGTATGGCCTGATATACCACGCGTCTCTCATTGGCCAGGCGCCCCCGAAATTGAAAAGGCAAAATGGCGCGTATGGTCGCCACTAAAGCCGCACTGTCAATACGCCTGGATGCTCTAGCGGATTCTGATGGAAAATCAGAGCCTGACGCGCCGTCAATAGGACTTGCGCATCGGGCCAAGCTCGAATCGCGGTTACGTGCGATGGAGTATGAAGATGGAGCTACTGGTGTGCGGCGGTTTGCTGGGAATGGGAAGCAGCAGCAGCAGCAGCGCTTTGATATGTCGGGGCAGACGAAGACGTACAACACCAAGGCGGATGATGTGGATTTCGTGTCGACACAGCGGGAGGATCCGATAGAGATTGCTGTCAAGGCTGTTTCGGATGTGAAAGAGGACAAAAAGAAAGCAAAGGAGGAGAGACGGGCGAAGCGGAAGGCAGAGAAGGAAAAGGGCAAGGATGCTGATGGAGATGTGACAATGAACGGTGACGAGGAAGAAGAGAAGAAGGACAAGAAGAGGAAACGAAGGGAAAGTGAGATTGTTAACGGGCATGAGGAAAAGGTAGGAACTTTTTTCTCCCCTGTTTTCTGTCTGTCTGCTGACCATTTTTTGTAACAGGAGGAGACTGAAGAGGAAAGAAAAGCACGGAAAAAGGCACGCAAGGCGGAAAAGGCAGCGGCGAAAGAGACAAATGGCGATTCGTCACCGAAGAAAAAGAAAAAGAAATCGGATTAGGCCTTTTTGTCTTCGTGTTGCGTATCTACTGAGATGTATATATTTAATTTTTATTGCCAAGCCAAGGAAGACCGGCCCGGACCAGCCACAAACAGCCCCTTTGGGCCACATCGTTACCTCAGCAATTATTGTTCGGGATAACTGAAATAGCAGTGCAGTGAGCCTTGCCCTCCTCCTTCACTCTCCTTCAACGTCGATGGCGGCAACGACGACGACGAGCGCCTTTGCTCTGCCACACGGCCGGCACGATGTAACCATTGGAACCTCGCTCTCCCGTCTCCTCCGCCAGCGCAAGGGCACCGCGCCTGCCAAGCGATCGAATATGCCCGATCGTGACTTTTATTCGCTGCGATGTTCGTCGTCGTCGTCTGTTCTGTTCGACTCCTCGACTGACTCTATGTAGACAATTTCAAGCCCTCGTCAGTCGACACTACCAAGTCTGGCACCCTGGAGGTCCGCAAGAATCAGGGCGATAGTGCGACCGTCACCGTGGAACACCCGAGCACCCAGGTCAGACCGCCACGATACACATTTTGGGCCTTTACTGATACCCTACTGCAGTCAGGAGAGGTTCATAGATTCAATGGTAACGAGAATGCAGCAAAAGACTACGCCTGTGTGCTAATCTTTGACGAACAAACCGGGGTACGCCACTCGCCGTCGTCGTCGGTGTACTGTCACTTACCCTCTTCATACACAGAGATTCTCTCTAGAAAAGCTCGACTCTGTCTTGACCGTCGACTACGCCGAGAGACGAGCAGCGGCACCTGCAGAAAGTGCGTCGCCTTGTCTTGCCATCATTCATTTACTCTAACACATGGTACAGCGCGGCCGCCTGCACCTTCACGGCCACCGTCGGCTTCTTATACCCAGGCTTCTTCGTCTCGTCCAGCAGCGAAGCCCAAGCCTGCCAAGGATACTCGCCGGGACCTCAGCGATGCAGACTTTGAAGGGCTAGTCGAAGACATCCCTCTCGGACGACAACAGGACCAGGAAGAAGGTGAAGTAACCCTCTCTCCTCCAAGGCCTCCCTCGCCGCCCAAGAAGGTCAAGTCGACAGTCTCTCGGCCGACGAAATCCGCTCCTAAACCCAAACCCGACGTGCCTCCGAAACCGACCAAAGCTGCTCCTGCGAAACCAACTCCCAAACGAGCCATTCCCGACGTGGAAGACTTTGATCTTAGACCCGCCAAACGCTCCAAGCCGGCCCCAGCGCCCCCACCAGTTGTGGAGCAACGAGCACGTCTCGAGCTCCCGGGGAGCTCTTTCTCATATTCCCAGCCTCTTCCTGCACCACCCTCGCTCGCACTTCCTACCTCTGCGGCACCGCCTCCTCCAGCACAGGACGTCGCGTCGGATTCAGAAGAGGATTGGGACGAGGTCTCTGCTCAGATCCCCCCACCGGCCGACGACGGCGGAGAAGAGATCGACATGGACATGTTTAGCATGATGCTCGAAAGGCAGCTTGACCAGTCGTTGTCGGGAGCAGTGGGACAGGAGCCCGAGGACGATGAATATGACGAGGAAGACGTGGACGGGCCTGATTTTCTGTTCAGCGAGATGACAGATGGCGAACCTCCTTCGGGGGCGCCCATATCGTTGAACCAGTATGCCGGTGGGGACATGGCCAGTCACGACGAAGACGATTACACTTCTAGCGATGATAGTGACGAGGATTAGATATCAGATTCCAATATATACATTATACCTGTTCTTTTCACACGCATTTATACCGGAGGCATCATTATAATACCATCACTTTTTTTTCAATCAGTCACGCATTTTCCCATAAAGCACCAAGGGTAATTAGTCCAGCCTCCCACCCATAAGTACAAGAATTACGAACTATAAACAGGGTATCCGACGTATATAAATCAAAGCCTTTATCACCCGAGCGACAGGAAAGTGTCCATTAAACACAACTATGAAAAACCTAGGACTGTGATTTTTCCATCTCCAGAGGGACCAGTCGGGCTCGCTGCAATAGCGGCAGTCGATGCGGCGGCACCACTAGCATTTCCTGCAGAAACTGTTGCTGATGCTGCTGCTGCCGCCGTGGCTGTTTGAGCCGATGCACTCGAAATGATGGACGACGCCTGCTCCGGTGAGATCGTACTCGTCGTCACTGACGCTGTTCCATTCGACGATGACACCGCTGCCGACGACCGAACTAACTGCCCAATCGTCTGCGGTGATGTGTCCACAAACGCCATCGTCGGCCCAGCCACGAGCTGCGACGTCGCACGGTCCCGGACATTGTTCAGCAAGGGTTGGGAATCCGACGTAATCCATATAGCGACGGGTCCGTCGATGCCCTGCGGTACGACGCATGCGGAAAGTGGGAGGGAGATGGAGAAAGCTGCTCCACCAACCATCATTTGGCAAAACGAATTCTGTTCGCAGGGGCGTTAGTCCATGGGGAAAGCAGACTGGTTGAGATTGAACTCACACTGCTGGATGAACCGTTGATTGCGGAAGATTCAAAGGTCAGAAGAGTACCAGGACCAACAGAACCAGTATTGGTGATAGTAAGTGTAGGGTTCGCTGCACAAAATTGTCAGATCACAAACAAAAAGTACTAATCTCAGACGCACCTGTGACTCCCAAGTCACATCCCTGATTGAGGAAAGGCGACGCAACAGCTAACACCTCCTGCGGCGTGAATCCAATATCGAAGGCTTGAGGAATTGCGCTCCCAGTACCAGAAAGGAGGTTCAACACAGTCTGATGCCGAGCTTCGACGGTGAGGATCGAACCGGCCGCTTGAAGGAGGACAGGATCTGACAGGAGGGGAGCCGCTCCCAAGTAAGCCGAAACTCCCAGATTCTCCACCACCCGCGCGGTGGCTGCCATAGTAGCGACATCGGTAAGAGCCGAGTCAAAATTGAAGGTGCATGATGTGATGGGTTGCTGTCCGGATGACTTTAGCGCGGACTGCGTGATTCAATGTCAGCTGGCCTCAAAATAATAGAGGATCCGCATACCTGAAGGGTAGAAGAATGGGTGGCCTCGTCGGCTTGGATGACACTGAACAGTTCCGTCGGGACTGACGGAGAAACAAACCCAGCCGCCGTAAAATCAGAAGCTTGGAACTTGGACAAGGCGGACTGGTAGAATGACGACTCAAATTGCTCCAGAACATCGGCAAACTCTAGAAACAAAAACAAAGAGTCAGCTTTGTACCTAAGACAACAAAAATGAACAAGACGCACTGAGCACCAATATATCTGTATCTGATCGTTTCCCGTAGAATTTTGCAGGTGCAGCAAATGCTGCAAGAGGCGCTGCCAGGCAAAGAATAGACGTCGAATAACGCATTGAGAGAAAAGTCGAATGAATGAAGCCTGCTTGAAATAGAACGTGAAAGACCAAGGGCGCAGCCCAATAACGAAAGAACGACTATCGCAGCAAGCAGTCAGCTGCATCCCAAGAGCGATAGAAACAGGAAACAGACGTACCTATAGAAAGTGAAAGGAAGGAGGGTGAAAGGTGAAAGGGGCTTCGATCGCATCCAGGTACAGCTTTTATATCAGCTGCGTGGGAAAATTCTCGATCTCTTGGCTTTCAGCCGGAATATGATTGGCTTCGGTGTCGTCGGGCACAACGAATGTGATAGGACAATCATCACCATGGTGACTCTACCAACCATTGGTCCAAGCGAAGTTATCCAAGAGAAGATCTACCAGGGCTCAACAATCGCTTTGTTATAAAGTGTTCTAGGACCCTGAGAACTATGATCATGGATGGATAGGAGGAGCTCAGGACAACTGAATAAGAAAAAAAAATTCAATCCGGTCCTCAGCTCCCGCAATCAGATCGCGCCATCCTTCCGACCAGCGTGTAACCTCGGGACGGTGTGGTCGGACATTGTAATCGCGGTTAGTATTGATTGGCTAAGTGTTGTTGCTAGTAGTGAACGTGTTCGATGTTTAAGTACATGCCTGGTATCTGACACGCCATCATCAATCATCACCAAAGGTGTCCATTGGCTATCCAATGGCTGATCAAGGCGAGAGACTCGGCAGGTTTGTCGTGCGGGACGTAAACACAAGCAAGAACGACGTCAGTAAGCCTCAAGGAACACGGGAAAGATCGGGACTCATCATATGTCCAGCTCCTCGAACCATCGCAAACGTCAGCAACGTTGTTTGCTTGATTTCACCCGCCTTGCTACCCCCAACAAACCAATCTTCCCACTGGACTTCAGTGTATTCTTTCTTCCCGCTCCATTCCAGTTCATCAACCCACAATTTATTCGCGACCCAATTGCCTGGGATTACGATTCAATTTAAAAGATAAGCAACGGTGATGGTACATACACTGCCAATCATAAGTTCCTGCGTAAATCAATACCCGGATACCTCGGTCAAGGAGGCCAGCGACATAATATTGTGTCGGTACGGCCCATTTGTCCATATGCGCATTAAAGTTCTGGCCGACCATAGAAGAGCACGCAGAAAAGTTGTATGGCGTCTCCACACCCAGTAATTTCCGAGTTTCGGGCAAATCGAGGTACTTCTTGATAGCTGTATTTTCAGCATAGCACAGGTCGTCTCCAACGCACATCTTCCAAAAGCTGCAGATAAGAATAAAATCCGAAGCAGTAGGACATTACCTTGGAGATATCATACACATTGCGACCTAAACCGTCATGAGCATCCGATTTATCATGATGGAACTGACCACTGACACATACCACTGGCCCACATCCCTGTTGATAGTTCAGAATCACAAAAGTTGACTGCTGCCCGACAGTTAATGGTATCAAAGGATTCTATACAGCCTTGACGCATGGCCAATTGACATCGTGGCAGCTGTAGAACACGCTGTTAGATAATGTGCCACAACTTGAGAAGACTTACGGCAGTTTTCATGCGAACACAGGTCTTTATAGATTGAAAAGGAACATCGAGAGCAGCGGTACCACACTCGATCTCATATCTTCCCGCGTATAAACTGAAATATCCCCGTGAGCGCGTGGATGATCACCGACCACATAGAAGACTTACGTCGAAATATCCGTAATGCCGTTACCAATCAGCACACTCTGAAGATTCAGCGTCGGGCGACCTTCAACTTTTGCTATCTGGTTCTGGTCGTATATCTCACTCGCAAACACCGGGAGATAACGGCCCTACGAAAGTCACTAAGCATATGAGCATCAAGGAAACGAGCAGACAAACCCCGTACGATTCCCCAGAGAGATGAAGTCTCCGACCGGAAAACTGTTTGAAAGTCTCAAAAAAGATTGTGACGAACGCGTGAACGTTCTTAGCAGCGGCCTCAGTCGTTTGTACGGTCTCCCCATAATCCGCATATGAGAAACCTACTCCCACACTACCAGTAAGTCACGTCAGACGGAGGCAGCTAAGATCATAGAAAAATCTTGCGGCTGATCGAGGAAAAAGATGTTCGCAACTTCGTTCCAAGAGTAAGGGTTCCAAACAGTCCCATTGGAAGAGGATCCATCCATATCGATGCTGCATGGACCTAACAGGATAGTACCAGTCAGACATCAATGATAATCCTACTAAGATGTTGGTACCTAATTCCATGAGAAGTCCCATTGAAGACGAACATCCAGGACCTACACGAAGGATCAGTTGTAAGCCGAGTCCGCATACTACATAAACGAGCTCACCTCCATTTATCCACATCATAACATCATCTTGAGAAATTATTAGAAAACGAGACACAGATATAGCTACGGTCGGTCATCAGACCTTTGTCGGGATTGCGCCTACTCTCAAAGAAATAGAAGAATATGTGCTTCGCCCCTTGGTCGACATCCAGATATCCCGTGTATGCACTACGAAAATTGGTGAGAGATGTAGCCCTGGAACAAAGTAAAATTGGAGTCACTTGACTGTTGAATCACAAAAACTTGTCTTCTTGACACGTACACGATGTCCAGGATACCTGGGATGAGATACAACAGTGAATTTGTCCAGTTGTAAAGACGACAGTTGAGCACCTTCGAGTGCATATGACGCCAAACCCTCATTCAAGGGCAGTCTGAAGCATAGAAAATACATAGATCGGCAACAGAGAAAACAAGAAAACTGCGCATCTCATGGTCGAGAAAGAGATAAGTCACCCGGAGTTAAAATGGAGAACGCAAGTTCTTCGGACTAACGGCCCGGAAACGTGAACTGGTCAATTGAATTCCCACACTTCTAAAAAATGTCAACGACCCCGCGGGTTTCGTTACCAGTATTACTCCCTTGCCTTAATTGAGAAATACAAATGGATCCCAGCCGACTATCATCCGCAGCACAGGCTTCTTTAAACTTGAAACACGATGGAGCTTTTGTTCTATTTACGAACACAGAGCTCGGTGAAATTATCGGGCACTTGAGAGATTCGAGGGCGCAACAAAAGACATGATGTTTAATCAATGACTCTGTTATTCAAGGAGCTTATGGGTCTCCGAAGACATCTTGGCATCCAAACGTTGGTTGTTTAAGTCCCTGGGCTCATATCAATTTCAATGATACCGCATATCCATGAATGGACGCCACAAAAGTCAGCACTATATCTGCTAGTATATTCACCCGGTATTATGCGCTGAGAGAGGCGTGAGAGGGAGGCGTGGCCTTATCTGATAGCGCACATACCAATCGACTCGTCACTGGCAACTCTGAGCTGGCGAGTCTTTCTCATGGGCTAAATGTGTACGCGATTTACTGCAAACGTTACCTGTCCAGGATGTTCATAGATTAGGTGAGCAACATGCAAAGAGTATGGAGACAACAAACGGACCAGAAATTCCCCCGACACTACAAGCCCGCCAAGCATTCCCAGTCGTCCAACCATTCATAATCTGACGGGTTCTGTGAGAGTATCCACCTAAGCGCAGAGAGTCAAGTGATATGGAGATGCAAGGATCTTAGAACAGACATCCGTAGCGCTGCAGCGGCAGAATTCTGGCACTGCAACGCTACGGCTGCAGAGTCCTAAAGTCTGTGCAGCTATCAGGATAGGGCGCAACCAGTGTCAGACCATTCTATGACGAAATAATATACACAGTCCTTGACTCGCCCGGCCGTCGTTGACATTACTGACGTCGTCCACTGCCCCCTCCATTGCTGCTCTACGAGATTAGTAGGACGTTGATTGTTGCTGAAACCTCTATCTCCCGATGGCGGCAAGCAAGGCTCACCACAGACTTTCTAAAATGTGTGGTCAAAGAGTAACGCTAGAGACGGTGTGAGAGGCCCACGAGGTACCTTGGTGTTTATCCTGCAAATTTTCAGGGCACTCCGTCAATCGTCGACCCAGTCATGGATGCATGAGCGGCCTTAGCTCTGCGTTTCGAGCTTGGCGCAGAGGCAGTACGAAAACGCCTGGTGAAAATCACGACAGAGGTCGAAGATTTGCATAGCAGACATATCAAGGCTTGAAGTTCAAGAGAGAAAATTGTGGGACGAGTCTCGTCGTGTAGGCATACAGGAACGTGGGACTTCTTAGATATCGACTTTCTCAGACTCATTTGTGGCTTTTATACCAAGATGAAGCGGAAAAAGCGCAGTTCCAGCAAAGCTCCTCTTACACTCCGTGTTGTTCTTGGAGCATGTGGAAAGACGGCATCTCTTCCTCATTCCATGTTCATGAAAGATCTTTTTTGCTCGTTGCGATTGCGGCAAAGGGTAGAAAATTTGATCAATGATCGATGATGATGATCTACTGCTAAATGGGGGAACTTAAAGCGGATCAAAGGGCGGCAAGAGATCTTATCAGACAAGGAGCGAAATGCCTCCATGCGTGCGCAGCACTGAAACTGATCTCAAGAACAAAATTTCTTCGACGTGCCGAAAAGAGCTTATGTTTACGATAAAATTCAGTTCATGTTTAGTGCCTCACTTTCACCCTCTATGGACATAGCGGCGTCCTGCAGTTACGACAATTCTAACAAATCTTAATCCGCGTTTTCTTAGCCCATCGGCGGCGGCGCTCTCTTCTACAACGGTAGTACAACGATAATATACATCATTAAAGCGACGAGAATACTCTCGATAAGGAGTCATTTTGAAGGCATCTACTTTGCTGTAGCTTCAAGCGCACCCTCGTAATAGAAGGATTAACTGAAACTCATTTGAGTCCTCGGGTCTACCATGCCGTCCGCTTTCCCCACACGGCAGCTGCGCAATGGGATTGAATAGGGTTGACTAAGTCCGAGGATTATTCTTCCTCATCGCCGGGCGCAATGTGGAAATCGGAATATCATCTTGAAACCACAGCGACGCTTGCATCGGCCGTTCGAGACTCCTTACTTTGAACTGACTTCAGGATAATTGATAGTGCGGGCAGCGTCACTTACCTCCAGTCTACTAGTCACCGATCCGATAAATTTTGGAAGAGGCTTGTGATTGTCTCCGCCAGAAAGAAGGCTCTGGCCTGGCGAGCCCGGCTTTATTATATAACTCACGCTCATCAATTTCCTGCTTTCAAGTTGATTTCCCCTATTTCTACGTATCACAAAAATCATGCTTTTGGCTTTCATCTCAAAAGTCGCAGACGCCTAGAACGGACATAACATGTCTGGAGAAATAAGCTACGCACTGGATATACTCCCCGATATTTCAGCACATTATAACCAACCCTGACTTTGTTTTAGCTTACAGGTTACATAGTAGGATGACATTTGACGGCCATTCTATTTTTCCCTTGGATTCTATCAGATTTGCACGGCGCATCGTGAAGCCTGCGCATTATAGCTCTCTTACCTATAAGATGTCCGCCCGATGCAAGTGCGTTAGTCATACTTTCCAAATAGCCGATACACGCATTTTCCGAATAGCCGATGCGCGCGCTGAGAGTTTGGAAGTCACCCAAAATGCTTGCGCCCATTCATGGACCAATCGTTGTTCAAAAACAGACCGTTTCATCAGGATACCGCAGTACGCTTGGTATACCTCCTTTCCCGCTTCACCTCGGCTAGGGCAGAGGCTGGGATCAGAGCTAGCACAGTACCTCCGCCACGTATTAGTACTAGAAAATATACTCGTGGCAATTAATAAATGCAGTCCGAAGAACACCTTTGGCCCTAGGTCTTCACCGCCCATGGGATAGCCATCCATGCGCTGCAGAACGATGAGGGGATATCAGACTTGTCCCGCATAGATCCTGCCCTGTAGCACTTCTTGATTCGGCAAATGTTCATATGAGAAAAATGTGTTATACCCCGCTCCTTCGACGTGATGTTCTACTATGACGGATGCAGACATTTGATGAAGCTTCACCCATGGCAAGCATGCCATCATGTATTGGCACTTCCCGTTATCTATTGCGTTGCAGTTGTGAAGAGAAGTCTGCTGCGCAGGACTTTGCACTCTTCGTCTTCCTATCGTCTTTCCAAACGCGGCGTGATTCGTGTGTAACTTGCTGCGTACGGATCGATAAATCCATACCCGACGGGACCGTCTTTCGGCAGCACCAGTGATATCTACGCCCATAAGGATTTGATCTCGTGCGAAACCATAACAATGTACCGGTGTCAACCCGTACACGGTCCTCGGGCGATGTGAATGACGATAAGGGTTCTTAACAGCAAACACGGGGCTCAGGCATTGTTAATCAGCATCCAACGACGTGTTGCGTATCCCGGATATAATACCAGTGAATTTTCGTACATCTGGAGATTTTGAAGGGGCGTGCCAAAGAGGTTACTGATATTAGGAACGTGGATGACACTGGTACAGAGGTGAGACAGAATAAAGTCGGTAATACGTTAAGGGATGAGAAGTGGTGGAACGAAGAGTTTTCATAAGGTGGAGTTGCTACAATGACGGTGATCGACATGTCAATTAAGAGTCTGAGCAGGATAAGAAGTATTTCTTCTTGCAGTTGTGGACCACCGTGAATAAAAGCAAGTACTTTCACCACTGGTAAGAAATCCTAGAGTCCCCCATTAGTTTCGCCATCTCCTTGGTTTCCATCCCTTTCCGGATACTTTTTGTGTCGGTGCCGATCAGCTCATTAGCGCGAAACGCCGCAAGCCATGAGTAAATGTCAAAGCCACGGCGAGGAACATGGAAGGGAAGTGTTGGGACGAAGAAGCCTGCGATGACTCCAACACACAGTACAGTTATTAGAAGGCCGACCATGTACAAAGTGTGGATCCTGGCGTAGGCAAGTACAAGGTCGGGGTATTGACGTGCAAGTGTATCGGCAGATCCTGCAAAGTAGGGACAGTACGTTGGTGGCATCTGCCCGGGCTCTTGCCTGCGCAAACAATTCGCCGGAGAGCTCTGTATATCCATAGGGCCCCGTGCCATTTGTAAAAGAGATCAACTGCAAATATCATATTATTATCAGCCACCTATGTGAGTAACTCCGAGAAAGATCCTGACCGTGGGAGATGGAACATAGAAGGCGTCTCTTCCATTGTCCTGAAATCAAAGTTCAAAAATGAAATTTGGTACAATCAGTAAACTGACGAACCTTAATCATCTGATTGACAGAATTGCCATGCAAAGTTTCGTACACGTCTTTCAGCTCTGTCGAATTTAATTGTCGCTTCACGTTAGGACCCGTCACGGCGTTGCCTGTTCGTTTCTCTTCCGGGGCACCCTGCGCAGAAGAATCCATGATCTCCTTGCTCTGACTGATAATGCCCGTAGATGAGGGCACCCCGGTGGTGGAGTTATACGTCTCTACGATGTACGGCTCGTATAGCTCCAAGCAAACAGCAGCGTCATAGCCTATACGCGTTTCCGTCCCATTTGCATCGAGGACAGATTCGTCGCTATATGTCGCGAAAGTACCGCTTGGGGAATAGGTGGTGTTTAACCGAACTAGTACCCACTCGATGGATATCCAGCCAAAACCTTCATCACCTAGATGAGAATGTCATCAGTCAAAGAATCGACACAAAAAGTGCTGCCCTACCCATTGTGACAGGATCGCTTTTAAGACTATGGGCAACACCATTGTCGCTGAAATACGCTATACGGAGACGATGGTGTTTAGGAATTCAATATAAGAAACCATCTCATACCTGCAAGTGCGGTACCGTTAACGTCAACAGTTGAGGGCAAAGTATCGTTTTTCTGGAGTACGTCCGTCACGTTGTGTTCCAGATCAGAGGAGAACACGTGACCAAAAGAAGAAAATAAAGTATTCATCGTTTCTCGAGGCGTGAATAGGTACGTGTAATTATTGAAAGACCTGGGGATGCTGTGGCGGGAGACATAAGCACCATAGCACAACAAAAAATTAACGAATCCCGTGGACGTACATATTCTTCGACCCATCAGGGACCTTCTCACAATGAATCCTGATACCCCATCGCGGATATCTTAGTAATCTTCAACGGACTAGCAGTGTATTATCAGAAAAGCAAGTTTCACCTTAACAATGATCCGGGTTCCACAGCATTTGTGTTGAAAGAATCCGTGGCGACACTAGAAAAATCGGTGCTCCATGTGGGTGTCGTCGTATTTTCAGTGAATGTCCCGAATCCACTACCACCTGGAAGAAACTGGGAGAGGCTTGCTTCAGAGAAATATGCAGTGTCGTTATTCCATGGATAGGATATAGCAGTAGGGAGCGATCTATGTGCAGCAAACGGGGACAAGGTCCATGTCAGCGTGAAGTCCTGCAATATAAGATTGAGTGACGGAAAATATAGCTTGAAGGAAGAATTGACATTGAATACTCGCGCGAGAGCAGCAGTGTTTGATATGTCGCTTTCTGATAAGTCACCTTTTACTGTGACCTCCTGGTATTCGGTGTGTTGATGCTGAGAAAAGGTGAGATCACATTGGAGACATGGATATATATCTAGAAATAGCCCACCGATACGGATGTTGATATATTGACTATACGACCCAAAATAAATGGCAGCGATGCTGCGAGGATGACATTGAGTAGGAAAAAAAGAATGGCCAGGGACCAAGGGCGCTTGCTAGACACGATTGCTTTAGTTACCTAGAAATTAAACGCGTCCAAAAAGAGACTTACTCATAATGTTGACGCTCCCTCCTCATGGTCCCTGGGTACATGAACCTGGACCACAAGAGTTGAAGCGCTGGCCAAGCGCTTGTCGGATCTCGCGAAGGAGCCGCCAAGTCACTCAGCCTGATCCCTGAGGCGCCATTGATACGCGATTGGTGGATAATCGTGGCCCAAGCTACGTTACAAATGATGGTAAGTATCCCTGTATGAATGGCAAGCACTGGTACGCACTCGCAGCTTCCAGGAATGGCCGACCCAGTGAAAGAAGGCTAAGACCCAACGCGAAACCAATAACGCCACAGCCGACACTAACAAAAAATCGGCTCCAAAAGAGTGTCTTGTTACGTGCAATTACGACGAATAGGGTTAGGATGGGGTATGCAATCAGACAAAGAATAACGTGGATTATGATTTTGGGCCATTCTGAGGTTTCAAAACTCTTTTCGACGATGTGACACTTCTGTTGCTCGCTGATGGGGGAAGCGCCTGCTGATGGTGCCTTGAATGAGGCATTATCGGCGTAGGCAGGGGAAGAGAAATGTTGTTCATATAACTCCGTAGCATCAAAGACTTCGTCTTTGAACAACATGGACTCAGATACAGCTGTGAGATCTGAGTTGTAGCTTTCAATGGATGCATAGCTCGGGCGTCTCCCATCGAACCAAGGAAGCGAAAGCTTGCTTGGACTAAACGGTGAGATGAAAATACGATCCTGGTCTGAGCAACGGCGAAGGTGGTTGGGAACGAGATGAATGTCATCATTGGTCCGACTAGGGATGTTGTCGTATGTGTCATGACGAGGAAGGCGGCTGTACAAACGCCTTGAGCTTGGTGAGGACTGTGGGAACCGGACACAGTTCGGAGGAAGTGAAGGAGGAGTATCCATAGCAGAATGAGAGTGAAACAAACTGGGAGGCGAAGGGCGAAAGAAAGAGGGAGATCCCACTTGAAGCGCGCGCATTCGTCCTTTATTAGACCTACCTCTTCCTTTATCCTCCTTACCATATTCGGAGCGTGGGAGAGTTGTTTGGACAAAGGGCAATCCAGGGTCGCTCTTCTTCACGCGTCACAGATGATTTCTAGGGACTCGAACCCTGACTTAAGCGCGAGGCCTTCAAAACCGGATCAAGATATAAGTACGCAAAAAGTTTGCAGCGGAATAAAACATAGAGTATGGACGAACGAGGGCTACAACTCTGGCACCTTATGCTTTTTCTTCTTTTTCGTCGAGGTAGAAGCATCTCCACTATCGTCAATCGACACAGCCTTCCGCTTCCGTTTCTGCTCGATAGTGGGTTCCGCGGTCTCTGCGGGAGCAACAAATGCCTCCGCACGTTCGATGCGACGCTTTTCTGTCGCGTCGACTTGCTATTAGAGGACGACATTGTCAGGCTCAGAATTGACAACATGTGGAGTTATAAACCTTTTGCTTTCTTCTCTCTGTTTCCCGGGCTTCTTTTTCGTGACGTTTGAGGAAATACTCTCCTGATTCGAGTTGCAGGTCGACCTAATATAAGATGAGGGGCGGTGCGCTGATAGAGAAAAAAAGGAGACCTTTCGAGGAAGCTGGGCAGGTGGGAAGGGAGTATACGGTTTCTTAGTAGCCTTTGATGTTGATGCTTCGGGTAAGCCAGCTGCAGCGCGCGCGTCGTTCTGTGTCTGTATTTTTTCATTCTTCTTCGCAGTCTTTTCTGAGGTCTTGAGGTGTTTCTTCCTGAATTGAGGAAGGAAACGATCCCACGATTCCGTCGCCAATTTTGGGTCTTTTGCTAGTTCACGACGTATCATGAGCTCCTAATGAATAAATGAGCGGCTGCATGAAACATTATTGGGCCTGACCTACTTTGATTCGATATATTGGGTGTATATTCTTCATGCAGTCGAGAACTATTCGGCGAACTTCCTTCAATGACTTGTAGGGACCCATGACGCTCACTGTGCTTCCTTGTACAAGGACATAGCATTGCGTTAAAAGTTCGATGGCCTATCATTATCCTGAGTCAGGCATGCATTCTAAGTGATACGCGTCGTACCTTCAGCGTGCTTCCATCTGGACCTATGATCCTTTGTCTTCGTTTGACAAATCTTTCTTTATTTCTGACCAGGTTCCCTATTTTAATGATGTCGCATGCTACGTTGTCATCCAAGATTTTCACAGCTTGATTGATGGCAACTCCTCGTGCCAGGAGTTTGATCATGTCGCGGGCCTTGAGAACGATATATGGGTCAAACGTCTTCCTCGTTGTTCTAACTGACATCGATCCATGAACGAGATCCAGTGTGCATGCTATTCCCTAGGGAGTGTAATATGAGTACCCAGAATGAATGATATGTATGAGGGCTCGATAAGTTCCAAGCGCCGAAATAACCAATGCTGTGACTCTGGCGCAGTCGGGGAACTAGATTGTGAGCTGTATTTCCCGACGCCAGTTCTTCTTCCGCCGAAATAGATCACATAAACCAGAGCCATTTAAAATGAGGCATCGCTCGTATGATAGGCGAGCATGTAGAAGTCTTAGTCTGCTACGAGCGACCCTCGGAATGAGTGCCAGGAGCTCTCCATGAGGCAGAGTTCGATCTATTCGGTTTTCTCGGTTTTCATTTGGGAGAGACGCAGTGCAAGTGCCGTGAGTATCGGGCATTAAGGGCGGCCATTCGACGTTGGAAGTAAAAAATGAACCCGAAATATGACTTTGATGGATTCTTAAGCGCGATGTCACAGCATTCCGGATTCATTTGGCGACCTGGAAATACCGAACCTTGAGCAAGAGATCGAAGACTCACATGAGCAGTCCAATGCGCGGGTGACTGCACTCCAGACTTCACGCAGGTACTTTTCACGGTATTTTGGGAAAAGGGTGGCAAACGAGGATTCCTCGGTAAATGCACCTGCTTTGTTATCGGACGGTTGAAACGCTTCTATTTTCCACTAAGGACTGTTGAGAACCATCAACAGGACCCATACAGTTGGCTTACACTGTAAAAAAAATGAACGTCAGTTGAATTTGCAGGGACGAGGTTATGTCATGCTCACTGGTCAATATCATCCGTATCCCACGCTGTGTAAGTGAGGTCAGATTAACGATAACAAAAGTAACAACGACGACAAACGCTTGTCCTTGCGGTGGCTCTTGTTCTTATTCACGACGACCTCGTCGTCAGACATGGTGATGGACAGAAGAGGAAATGAGATCGTGAGAATTTTTTTCAGTTTTACATTACCCTCCAACTACAACATGGATTCACTCGACAACCTGGATCCCGAGCTTCCTGCCCTTTCCTATGACGACGACGTCGCTTATGAAGACCAGCACCCGACGCACCCATCAAATGACCCTGGGCGGGCAGCCCTCGCCAATCGTATTGGGACCTCAAAAGTCTACTTACTGTCTGAATCATCCACGGCTAGAGTCGGCAAGGTGCGCTGGTAGCATGTCCTGGAGGTCGCCCGAACGAACCCTGATATGAGAGTACTATGATCCTTTACCTGGTAAGCGCAAGCATGCCGATGAAGACGAGGACGAGACATTGCGGGACGGGGGCGGCGAGGACGAGATGGATGAAGGTATGATGGGTATTTGCCAGTTCTTCGTGCTCATCACCCTTGCCACTAGACTTGACACATCGCGGCAATGCTATATTGCTACAGGGCACACCAATCTCTCACCTTCCCTACTGCTCGACTCTTCGCCTATGCCACGCACTTTGACGCACATCCCCTCGGCCTGGAATGGATCAACGACAACACTTGCGTGTTTGTCTTTGAAACCAAGGCTGGTGCACGTGCTGGCCAGCGTTTTCTGCAAAAGTCTCCGGCAGAAGAGCCGGACGAAGACGACTTTGTCACCGCGAAGCCAATACCTGTCGCACTATGGCCACCGGAGGAGCGCATCAACAAGAGCCTTGGGAAGGGTGAGGGCTTGAAGGGAGTGATTAGGATGCGCTGGGCGAGGGAAGGAGACGTGAAGAAGCGCGGGGCAAAGAAGGACAGTGAGTTTTACAAGAAACACGGGAGTTATGCTGGGAAAGAGGTATATGATGATAGGGAGGGTCCTGGTGTAAACAAGAGGAGGAGAAGGAACCCAGAAGAGGATAAAGCATTGCTGGATCAGGACCTGGACGAGTTTCTTGCAGAAGATGAGCCAGATACCGCACCATCGCCGCCATCCAAGATGTACTCGGACTATATCTCGTCAGATGGTCGTACGTTACTCGAGCGTACCTCTGCCCGTGAACATCCAGAGCCGGGTACTTTGGCGGGACGTTTGACTGAACGGCGCTCTCAGCGCTCAAAGAACGGGCGACCGTCGCATGATAGAGAGAGACGCAGACGGCGTGGTGGACGAGGATCAGAGAGACGGAGAGGTGAAGAGCGTCCAAATAAGAGTCAGCAGGAGCTAGATGATGAACTAGACGCTTTTTTAAGGGAAGGGGAGTGATTCATCCTGCACGTTTTGGTTTGGCTCTTGTATTTTTATTTATGAAAAACTCCCTTCTCAGTTGTACCCCACGAATCACATATCTTTCAGAGCTTTCGTCAGAAGAACAGGCACCTGTCCACTTATGACTTTGGCTAGTCACTGTGATTGTCGACTCATGGACTTACCGCATCAGTCGTTCCTTTTGAAGCTATCATGTATCTTGGTGACTCCAATCATGGGATACGTTCAAATCATGAACTTGACGCATGTTACAACTGACCAGCGAGCGTAATCGAGTCTAACATCTCTCCTTGGCAATAAAGTTACTCCAGGGCTCCAGATCGGCGCGCGCTACATGGTAGTTGTCTTTTCCGACACCAGTGATCTACTTGGCTGGTTACGTTTCAAGGTACTACCATTTTCTCTGGATCATCACCTGTAAGCAGTATCGCCGTTGTTCTTGTTATCCATTGATAGATATTATGAGACGCCTTTCTGCTGATTCGAGACGTTCCATAGTGACTAAGTGCGACCATAAAGTGTTTACTTGTATCCCTTCAATTTTCTTTTTCTCTTCATGTCCTCATCAAATATCCCCGACCTCACCGCCGAAGATAAGCAGCTCATTTTTGAAGTCCTAGATTTGAACTTCAACTGGACGATCTTACTAGGACTGCTGCAAGGTATACTCCTCACTCTTCCTTTGCCTTACCTGAATACTTTTCCTCCAGGAATCTACACATGTATCTTCGGGCACACCTTGTGGACAATCTGTGCGCATATTGTGCGCCGCATACCCACGCTGTACTCACATTCTCAACAGTCTCTATGAGAGCTACTAACAACAACGCAGGAAGAAAATTCATGGCTGCCACGATCTTCTTGCTCTATATCTTTACCACAGTCAGTTTCTCGTTCGATTGGGCCTTCAAGCGGTATGCCTATGTGTCAAATGGAGAGACGTTCTATTCAGCCTTTCTGGCACTGGAAGCCATCGGGCCTTGGTGGAGGACCTATCGTTTAGTAACCAGCATTTCTGGGGGTATCAACACCGTCCTCGCTGATATTGCCATGGTACATCTCTTCTCGAAGACTTTTCCAAATAATTTACGTTCTACCAGATCTGGCGGTGTTGGGTTATCTGGACTCATAACTGGCTCATCGTCGCGCCTGCTATAATATGCACTGTCGCTGGGACGCGTGAGCGGCACATCTATCTCCTACGGATGGGGCTAATATCGCTACCCGTCGGCCCCCACAGTATCCAAGGTCTTTCAGATCTACGATTCCATGACCAACGTCAGCAGTGATATAAGCCGCACATCGGGATACACCACCAAGATCGACTGGACAATCCTATACCTCTCCTTTACCCTCGCTACGACAGTGCTGACCACCCTGCTTATCATCTTTCGCATCGTCAAAGTCGGGAATTCAGCCCCCGGTACAGGCCTCAGTTCATACCGCAGAGTCATAGAAATGCTCATTGAATCCGCCGCTCTATACTCCTTATCCGTGATTGGTTACATGGGCCTGGTTGCCAGTAATGATCATAGCGCGTATTACGCTGACGCCATAATGGCGTACATCAAAGTCTGTCTTCTATTCTCAACTATTTGTGTGGACGATCTAACAAAGGTCTTGATAGGGTATTGCGCCTACGCTGCTTGTTGCAAGAGTCGCCTCAGGCCAAGGTTTATCTTCAAACACCAAATCATCCCAGGAAAGCCGGTTATCACCTTTACGCTTTCGTCAACGCTCTTTCAGTCAGGCTCCTGAAACAACGCTAGGAGGTTCGTCCTCTGGGCATTGAGATAGATACTCCACAACGGTCCCTCTCTCTTTATCTTCTAGAGCATCTTATTTTTCGCTGCATTCGCATTTGCTATCCTTAATCACGCACAAAGATTCCATCATCTGTACTTCTCATATCCCTCAGTTTACCTGCTCATAGAAATCATATTATAACCACTACTAGCATATAATAGTGACGTCGATGAACTTATAACTTATAGGATTCTGTGTGCATTGCGCTCCTGGCCTAAATTGACGCCACCCACGGTCGTTCCATCGTTCTCGTCTCCCGTGCAGCAGAACAGGACGTGCCTAGCTGGGATCTCCGATGTCGGACGTGCACATTCGATAGTCTATTTTCTCGCTTCGATAGTATGCAGGACGGACTCAGTCGGTAACAGATCAACGTCCGTTCATCAAAAAGTATCAAGTATTGGGCCTCGAACTACTAGGATACCACTGGCAACGAATCTGTACAGTCATTGGTGACTGCCCCACAGAAGAAATGTGGTCCCAGAAGACTAAGAGTGCGCTTGGGATCGGTATGATCCCTAAAAGGTTTGATCGCCCCCCAAGGGCTTTCCAGGGTTACGCGAAGCCTGAGGGTTAACTTGAAAGTAGAACTGTAGAGAAATGTCAATGGTGATGTAATCAAGGAGACCAAATAATACATTTACAGTGGCAAGAGGCTCGATATAACCTATGCGTTTCAGAAGGACGAACCAGGCATATTGCGAAGAGTTTATCGTGGTTGTAACTGAGATGTAAGCACATGTCAGTGAATTGAGTTCTTTGCCTAGCATAATGATCCCTTCACCGAGCTCCAGGTGCTTTCGGATGTAAGGATGGCGGTCTCCAAACACATCCATAATCGTGTGTCGGTGCTCGTACAACCAATTCTCGAATTGGTTTCCTACGAAGTTCCTTGGAAATAGCATACCCGAGCCCAAGATAGAGCTTATCTTTTATATTGTATGCCAGAATGCAATATACTCTGTTTTCCGTCAAGTACAAGTAGATATTCACGATAAGAAGGTACGAACGATCTTCCCTTGATCCAAACTCCAAGCGTCCGAAGGACGTCAGACTTGTTTATATATTCATGATCCCACGCCAGGGAAGGAGAATATTTTGAGTCAGTAATTATTCTGGTCTCACCCTTTTTGAGGATAGAAGGTATGCTATGAATTCTTGGTTCGATCGAAGACGCCGGATCGATTGCATTAACAATACGACAAACTTTTTGGTGAATGGATCGATATATCCCATAGATCCCAGAGGAATGACTTGTTCAAACATGGGAATATACCGCGCATGGCCATGCGAATAAGCTGAATGATTAGAACTAGAATGCATAAAAAATACATTGACAAATGACATACAATATGGCTTTCCAATCAAAGACGACAAGGACTCCCGTTCGCCAAACACCACACGAGACAAGAAATCCGACCCTGTGTCCTGCGCTGGATAATCATACATTGTCCATGTGAAGGAGGGAACCGGAATATCGAGTTGTATATCTGTAATCAGGGAAGCGAGGAACTTCCATTCGATGAGAGGGGTTATTAGTCGCTGCACTATCGGGGCCGTGGATCCCATGATGCAGAGCTTGCTGACTCGCCGGGCAACGATGGGTCGGACACATTGACAATGAAAGGGGAACTCGGTTCGGAAGTTGATAGGCACCCAACATCGGTAGTGGTATACAATGATCAGCCGTGTGATATGTAAAGGAATCCAGAAGCGGGGAATGTGGACTTGTGGATCGTCAAGATAGTCTACAAAAATATGAGTGCCATCTGGAGGTGAATTTGGACCGTGATATAGACTTCGAAGCATCGATTCTATCCCTCTGTTAGCTATAATGGAGGGTTCACATCCTGAATTCTGGAGGGACGATGGCCTAATCACGTAGTCCACCTTGAATATAATGGTGCGGCAGAGCAGCGGTTTAGGTATTGCAGACATTGACCGGATGGTATACAGATAACCTCCATTATAGGAGAAGGGGACGACCGAGTGCGTTGAATTCACGTCTTGAATGATGGCAGACCATTTTTTGGATACAGTGGAACAAATTGAGAATGTTTGAATGTGATCCTCGGTAGAAGACTGAATGGCCCAGAGTTCGAAGAGAATGCAGGAGATGAGCTCAGATGGAAGCGCCATGCAAGTTGAAGACAAGACAATGAAAGTTCGGTTTTACGGCCCGGGGACCGTGAAAGACGAGCGGCCCGATCAACCGTCCCGCTTTGCTCTCTACTTTGCAACCCTGTCTCGCCTTGGCGTCAATTGGCCCTGCCGCTAATGATAAAGCGTGTTATTCTGTGAGTCTCTGTCCCGGGACAGCAGCGACAACTTCAAGCCTGAATCATGAATATGTGATGGTCACTAACACATTGGTGATGCGCGTACTAACCGAAGGGATACCAAACCCATATCCAAATTCTTGAGACCAAGAAGAAATGCAGAAAGTGACCTCGGTTCGGGCTTGGCGCTAATAAGTACTTTAAAGGACTACTTCAATATACAGCACATTGCCGAAGCGACATGTGGCGCCGGCGTCAGGATTCATATTCAGGCCTAGAGGCTTTGGACGTTCGGATACTTAACTTGAAGTACCAACAATTCAATTCTTACAGTGTGCTGGACTTCAAAAAAAAGCTTGAACCGCAGTAATCTGGATATTCAAGTTCAGATGTGAAAGTCTCTAACGTCAGCCTGCCAGTGGAACGTACAGCAAAGTCTGCCGAGGCCCGACTACAATTATAGCGGTAAACGGTCACGTGATATGTCATGTAGGTGTCATAGTACCTTCCATCCTAATTGAGTGACGCGTCTGCTGCGCAGCGATGCACGCTAGAAGTGCCCAAAGTCCTCCCTACTTATGCCAGTACCGATACTATATGAAATCCAAATTAACCCTCTGCCGAATTCGTTAGTACACCACCATGGGCGTCGCCGGCCTCTGGCCGCTGCTGGACTCGTCGTCAAAGACAGTCTCACTTACCACCCTCTCGCTAGCAGAATTTTCCAACCCTCACCGTGGTTACCGCCTGGGCATCGACACGTCCATCTGGTTTTTTCACGCTGGCTATGGGAAAGGAGGGGAAAATCCTCAGTTACGGACTCTATTCTTCCGGTGCGCTACCCTGCTCAAGTACCCCATACTTACCGCTATTCATCTTCGATGGACCCAAGAGACCAGATTGGAAGAGGGGGAAGAAGATTAACAAGACGGCGAACAAGCTAACGACAGGTATGAAAGCTATTATTGAGGCGTTTGGCTTCGAGTGGCGAACGGCGCCTGGAGAAGCAAAGGCAGAACTAGCATATCTCAATGCTACTAGCGTCATTGACGGCGTTCTCAGTGACTGACGTCGATACCTTTGTCTTTAGGCGCACGCACCGTCGTCCGGAACCCGTCGTCTACTCACTCCAAAGACAAGAGAGACGAGAAAGACGAGAAACGAACACACGTACGCGTCTGCACAGATATAGAGCCCAGTAGGGCAGACCTCATCCTCATTCGCCTTGTGCTCAGGAGGTGATTACTGCGAAGCTGGATTACCTAGCTGCGGCATCACAATAGCCTATGCCCTCGCCCGCGCTGGCCTTTCCACATCTCTATATAAAGCCGCCACTACCCTTCCCCGTTCTGAACTTCCTGCATTTCTGACCTACCTGGCGCACGGAACTCAAAGAAGAAGCTTCGCACCGACTCACATCGATGTATCGGCCGCAAGATGGTTTCGTTAGCCAAGTCGGTGCCAGAATCATTCTCCGACATCGACATTCTACTCGCATATACCCATCCCGTCACTTCTCGCTCAGAGGGAAAGCCCGATTATTACGCGGATATCTCTTGGACTCGCAAGGAACCTCAAATACCTGCCCTAGCTGGCCTCTGCGAGTTCTATTTCGAGTGGGGGTTCAAAGAATCGATCATCAAGCGATTCAGAACACTCATATGGCCGGGGATTGTTCTTCGCACCTTGCGTCGATATATCCTTGATGATGACCCAGAACAGGTGTTTACACTGTTCAGTGGGGATCACTGGCAGCCAGTTCCTGGAGATGGGTGGATGAAGAAGATACACTCGCAGCGGGAGCATCATTCGACCGACGAAACACTCGAGTATCGTGTCGAGATCGATCCTACTGCTCTGGTGATGTTAGCAGAGGCTGGTGTGAGGGGTATCCGACGTCACCATGACGAGGATAGGAAGGAGAGACCCACAGACCCCCTTCGGCTGTGGTTGCCAGCTGTGGTTGTGCGGCAGGCCAAACCAGAGCTTGTTGAAGCTTATGAGAAGGTTACGAGGAAGGATTCAACAAGTCAAGGACAGGACATCAGGTGGTTCTTCCCACCTGCTGAGAAATCCAGAACAGCGATGACTCTGAAGGATTCACCCGTAGCTAATGCGGCCATCACTCCTTCTGCACCGTCTACCTCGACGAAAGCGACACCCTCTCGGAATACACGGCCGTTCCCAGCATCGTTGAGGGGAGGTCCGAAATCCTGACAGCACTTCAGAAATCAGGGATAGACTTGCTGGATGGTAGGGTCGTGTAGGTTACAGGTTGTCGATAGCACTTATTCAGTAAGCTTCCCAGTGAACACATACTCATAGTAGATATTTTGGTGGTTTTCGGCGATGAGGTAAAGAAGGAGAGAACGAAATGTATTATATTTTGAATGGAAATGACGATGCAGACTCGAAGCACTATGACTTTCTCGATTCCGATGAATAAACGCATGAGTATGTTTGGTGACGAGCGAAAGATGGAGTCTAGGAATATCAGGATCGGTGTTTTTCTTATCGATTGATGGTGAAGCCGGCCCAGGGAGATGTTCAAGCTTAGAACGGTCGAATGTCGGGTTTGTGCCGGCTGCGCCAGACCGACGCGTTAACAGGGTTTTCTCGCCCCACCAAGTCCTGTTATCTGGCCTCCCAAAAACTCAGCATGCTTTATAAAGTCTCAAAAAAAGGAACACGCGTTGAGAGCGCCTCTGAATTTCCAGAGCGATCACGCTCAACGCTGCCTTGTCACGAGTTTCAATCCAGGGACGTCTTTCGCAATGAAACTTTGAAAGGCACTAGAAACTTGAGTGTAATGATGTTTGACCTTAATCAGTTGACCAGACCCCAGTCTCTGGTTGGAAAGCAACCCGTTTGCAACTGAGGAGAAGACTCAGGCTCAAGATCCATACTCATTCGATATGGGAAGGCATGAGATCAAACAGTTGGCAAAGCGACGATCTAGGAGAGGTGATCAATTACTTGCAGGCACAGAAGTTACAGTTAGGAACTATCACGTTGAGTCAGCCAAGGCAGAGCGTATTTAGCATACGTTGCATCCAAAACTCTGCCCATTGCATACCGACATCGACAAGAGGGCTTGATAGCAGAGGTTCTCGCTGGTCCGAAGTCTTGCGAGCTACAACTCAGATCATTCCATTCAAACAACAGAGGGAGCAGAACTAGATGGCGACGCAGCAAACGTCATAGACATGGTTTCAGACAAAACTGTGTGCTTTTTGCAGGTGTACCACAATAGTGGTTACCTAAGTAAATGTGGACGGCTGCCCTCGCAGACTGTTTATAACACCCTCTGGAAGCATGGTCAATATTTGTTTATGAGGCTTGGGTAAAAGACCCTTCCCTTCCACATAGCTTCCGGAGAGTTGGCACGAAGTCACATTGATCTACGGTCTCCATGTGACAGTGATAGAAACGATAAGTACTCGTCTGGGAAGCTGTGAGTGCTTGAAAACGAAGGTTCTGTGTAACGGATATCGGGCCTAATCCCCTGCATCGATCGCCGTCAGCATTCAACGAGAAAGTAGTTATCGTTGAACATACCTAGCGTACGGACATCCATGTCCGCCTTTGATTTGAATGTTGCGTTGGTAACCAGCCATTTTGGGATGAGCGCCTCGTTCGTTACGCACCAAATAGGGGTAGGAGGGGATGATATACGCATAAAACATACAAATACAAAACATTTTCTTCGTGTTTCTGAACCGCGAATACAGAATAACATATGCATAGAGCCCAGAAACGACACCCGGTGTGCGCTTATTTGGAAAGCATCATCTATAAATGTAGCATTATTATTAGAAACGACACGGGGAACGTGGCGCCAAACGTACCTTGACGAACTCTGCGGGACGAGAGTTGGAATGAGAACGCCGAATTACTATGCACGTACCATCGTAGTTAATCTGGCCATCGCCGTCAACGTCCGCCTCCCGAATCATTTCATCAACTTCACTGTCGGTGAGTTTCTCACCTAGATCACTATCAGTACGGCGCCGGCGTCGAGGAGCTCGAAAGAACAGCGTACCCAAGTTCGTCATGACATGCCTCAGCTCAGCAGCACTGATGTATCCATTCCCATCCTTATCGAACACCTTGAACGCCTCCTTGATCTCTTCCTCGCTATCGGTGTCTCGCATCTTCCTCGCCATCATCGTCAGGAACTCAGGGAAATCGATGGTGCCATTGCCGTCTGCATCGACCTCATTGATCATGTCCTGGAGCTCCGCCTCGGTCGGGTTCTGCCCAAGCGAGCGCATCACGGTGCCAAGCTCTTTGGTCGTGATCGTGCCGTCGCCATCTGATTCCAAGGATAAGGATGTGAGATGGAAAGATACATAGGGCGCTCACCCTTATCGAACAGCGAGAAGGCTTCCTTGAACTCTAGAAGGAATACCGTGAGCTTCACTCCAATCAAGAAAGACGAAACATACCGGAGATTTGCTCTGGGCGCGCCAAAGTTTTAGGGTGAGTCTGTGCCTATTAGGAGACGAGCGAGACATACCTTCAGACTATCCAGTACAATCAGCACCATTAACATAGAAGAGCAAACAGATTACTCACAAGTTGGTCGGCCATGGTTGTAGGTCGGGTAGGTCAGTGCGCAAGGTTGCAACAGAGTAACGAGCCTCCATCGCGGCAATCGCCGGGCGCTTTTGTAGGCTCCCACACCTCGTGTTCGTCAAAGCTGGACCTCTCTAGATAAATGGCAGCCCTGTCGTACTTGCAGCCTCGTCAAATTCAAGTCTGACTTGAAATATTGGGACGATGTTGCCTTTTTTTTCGATAAAGGCGCCAAATTGCAGTGCTAACCTATTCCAGGGAATCTGTTCAGTTATGCTTTAGGTCTCAGGCCCAGTTGCGACGTCACCCGTGGAATTAATCTCGGTTCGCCTAGAATATCTCTCGCGCCTCGTTACGCTAGAATGATCCTTATTTACCCGGATCTCAACTTATCAGTTTTCAAAATTTCCTTGGATGTCTGAAAGTTTCTCGACGCCTGAAATATGGCCTTTCTTTCTATGTATGGTCGCCGGGAACGGCATCTCTCGTGCCAGAAAACCTGTTTTCACCGTTCAGAAATCTCACGTCCTCATAACGCTATCAGATCTCAGCTTGGCTTTTTACCTGATAAACCACCTAGAATCAATAGATACGCAAAGACGTCTCTCTCTGGACCATTCTCTGTTCCTTCTTTAAACTGGTAAACTCTATGGCGCTGGATATAAGTTTGCGATCCAACCAGCGAAGCCTTCTTCACCTCCTCAAGCACGAAAAGCAAGTCGCTGGATGAACATTTCACGCGGAAATTTTCGCCAAGCACCACCAGTTTTTGATAAACACCCTTCTCTCAGGTCCATCAATTAGTAGGTCTTCTTGCGCTGCCCTCGGCGTAGTGTGGTTCTTCCAACTCCACAATATCGATTGTTGTTATCTTCATACATGGAGCCCTCTCATAGTTTATCCCTTCAAACATTTCTGTAAAAATGGATATATGAGCTTTATCCTTCGATCGTTTGTGTCTTCTTATCTTATGATAAGATCCGGACACTGGAAACAGGTTTGACATCGACAAGAAAATGCTCGGGACTATCTCTGTCTGTGCCTGTCACCCTTTGATAACTGGACTTTGAAGACGTGCGCTCGATACTTGCTGAAGCTGAAGGGACAGGTTGGATCGGCTGTATCCTAGGCTAAGTCAGTGTAACAAAATGGCCTAATTAATCTTCTTTTCAATGCCCACGGCTGTATCTCTTTGGTCACGGTTGAGGATGTTGCGAGAGCATCGGTCATGAGGTGCACGTTCGATGTCGTGACGGCGTTCCGTATCCTTTGCACTGGTACGGACGGGCCAAGGCCAAGTCCAAGGTGATCGGATGACGCATCACCGGTCACCCCTTATCTCTATACAAGGGCAAATCCGTAGGACTCGGAGCTGTATGGTAGATAATGGTTCCAAGAGCTTGATGTTTTATTGCAAGGAAAAAATGTACAAAGGCTGTTCCCTAATTTATAACCAGAAAGTAACCTGGAGTAACCCTAACGTTTGGTAATTTATTCTACCTTAAAGCTGGCCACGTCGGACAGCTTGAGAACTTTTTGAAGTTCGGGGGCAATAATTAGCCAAGCCCCGCATCGAGGATAGGGGAGAAGTAAATGTGTAGGCTTTTAGGCTCCGTGTCTCTATAATTAAATGATCGACCCGAGCCCCATCTCGTTCCGGCAGTGTACGATTGGCGCGGTAGCACTAATCTGTTCAGGGCACGATCCAGGCATAAGACGGATGCAGTAGATACACGGAAGAGGGGGAGTGGAAACAGAGAGAAAATGAATGATTAATATGCAAGTAACGAAACAATAAGGTCGCCGCGCAGCGTAAAGATATGTGGGAGGATTGCACGGGTTGATTTCTACCCTACTACCTCATGTATTTCGGGGGCCTGAGTGCGATACACCAGGTGACTAATAGAATGCGAAGGATTAATAGAGAGGAAAAGGAGAGTCGTTAAGGAATCTTTTCAGCGATCGAGTACCGGTATCTTGGTTGGACTGAATAGGGCGGAAAATCTCGGGGCAATGTCTAGGAGTCAAAAGAGCTCTCGAGGCGGACCGCCTGAGACCTGTTTTACCCCACCTTCTCCTTCGGAGCGGGAGATAAGGGAACGAAGTCCTTCGATGTACCATGTAAGGTTTAGCTTTTTGAGTTGGAAACATTACATTGTCACATTTCGACAGTTTATGCCATCCTGTTGATAAAGTGACTTTTGGCAGGATTGGCATATGACATAATTTTTTTTTACCAGTGAGGGAATGGGGAAGGCGGGCAGGACGGTACCGACACCTGAAGGATCGTAGACGAATCGGGACATGAAAGACATAAAAGGCAACTGGTTCGGCTCGGAGCTAGAGATCAACGCATCAATATTTGACGGTACCGCTTGTTCCTGCCCTCCAACGCTCTATCTCGAAAAAAGCGGTACAGGACGGTGCCTGCATTACTGCTCACAATTCTATACTATGCGGTCGGGAAACACAGAGCCAAAGAGCACCAAAGCATCAGGTGGCGCGGTCGATCACATCCGCGCGAATTGAAGGTCAGTAAATTGGAAATAAAACATGAAATACACTGAAATGAAGATTAGATTGGAGATTGATGCAGCCAAGTTGACGCAATTAATCCTTCTTCATCTTTTTTTGGACCTGTCCCGTCATGCAAATATCGTGGAAATCCCGTCCAATAATAATCCACCCTTATTACGACCTTTTTCTGATTTTTCCCCATTCCCTCCACGACATGTCTTTACCCGCAAGTCCGATCCTTCACTGCTCCTTCACCCTACTCTTCATCTTCTTCGGTCGATACTCCCCTTGACATCGTGTCCAACGACGAGCACCAACATACCGCCGTCGTTGCTTCTGCCATGGCTTCCTACTCACCCTACACTGGCACCGCCCAGCAGCTCTATGCAGGCCAGAACGACCTCGTTTACCCTGACCATGATTACTATCACTCAATGATGGCTTGGTCGTCGCCAGTCGCGAAGAAACAACAGGTGCCGCAAGGCCCGTATCAGCAGCCCCAAATCCCTAACCACCCGTTGTCCCTCTTCATTCCCAACGGGCATCACAACCACCATCAGCAACAGCAACAGCAGCCTTCGCCTGTTGACGAATGGCAGTCGCACCAGCAGTTCTCCCAGGCGCAATCGCATGCTCTCGGTATGATGCACGTTGGCCATTATGCCCGCGTTAAACAAGAGGATCTCTCTTCGTACCAGACTCAGCAGAATTCTCATAGCCATATGTACGGTCTACAGGCTCAGCAGCAGCAGCTTCCTGCGTCGTATACCAACCTTATCGGTAACTACTATGGGCTCCACGAGGGCTATGTCCACCCTTCCGAGCTCTCTCCGACGGACTCGCCGGTCTCCCCACTCCAGATGGAGTACTCTCACAGCCAAGATAGCGCTTCTGAGTCTCATGGTCAGCAGCAGCAGCAGCAGATGAGCGTCGCCTGTGACCCGCGATTCGTTTCCGGGGAGCCTCTGCAAGGAGAAGAGCGCCCGCACTTGACTGACGAAGATGATGCAGACGCCGAAGGCGACGATGATATCGATGCCGAGGGAGACGACGAGGAGGTAGCTGATAACGATGATGATGCTGCGCACGAGGAAGATTTCGATGATGCAGACTACGACGACGACCGGGACGGGGAGTATACTTTGCGTCGCACAAGGCGCCCCTCTGCCTCTCCTTCCAAACGCAGCTTGCGTACTCGTACAGTCTCAGAGCGGTATACTCCTTACGCCTATCCTTCTCCTACGTACACAAACCCACTCGGTATCAGCATCCGTCCCAGACGTACTATTTCCAATGCTACAGATTCGTCTGTTGCATCATCGGAGTCTTCTTCATCTGCCTACCCACCGCTGCCTTTCCAGGCCCCGCGGCGCCGGTCTCGGTCCACGACAAGCCTCCCGGTCCCAGTCCCAGTCCCGAACCTGACAAAAAAATCGCGTGGACGTCGTGTGCCTACTATTTCGTCTCTAGAGCACTCACGGCGTGGGGAGGCCGCAGAGGGTGTGAAAGGCGCTAGGATTCATACCTGCAAAGTCGCAGGTTGTGGCAAATGCTTCGCTCGAGGCGAACACTTGAAGAGACATGTTCGTAGTATCCATACTTACGAAAAACGTGGGTCTCTCTTCTTCATTTACACCTCGGCATCATTCTTACGGCCTTCTTTGCAGCGCACAAGTGTCCCTACCCAGGCTGTGGCAAGGACTTTAGCCGCCACGATAATCTTGGTCAACACATGCGGGTTCATAAGGATTATCGGGGTTAATTTTAAGCAGCGACTGGGTTTACCACACAACATACCCTACGTTATTTTTGGATTTCGGTTCTCTTGCCTACGTGCTCCTGCTTCGCGGTTTCAAGTTTGGGTATACCCTTTCGTGATTGGTTAGTGATTTTTATTGTTTATTATTATACATTTAACATACACGACGTACGCACACTCTCGTTATCCCCCATCGCTCGCTTAGTTTTTTTGTAGTTTAAAAACCTTACTTGGCCGTCTCTACTTACACACCGGTGCCGGTTTGTTATTATCATACATAGTATATTACCTACATACTTGTTTTTTTAGTGTATCACGGTTATCAATAAATGCCAATCAGTCTATCATCCTGTCTGCTTTCACCCTGACGCCGATCGTGCCTTGCGTTTGAATCGGCATTGGCGAGTGCAAATCAACAACTCTGGCAACCCTGAGCTTTGGTTTGGAATATGGAATATCACACTCACAGGCACTAACGCTCAGTTTTTGTCATGACGACTTTAGATGGACGGGTGCGGATGGTTCACAAGGCACGAAAAAGCAGGATCCGAGTGAAAAAATGTGAAATATGAGGTTTGGTTGAGTGTTGGACGGAGATGGGGCTGTACTCGTGATCGTTCAACTGGAGCAGGAGGGCTGACCGTGGCTGAGGCTGCGCGAGTTCGGAGCCGTTGGTAATCATGGTTCGAAACGCTGGTCCTTATCTTTCATTCATGTGTTCCGCGCTATCATCAGAAGGCCCTTTTATCCGGTCGGAAGAATAGTTAAACATACTAGGCTAGCAGAAGAAGGGACAATAGAATTTGACATGGGCGTCTTTTTTTCTGCTCCCCGAACCGTAGATCCAAGCGGATATTTCGGAATAGTACTTATGGTGGACATGACGGAATGGTCGGTCTCCAGATAACACCCCGAATCAGAGTCCGAGGCGTGAAGGAGTCTGGAGCGTCGAGGGTGGGTCGAATTTGTGCCAGTTTATTCACCGGGCTTGAGGGAGGTCGTTGCCGGGCGGAGCCAGTGCGAGCGCATCAAGGCGCATCAGCTGCTAGAGTGCGCTGGGGAAAATGAAATTACGGTAGTACAGGTGAGGTCTGAAAAAAATTTATTTTAACGTTCAAAGTTCGCCAAAGGTTGAAGCCAAATCGTTTAGACCGTCAGGCGAAGCTAAAGCACCGGAGTGCCCTGACCATTTATTTGTGTGATTCTATAGGTTGAGGGCGGATCTTTATGTCGGATTAGCTTAGTGCGAGATCCAACGAAGAGTAATTTGAAAGAGAGTAGACAGCCCACGTAGTACCTCTTTTGAGCATATGCGACAAATATCCCTCCCAGGGCTATTATTATTCGTGGAGGACCTGGAAAAGGTTTGCGATATACTTACGCCCCAGCGTCGCGACTGGTTTTGTCTAAGTTATGAAGTGTTGTAAATTGCAACAGATGGAAACTCACTAAGGGCAATTTGAAATCCCCGGGGATGGCTGAGAGAGGTTGGATCTCGTTTGCGGAAGGTCCATGATGGCCTGCTTCCCCTTCAGTGTCGGGTTTCAGAAGCTGTGGAGAGATGGCCCCATGATGATGGTGTTTGAAACGGTGGTATGAGGCGCTAGACTTTCTATGTTATGAAGGTGAGTTCCGGTGTTTTGATGGTGTCGAATAAAAAACAAATGCACCTTTGACAAGACAGATAGACAGTTCACTATTTTATTGTCTGTAACAATAAATCGAGACTGATCTATAGCGGGAGCCTAGAGAGAACGTCATATATATTGCTTTCTGTACGGCTTTTTCTGAACCACCATCTTGTTGTGCATAATTTGGGACACTCGAACCGTTATCAAAATAAAGCCTGAAATGAATTTAATTTTGATATTCAATGATGATAGTTGTGATGGGCCTTTTGATGATCACAGAGATCCAGATATCGTGGTTCCCTAGTAGATGGGGGAGTTTTTCACCAGGGCCTTCAATCTGGAGCAGCCTTTAGATCCATCATAGGTTCAGACACAAAGACGTGATGCAGCACCACATGATATCTAGGATCCGAGTCGCCCAAAATCAAGATGCACTGCCAGAGCTGCCAGCAGCACGTCACGCTGTAGGGCAAAGACAGACGTCGTTTCAAACTTTAACGGCCCCGACCGACCCAGTGCGATTTTCTGGCAGCATAAATTGTGGCGTAAATGAACGGTCAAGTCCCAATCAGGAAGTGTGGCGCGAAATTGAGGTCACTTCTATTTTTGGCACCAACGCCCTTCTTCCTTCATTACCTTCACTTGCAGGCCAAGTTCTTTCAGGGTTCTTCTTTTTTTCTTTGCTCTGGAAGCAATTACATCCTACAGAACAAGTACATCCTAATGCCTCACATCAATTCCTATCATACGCGACTTCAGCCTCGCGCCAATTTTGTTCTTGACCCTAGCGGGCAGATGTCTGTGGTCTCTGAAGAAGGAGGAGACGCCCAAGGCGCGTTCCAGTACCCATCCAGCGTTTCAACGCCTTTGTCGAGCTCTACGTCTTTGGCGAGCACGAGTTTGAGTGCGACGACGGCTTCTACGAGTTCTGTGATCACGCCTAGTTCCTCCAGCTCTGTACCGACATTATCTTCCTCGCTTCCCGTGGACTCTTTGTCTTCTTCGGCATCATCTTCATTTTCGTCGACCTCGGACTCATCCTCAGCGAGTGTGACAGTAGCTTCTTCGACGAGCGTGTCTTCTGCGGCTATAACCACGGCTTCTTCATCGACAGAAAGCCCTACAGTGGCTGCGACGAGTTCGTTTCAATCTACGACTGATACTACCTCAGCCGCGTCACCTACTACACCTCCTGCACTAGCTGCACCGACCGTGTCGCCATCCGGTACAAATTACGCTACTGTCTCAACTCACAGCCCGCCTTTCTTCGTTGGCATCATCTTCGGAACAATTGTAGCTATCGCCATTCTTGCAGCTCTCGTGGCATGGTATTTCCGCCTGAAGAGCAACCGCAGGAAACAAGATGAACTCTTTAGGGATGTTGCCTGGGCTTAATAACGACGTCCTGGAAGATGGACAGGCGAACGGTAGGCCTCTGGGAGCCAAGAGGTGATCGTGACGTCGGAGAACCCAAGAGGGACGACACTTTCATTGGACATCCTAGCTTGCTGACGACTGAAGGTCTGGGCGCGTCGGTCAACAATGTGCTGGCCTCACCAATATGGTCTATGCCACCCCCACCTCCTCCGGTTGCAGCGGCTTATCCATTTCGGCTTTCACCAGTTTCCTCAATACGGGCTACGCCTGTCCCTATTTTACGCGACAGCGTTGCATATCCATTGCCTCTTCCTTCCCAGAACATGCTCCCTCTGCCTGAAGCCTCGTTTCGAGCAGCAAGTCCTCACTCTTTTCAAGTTACGAGGGAATCAAGCATAGCACCAAGTTCCCTAGTATGTCCTTCCACCACATACGCGTCATCGTACAACTCGCGGACGGAACTTCTCCCTCGAGAGTTTGGTACGCCGAGACAGGCCATGGATCGGCCGAGATTCCTGAGTCTAGAGAGCGGACGGGGACTGAGGGTGCCGTGGCGAAGACAGGACTCGGGACAAGGCGGATGGGTCAATATGGACTCGATAGGAGACGCACCACGAGGTGATGGAAACTAACAATCAAGACCATTCCGCCGCGGCTATCCAAGGCTCAAATATTGGCGGATGGACTGCGTCTTTGAGGGCGAATATTATGAATGCTCTGGGTAGCGTCATGCCTACCTCTTCTCCCTGGGTGCCTGCTTCGGACCATCTGACACCTGCGCCTCTGACGAGGAAGGAGAAAGCCGAAGGGCAAGATAAAGAGTGGAAGACATTTTTCGGGGGAGAGTTGATCGGGGATCCAGATTGGGCCTCTGATCTAGAGGCAACACTTGATTCCAACACCAATGTCTCGCGCACGGGTACGTTAGCGGATTACAAGGGAGGTGATCACGCGTTTTCGCCGAACCTGTCGAGGGAGACGACGGTGGTTCAGCCCGTGTCCAGGGCCGGGTCGGCAGTTAGTCTGAGGTACCCTAAGAAGGCCAAGGTGACACGGCTGGGTTCAAGTGCCAGTGGGTATTCAGTGAAGAGCACACTGACGGATGGGGAGGAGGCTGTTCGGCGGGCGTTGGCAGAAAGGCGAAAAGGGCATGATTCGTAGTCTATTAGCATAAAATATACTGAAAAATGAAAACAGAAATTTCGGGGAGTTCCGATTGAAAATAACATATGGAAAGATTTATGGCTTGTTTTGTGCGTCAGAAATGCCCGGAAACGACCCGTACAGTGTGGTGCATTAATTTTTGCCAGCAAGAGGTTGCACAGAGCCCAGAAGAGAGGAGGAATGGAAGACATTTTGAGCAAGGTGGATGCGTTGGAAGTTTCCTTTTTTGGAAGTCAGATGTAAAGTACCGGAAATTCAGAACGGCAATCGAAAGAGGGATTCGGTGTTGGGTCTGCTCCGAAAAAGGCAACTTCCAGCAAGACAACGATGATGTCGGACGGCGGCGACATTGAAATGCGCTCGTCGTCGTTGTCGCCAGCGCCGCAACAGCCTCCGTCGTCGCCAGAGCCAACGGAGACAGAGCCGGCACCACCACCACCACCACCGCCAGTCGAGTCAACGCCCAAGAAACCTCGCAGCAAACACCATTCACCGACACCGCCCCCGCAGCCGCCTCCTCCGCCGCTCCAGACGATTCGTCTGGATATCACGCTCGGGGGCCCAGCAGACTACGAAGTCGACATCGCCATGATGGCCCTCGCAGCAGGCCAGAGAGTCGACGTACCAGTGCCGGAGGACAAAGCGGACACGAGTGAGAGCGAACCTGAGCCTGAACCGGAAGGAGAGTTGACTTCCTTGTTCAAGAGGAAAAAGGTGCCCTTCATTTATTTATTTTATTTCATTCTACATTTGCTGAAAAACGTTGGCATATAGAGGAAGAGCTACGCACAGGAATACTACGATACTAACGACCCTTTTATTGACGACTCGGAGCTTGCAATTGATGAGCGCAAGTTTTTTGCTCAGACCAAACAGCGTGGATTCTATGTCTCTTCTGGTCAGGTTGCCTTGCTCAAGGATACTCCCAAGGAAAAGTACGTCCTCGTCTTCATCGCCGTCATTGCCACGGACTGAACCGAATCTAGACCTCCGATGAAACCGCGCTCCAAATTGGTCCCGACCCTCGTCACCAAATCCGAAGACGGCACTCGCGACTCTCCCATCGCACTCTACTCCGACTCTGAGAGCGCCGCCCAGGATCCTTCACAGACGGCGCAGGCCGGGCAGAAGAGGAAACGGTACATCAGCGTCGTGGAGAATGGCAAGAAGCGCAAGGTCGTAGACGTCACGTCCTTTGATCCCAAGCTGCAGGAAGCCATCGAGGAGCTCAAGGCTGCGATCGCTGCGGAGGACTGGACTAACAAGGGCAAGTTCCCGCCCAACATCAAGCCTATCCTCGCCAAGGTCGCACTCAAAGCCGTCGAGCTCAACGAGTACGATGATCATTTCTTCAACCTCATGCCTACACTCTTCCCTTACAACAAATTTACCATGACCGTGAGTCTGCATCTTGGGATAGTGTTCGTACTCGACTGACGCACACACGCTTTCAGAAACTCATCAAACGAACGATCTTTGCTGACCATACAGCTATGCTCGCCAAACGCCAAGAGATTCTCTTAGAGGAACTAGCCAAGCAGGCAAAGGCAGGCTTCGCCAAAGGCCGAGGAGGACTGGCAACATGCTGTGGTCGTATGGGATAGGACGGCAAGAGAGGCAACGCCTGGAGGCCTCGTCGGAGACTCCTGGGACACGGCCGCCTACAGAAGGAACGTGACCGGGAGGGATCGCCGCATCCTCCAGGCGAGGGCGGGTCCACCGAAGGCACGAAAGAACCTCAGCCGCCGCATAAGAAGTACAGGATGACTGAGAGCATGAAGAATATCGTGTGGGAGCTCGTGTTGTTGAGTAATGAGTGTTGTAGGCTGGAGAACGAGAAGAAGTGGGTTGCGTTTTCTCATTTTTGTGCTGGGCCTTAGCTAACTTTTTGCTCTGCAGTCAACTGGAGGGTTCGATTATACAAGTGTCTGAGCAAGGTCTTAGAAAAGGTCTTGTATCAGAAGATCGTAGCAGCCTATCCAGAGGGGTGGATGTCGAGTGGCCAGATCAGTCGGGACGTATCTGCCATGAAGAAGAGGCTTGAGCGAGAGGCTATGGAGACCGGTGAATAACCAGCTCCTCCTTCCTCCCTCTGCCTACCTGTTTTCCTTTTCTCTCTCTCTTTTACTTTATAGTCGCTACTCTATTGTTGGTTATTACTGTAGTATACACTTCTTCGCTGTCGTTCTCCCTGCTTCGTCCTTGTTAATTACAATTGAGTACATATACGTCTCAATACCTCTCTCTCACAAACACTCTGTCTGTATATGTGTATGGGTTGTTTATTCATGCTATTTAACATTGAAGATGGCGAGGAAATTGGTAGGAAATACATGATAAATATTAAGATCGTATATCAGCGCCTGGCGCGTGCACGAGCAGCAAGAAGGGGGTGTGTATGTGCTGGCGGTACTGCCTTCTGCTTGATCTCTGCTTTAACATCTTCCTCCTCCGAAGAGGACGAAATCTCGATGACGTCTGATTTACCGGTCGTCGCCATCTATTCGTAATTGTCTTCTTCCGGCGCGCAGGACTGGGGCGCTCGTTCCTCGTCTTCTTGTTCGTAGGGGAGCTATCGTCGTCACTGGGTCCGCTAGATCCAGGTTCGGGGGAAGGGTTGCGTGAAGGAGGTGGGGCTTCATCGGAGGAGGAAAGTTGTAGGATAATAAGGCTGTCATCATCATCATGATTAGGTGGTGCAACATGCAGCACGTCATCTTCATCATCGGTATCACTAAATGATGCTGGAAATGGTCGCGGCTGACGAGAGACAGTTACTTTCGTTGAGGTAGATGGCAAGGAAGGAGTGATGGTAGCAGACGCAGCATTGGCTATGGGCGAATCCTTCAGAGCCGTTGCTGTGCTTGATTTCTGAGATGGGAAGAACGACCTGAGGTCCTGTCCTTTACCCGTCGAAGCGTTCTTTTTGATCCTAGGTTTCGATTTGGACTTCTCATCACCACTCAGCTCTTCTCCCTTTTTCTTTCGGCCCTTTGGCGTCTTCTTTTCCTGCTTCTTCCTCAGTACTCCCTCATAAGCTTTAACAAGCTCCGGTTTGGCCTGCCGCACAAGCACGGCTGGCAACCACAGCCGAAGGGGCTCAAGCGGGTCTACGGATCCCTTCTTCTTGCTATCCTCGTCATCCTGTTCGTCACCGCTGACTTCCCATTCTTCATCATCCGGGTCGTCGGATACCCTTCACTCCCGCCTCTGCTAACGCCACCAGAGCAGTAGGATCGACCTCGACACGATACTCGAGTGTTTTGTCGGTCGAGTGGTGTTCCCGCTTCGAGTGTATCTTCTTCATCCACCCATCTCCAGGGACCGGCTGATCCCCACTGAACAGGGTAAACACCTGTTCTGGGTCATCATCGAGGATATATCGTCGCAAGGTGCATGGAGAGCAATGCCCTGGCCATATGAGTGTTCCTGAATCGCTTGATGATTAATTCTTTGAATCCCCCACTCGAAGTAGAACTCGCAGAGGCCAGCTAGGGCAGGTATTTGAGGTTCCTTGCGAGTCCAAGAGATATCCACGTAATAATCGGGCTTTCCCTCTGAACGAGAAGTGACGGGGTGGGTATACGCGAGTAGAACGTCGATGTTGGGGAATGACTCTGGTACCGACTTGGCTAACAAAACCATCTTGCGGCCGATACATCGATGTGAGTCGGTGCGAAGCTCTTCTTTGAGTTCCGTGCGCCAGGTGGTCAGAAATGCAGGAAGTTCAGGACGGGGAAGGGTAGTGGCGGCTTTGTATAGAGATGTGGAAAGGCCAGCACGGGCGAGGGCATAGGCTGTTTTGATGCCACAGCTAGGTAGCCCAGCTTCGCAGTAATCACCTCCTGAGCACAAGGCAATGAGGATGAGGTCGGCCCTACTGGGCTCTATATTGGTGCAGACGCGTACGTGTGTTCGTTTCTCGTCGCTGGAGTGGGTAGATGACGGGTTCCGGACAACGGTGCGTGCGCCAAAGACAAAGGTATCAACGTCGTCACTGAGAACGCCGTCAATGACGCCAGTAGCATTGAGATACGCTAGTTCGGCCTCTGCTTCTCCAGGCGCCGTTCGCCACTCGAAGCCAAACGCCTCAATAATAGCTTTCATGCCTGTCGTTAGCTTGTTCGCCGTCTTGTTGATCTTCTTTCCCCTCTTCCAATCTGGTCTCTTGGGTCCATCGAAGATGAATAGCGGTAGTATGGGGTACTTGAGCAGGGTAGCGCACCGGAAGAATAGAGTTCGTAACTGAGGATTTTCCCCTTCTTTCCCATAGTCAGCGTGAAAAAACCAAATGGACGCGTCGATGCCCAGGCGGTAACCACGGTGAGGGTTGGTAAACCCTGTTAGCGAGAGGGCGGCAAGTGAGATTGTCTTTGACGACGAGTCCAGCAGTGGCCAGAGGCCGGCGACGCCCATGGTGGTTAGAACTCAGGTTGGATTTGAAAGACGCGATGTGAGCACGTGATAGTTCCACTGACACGGATACTCGGACCGAAGGGGTATGCCCTTATTCGAATCTGAACTTGCCTTTAACTATGTCGGATGTCAAGGTATACCTAAAGCCGCGACCAATATCAGCTACTTATGGTCACTCTAAACTATATACCAAGCTATCTATATACCATCCAAACGACGCTCAGAATTCAAGCTTCAAGTACGGTCCATTCCTCGCTGACTACGGGGCGGTCCCCTCTGATGCTACAGAAGAATACACCATACGCTCGCCCTCCCTATCCGCCCATCTCGCTCTATTCCACAACGAACTTTTACCTAGTCTCCAGGCCAACATTCCCAATCCAAACAAAACAAGTCGTTCATGTTGGCCTAGTCTTCTTCAGCTTGCCAGGTCGAAACTCGCAGGGATAGTTGACTTCCGGCTAGAGTGCGAAACTCACATTGTTCGCCTCTGCAAAGGCAATAGCGCACCAGATCCACCGACGGAACCGTCATTCAATACTACTTGCTGGTGGTATAGGCTGGTCTTTTCCATCTTGTCTCGGGACGACAGAGAGCTGCGCGACAACGACGACACCGAAATACAGATACTGGTCTGGGCCTACATGTATGGATGCCATTTTCTCCCTATGTGGTAAGCGCGTGCATTTGTGATCTTCCACCTTTTTATTTAATTTACTGCACAGTGATATGGGCCAATTTTCGTGAAGAGATGCTGCATGCTGACAGATCCGGTTTCTCCTGCTTACCTACCTTCAGGCTGTAGGTGAGCTTTCTGTAACTGTACATACTTTTCTTACACTAATGTGCTCTTTTCCAGGTAACAACTCGGGATTCTTGACTTCTTCTTGGTACACAGGTATACACTGTTGTCTCCGCACTCTACCCCGCCGATACAACAAGCAATCACGACTATAATTCTCCCCTATCTCAGTCCTCTGACATTGTCGACTTCCCGTCAATCTCACATACCAGCGACGGATTGACCGACAAGACACCCCTTCGAGTATGTCGTGCACCAAACTTTAATCAAAATAAATTCTGATTTTCCTCTTTAATTTTAGCGAAGAGTTCTAGACGAACTCAGTCTATGTTTTTTTTTTTTCAAGTAACAACGTCAAGGTTTTGTAATACCGAGAGCCGCTAATTCGCATCCACGTGCCGTGTGTAGGAAATGAATTCAAATTTAAATACTCTGACTTCGCTAGTCACTCGCGAGCTTCACGAGCGGCGAGACAATACTATATATGATCTTTTCGATCTCAGCTCTCTTCGGCCTGACTCCATCACTGGGTGGTGACTGGGTTTGGAATCCCGACACTTATCAAATTTTCTTAGCCATTGCTCTCTTTTCGCGTGTTACTATTCCTTCAAAGAAGATGGGGCTTAAATTATAAGAGTGCCCAAGTCTCTCGTACGTTCCTTCCTTGAACGTAATCCTCCTACTAATATGCTCTCGAGTCATATTGTAATACAGGAAATTCTGGTGGAAGTCGTCGAGGAAATACTAGATGATATCTGCAACGACAAGCGCACACTCATTGGTTTCGTGGTGTTTAGAGGCATGCTACAATCAATTGACGAAGTATCATCCTTGCACACGCCGCATTTGAACGTCCTGTACTTTGAAGAGCTGCGTTGGGACTGACTTGTAAACAGGCCTGCAAAGCACTGTCCAAGTGGTATGTGTTTAAAACGTGACTGGCTGCCCCGCACCAAGTTGAAAAGATGAGTGGCTGACTGTTGATAAGAAACCTGACTGGTGTTGAATTAAAAACTGGACCATGATATGGTTCGCAGTGAGTTGTGCAAGAGGAATTGAATACATAGCCGACAGCATCAAGGAATACAAAACGATCAGTGGGTGCACTACCGTCCAGTCTGAGTCCGAATGATAGGTTATGAACGCCCCCGCCACCATCTCAAGATGACCGCGAGACAACCGAGTCCTTATGTCAAAGGATATAAGAACACAATCGTACTCAAAACCTGTGAGATGCACTTACGATTAGGAGAGGTAGGTCGGCGGCGGTGGTGGCGAGGTTTAGGTGGCACAGCGAGATATTCAGGGTGAGCACGTCTTTTGTGGGGGGTAGTATGTGCGGCTGTCCGCTTCTTCGGGGCTGTCTTCTTTGGTGGTGGTGGCCGGGAAGCGGGGAAGACCAAAGATCTCTTCTTCATCATGCACCACTGCTTCACCGAACGCGACGTGCAGTCGACCAACCAAATCTCTGCCCCAGTAAATCTCTTCACTTGTGCTGATTGTGTGCTGGTTGGGTTGGCGGTCAACTTCAGGCATCTGCCCCCGTCGTACGATTGGATCCGCCCGCTGCTTTTGAGCTCGGCCTCGAGGCGTTTTCGCTCATCCGGCTCGTCAACGTAAAAGAGCGACATGTGAGGGAAGCTACGGCTCTTCCATTGAATGTTCAGAGTACTGAGGTGCCTGGTGACTGCTTCGTGGAGGCGCATCAGCTTGCTGGATTGGGAGATCCTGATAGAGAGGGCGCCAAGGTAGCTGTTTCCGCATTTTATCGAGTCAAAGGACGCCACGGGCCGGCTGAGATTGTCGAGGGGGATGGCGTCGAGGTTGAATGAGGATGGGAGAACATCAAAGGTGGCGAGGGTGATGTGTGGGTCGAAGGAGGGGTAGGAGCGAGAGTGCGAGTCTAGTGTGTATGACTGGGGGCGGAATTTCATGAATTCAGAGAAGGCAGTGAATTCGGTACTCGATGGGACCAGCCATAGTGCGTATCCTAGAAAATGTGGGTCAGTCCTGAGGAATTCTCAACAAAAATCAGAATTATACCCATATGTGGCAGAGGCGTCAGCGTCAAGCAAGCTTCAAGTATGGTAGTGTTACGTATCTGAGAGCATGTTCAAAGCCGCGTTTTGAATGGCTGGGACCAGTTGACCATTGCAGCTTGCAGGACGACACGGAGTTCGCGTCAAGTACTTCGGTAACTGCCGCTTGTGCTTTCGCCTGTTTCGTTCAAGGCTAACCCTTCTTCACGCCAGCTTTATGACCGGGGTGGATGGGGGTGTTGACCGTGAATAAGAAAGCTATGCTCTCCTTTCTTCCGACTCGACGACATTGTTCTTTTCGCTGCCAGTCTGGTGAATGTGACACCCGTTGGTAGCCATCTACCAATTATCGTATCTATCTATCTTCCGCCTCACTACGGCTCTCTGATGACCGACTATGCATCGAGAATCGGCTCGAAAATACAAGAGGACTACACGACGGCACCTTTTATCTTTCACGTTCTTTCGGAGAATTCACAACCTCAGAAATGTCTTTTGAGGAAAGTGAATTGTCGCAAGGAGGCTGGACATGCCTCGTTTCTGTTTTGCTTCAGGTCGGATCCTACCTCCTGTAAACTGGGGCTTCCTGGCTCTCAAACAAACAGATGAAATTGTGAATTGGTGAAGGGAGCATATCGCTAGCGCCTAACCTTGTCTGTCGGAATCACATTCGTCTCTTCAGCATGACTGTCAACTTGCGACTTAAATCTGCAACTACAGACCATCTGCTCTTCGCCCCTCCTCTTCTCATAAGTCAGACTGGGAATTTTACGCTTTCTGCCGACGTTCAGCCTGGGACTGATATGGCGAACAAAATATGTCTAGTCTGCAAGAAGCGCCCAAAACGGGACAAGTACCAGTTCTGTTCGGAACGCTGTCACGGACATGGCTGCAAAGAGAGCACCACAACTCCTTCGAGTTCCCAAGGACCATGTTATATACAAAGATGGTACACTCTTCCTGACTGCTCCTCGCCCTCACTCGACTGAATACTTGGCCAGTTGCGACCTCATTTGGCGAAAACTGGGACTGGAATAAGGGACTTCGCCCATCGAATCTACCTGATTACGTGGTCACCAAGCCTCCGAAAGTCTTTTGACGACTATCGGTGGGATCTCTGTACCGTTCGTTGGACGTACTATCTAACTAACACATCGGCAGGGAGAACATCGCTCGCACGATCAAAGGCAACAAGAAACCCAAAAAAGTCAAGCGCTTTCGCTGTGAGGTGCGCATGTGTCTACTGGGCGATCCGGGAGAGTTGAACAATCAAGTTGTGTAGTACACCACAGTGCTGCCTCTGTAGAGCCATCGAGACGGGTTTCAGAAAGACTCTCGACAACAAGCGCCTCATGCAAGGACTGTCATGAGTCGTAGATATCAGTATAGATATCCTATTCGACGGGCTGACTGCTTCGAAAGACGAGGAGCTCGGTTCGGGCGTGGTATATACATAGCCCTGTCGTCCTCGAAGTACATGACCACCAAGTTTTTCACGGACCTCATCTTATGCACATGTCCCTAGGGCATTTCAGTATGCGGAAAACGGCAGCTCAGGATCTAAATACGAAGCAGTCTTCACAACGAGAGAAGTCTTGGGAAACGCGCAGAAGGTGGTCTTTGACAATTGGTATAGGCTCCAGCCGGATAAGGGATACGATTCCGTGAGCATGAATTTCGGTTTTTGAGGTGCATTGATTGAATAACAGTTGTTGTTACAGGTGGAGGCGCATCCCCTTGTTGGGCCGACCGAAGTTGTTGTATTCCACCACAACGCGGCACGTCCGGCGTACCTCATCATAGCGAAGTAATGAAGACACCTATATTATTTCATTGTCATACATGTACAATTCCAATGTCTTGTTCTCATTGATACTCTGCTGCAAACCTATCTTATGCCGAAGACGCTTTCTTATCACCTGCAAGTAACGAGAGTCAAAGTCGGGCTTCTGATTTTGTATGTTAACACTGCTACAAGTCGATATTATCCACAATGATACTGGTACATAGTTTTTATGCTTCATCTACGGAATCTAGATGCGTAGTAAAGGGGAACCTGCTGGGGAGGGCTATGAATATAAGGGAAAAAAATCAGCACTGGGGTATGCGAACGACTATAGCTCGTCGCTAGGTAGCTGGGCCACTGACCCGTCATGTCAGCTAGATGCGTTAAAGATGCGGCGCAGCTCCTACAGGTGGTGGATCAACATCCATAGCGGTTATCGATAGTTCTGCTTGGCTGTGGCGTGTTGGCTGTGTGCGTTGCACTGTGTATGTGGGCGAGATAGGCGTCTTCGGAGCATCCGAGATCGAGGTGGTTGCAGGGGCAGATGGAGATGGCGATGAAAATGATTCGCTAGGGCGACGCCTTCGTGGCTCTTTGGGACGTGATACGTTGTTCGCTGTTCGAATTGACGACCCAGGTGAGCGTGAATGAAGAGCAGTTGTCTTCGATGAGTTCGGTGTAGAACGAGAAGGGCTCCTGGTTGGAAGGACGCTCTTCTCCGTGGGTGGCGACGTAGCGTACTGTGGTTGAGATAAAGGCTGTTTCGTTATCTGTGGGTCGGGCACAGAAGCAGGTGTAGGCGCAGGTGCAGGACCAGCCTGGGTAGGTACTGGCATGGTGTCGAGCGTTTGACATTCGCGACGGGGTCCTGGAGAGGGGTCCTCCTGCTTTGTGATTTCGCTAGGGTGAAGCTTTTGTGGCTCTGTGGGTCGTGATGCAGTGGTCGCCACATCCTGGGTAAGTACCGGAAAGGTGATGGATTCTGTGTGGCGGGAACGAAGCTCTCTGAGCCTGGATATGGAGAGTGACCTCTTCTCCATCACCTTCCACTGCCTAACTGAACATGTGCAATCGACCAGCCAGACCTCCGTTCCCGTGAATCGGCTGTGCAGGTCCAGATCCCCACTGTCGCCAAAAGTCCCCATCTGCTTGTAGTCTTTCAAACCCTCCTCCAATTTAAGCCGTTCTTGTGGCTCATCGACGTAGAAGAGCGACATGTGCGGGAAGTTGCGACTCTTCCACTCAGCGCTGAGGTCATTCAAATAGTCGGTAATCACTCCATGAAGGCGCTCAAGCTCGCGAGGCTTGGATAGCTTGATGATGAGAGCACCGAGGTACGTGTCGCCCCGCTTCCATGATTCGAACTTCATCACAGGAGGCCTGAGGTCGTAGATAGGGAGTTTGTCTATATCAAGAGTGGGCGGTAAATTGGCGAATGTGGCGAGCGTAATATGGGGAGCAAAGCAGGGATATGATTTAGAATCAGGTTTCACTGAGGAATGAAGCGGTCGGAATTCCATGAGCTTTTCCCAGGCTTTGTATTCCTCGGGGGACGGGATGAGCCATAGTGCGTATCCTGCAAACATAAGTTAAGTGAGTGTTTTCTGAAAATGATCAGATTCCTTACCCATAACTGCTAGGGACGATAAGAGTCGAAGGCAAGAAAAGTAAGAGCAAACGACTCGTCTTCCCTTTTCAGTGCTGGCGCGCTTCGGTAAGACTGAGTATAAATATTTGGTACCGCTATGTAGTTCTCAATCACACCGGCGACCTATAGTGCGCGTCGCTTAGTCAGCACCACTTTTGGACAGGGGCAAAATTGGGCAGAGATTTTTGCTAAAATTCAAAATCTTCCGAAAAGTCGATTTCCGAAATAATATTTTTTTTCGAAAAAAGTGTGACAGTATGTGAAGGCCCACGTATGTTACGTTCTCCTGCCATTTGGTGTTACGGTGCAAAATTGGATGTTCAAAAAATTAATATTATTCCTTCAGTTTTTGGAATTTGAACAATCTGTCTAACAGTTTTGTCCTTTTCATCAATAGAAGCATTTCTGTTTAAGGAATAAGAAATACCGTGAGAAGTCCAGTCTTGCACAAAAGTAGCGGTGTTTAGGTGATGCGCACCATAGCGCTCCTCTGATGGCCTCGTCCACTTCTGTCCAAGTGACATGTTCGTTATCTGGTATTGGTGGCGGTGGTTGGATTCAATAGTTCAGGGAAATCTGATTGTGGCGTAAGCGGGGTTAGATCAAACCAGTCTGCCTTTACTGAGGGCGTCTGGCGTCTAGTCTTTCACGAATCACAGTTCTCATCCTCGTGCTGTCATCTGTCCGAATCCCGAAATAATATGAAGCTCGATTTTCCTCCCATCCTGGCATTGTCCTCCTCCTCGAGACTTAGTACCCCGCCCTGTATTCTGAAGCATACCTGGTACTTCTGGATGTCTGACATCTGTCTCCAGTGCAAGCGGCAGCCGAAGCGCAAAGACTACCAATTCTGTTCGAAGAAATGCACCGATACGGCGGCAAACAAAGCGCCTCATCTCATTAGGGTTCCCAAGGATCACATCATGTACAAGAATGGCACGTTCCACCTGCGTCTGCGTCTATTTGGTTCTGAACGTCGCGCCAGTCGCCAATTCCTTCAGGGATACTTGGGACTACAATGCCGGTTCTTGTCCCGTTATTGACCGCATCTACTTGATCACTTGGACGCCTGGTATGCGTGATTCTTTTGACAACTATCGGTGGGTGCAGTTTTATGGCAACGGGATCATTGTTCGCGTATGATACAACAGGGAGTCTGTCGCGAAGAGACTGAAGGACAGGAAGAAGCCCAAGGAAGTCAAGCGCTTCCGTGCTGAGTCACGTACTTGCCTCCTGGGCGACCCAGGGCAGTCGGCATCGTTGTGCAATGATCGGAATTGCCATCTCTGCAGGGCAATCGAGACTGGGTTCGAGTCTACGCTTCGCCACAAGCGTTGTCTGGTGTATAATGGCCAGTTGTAGGTCCTCTCACCGTCTTGTTAATGCGCTGGATATGAACACCGATTCCTTCTGGCAGGGAATCGTGTCGTTTCGGAGGCGGGATCTATATGTCGCCAGCCTCCTCCAAGTACGTGAATGATTAACTCTCAGTGTACAAATTATTTATACTGACTGGTTTTCATGGCCGTCAGGGCGTTCAACTATGCAGTCAACGCTGGTTACGGCTCACAGTATAAGGCTGTGCTGGCAACAAGAGTCATCCTTGGCAAGCCGCAACAATTGGCCTGGGACGAGAACTACAGACTTGAGCCAGACCTAGGCTATGATTCCGTGAGCGTTACTTCTCTTCGTCTCGGGCACGTGAAGCGGCACTGAAGTAGAACCTTCAAGTTGAAGCGCGCCCTGCGGATGGTGGGCCCATTGAACTCGTCGTGTATAACCACAATGCTGTTCGTGCAGCGTATCTTCTTATTCTGAAGCAGTAGATGAGTCACCAGTCTTATATATCTGTCTCTTTGTGCCCGTCATATTATTTACATTGGAATTTCGTACCAATGCATGTCTTCGCGCGTTGAATACTGGACACGGCAAGCTGGCTTTGCTGACATCTATAACATATTTCATTGGACAAAAATTTCGGTGTCTGTCACGTTGAAATGCCGTGCAATCTCATTCATTCTCGTGGAAAGCCGTGGCTACATGCGTTCGTTGATCATAAGGAGATACGCAGGACGAACTGCGTCCTTACGGTATGTGACATACTCTAACGGACCACCTTCAGCGCGTGCCTTGACCTGATAGAGGATGAGGTAACATCACTGCTAATGAAATTGAACGCACGGAATCATATCCCTTGTCAGGTGAGAGCCTGTGGTGTTGTTCATCCTTGAGGAACTGCATCTTTCCGAGCACAGTCCTCGTAACGAGAACAGTGAGGTACTCTGAGCCTTCCGAGAGATTCACAGCGTATTGGATTGCCCTATTAATGCATAGTCAGAAGTCGGAAAGATCATAACACCATATGCGTACTTGTTGGACGAGGGCGACATGTACAACCCACCCCCAAAGCGAACGCCAATCCTACAACAATTCAGTCACCCAAGCGACGTCACACAGAACAGGAAGACTCACGTCGCGTTGTTCATCACCATCCGGCGTTTATATTCCAAGCTCGATTTGAATGCAGTCCGGATGGCGGGACAGAGCCGACAGTTGGACATCCAACACAACTTAGTATCTGACCTCTTGTCACCGAGGCTACAAGCACGTTTCTCAGAGCGGAAACACTTGACCTCTTTCGGCTTGTCATCAGGTATGTTTCTCTTTCTTGCAACTTCTTCACTGCAACAGGTCAGTCAGCATGCAGTGCGGGAGACTGCTGAAGTACCGATAAGCATCGAAGGATGTCCTCATATCAGCACTCCAAGTAATGAGATAAATCTTTGCGATGGAGGGGCATGGAATGGTCGGATCGTGCCATTTCTCGGTCCAAAGCTTCGTGACTAGCCAAGAGCTTGTAGTCACTTTGACGGGCATACGGAAAGATATGAAGAAAATGCGTACTATTGTCGTATACAACATGCCCCTTAGGAACCCTCATGAGCTGTGGAGCATCTCTTGCAGCTTCCTTGGTGCATCTCTGCGAGCAGAACTGGTAGTCTTGTCGCTTAGGAGCACTCCCGCACACTAGGCAGATATCGTTAGCCATGTGGAAATGCACCGGGGAGTTGGCGAAGGAGCTTTAAGTAGGGCTTCCCCCTCCTGTCCAGTCGCCCAGTACCTATCACTGCATGAATTGGCCGCGTGTACGAACGACGCCCCACGAGCGCTTGATACATGTTGACCCTTCAAGCGACGGTGCCATGCTATAGGTCCGTCAGATATTGAAATTGTTGAGATTACCTTAGGATGTGTTGGTTTCGGGGCGCTTAGAGGCATGCCATAATCCATTGACAAAGAGTGTATCGTTTTTGTATCACCTTGCACACGTTGCATCGGATTTGAACGTCCTGTGGTAAAGAGGGCCTACCGCAGGGTTCGAGGGGCAAAATCCGTGATGAACTATCAAGTCATGAGAACCTTGAAGACCGCACTACAGCATCGATCGGTGTAGCGCCTGTTTCATTGACTTCGAATGGAAATTCATCGGTTATTATATGCCGCCCGAACTCTGAGATCTGTTTATCAGGCGTTTATCACTGAAGTGAAGTGACCTCGGTCTCACCTACGTACATCGCCTCCTCCGCTAGCGTATTCTTTGGACATCAAGGACGGAAATGACATCTTGACAGCGGTGAAGGCTTCTTTTGATATATACATATTGATGTAGGGGTGAATGAGCCCATACAACTTTGTCCATGGTGCAATTGGCGGAAGGAATCGTCCTCTTTGGAGTAAAAACAGACCTTGAATGGAAGTTATCGATTGAAACAGTACAGTAGAGTGTCTGCAGTCAATCCGATAGCTGCATGCATTTGTTGATCATAAGGAGATACGCAGGACGAACTGCGTCGTGACATACTCTAACGGACCACCTTGAGCGCTTGCCTTGACCTGATAGAGGATGAGGTAACATCATTGCTAGTAAAATTGAACCCACGAAATCATATCCCTTGTCAGGTGAGAGCCTGCGGTGTTGTTCGTTCTTGATGAACTGCATCTTTCCGAGCACAGTCCTCGTAACAAGAACAGTGAGGTACTCTGAGCCTCCCGAGACGTATTGGAATGCCGTAATAATGCATAGTCAGAAGCCAGAAAGATCATAACGCCATGCACGTACTTGTTGGACGAGGGCGCCATGTACAACCCAACCCCAAAGCAAACGCCAGTCCTACAAAAATTCAGTCACCCAAGTGACGTCGCACAGACCAGGTAAGTCACGTCGCGTTGTTCATCACCATCTGGCGCTTATAGTCCAAGCTTGACCTGAGTGCAGTCCGGATGGCGGGACAGAGCCGACAGTTGTACTTCCTGCACAACCTGTATCGCTTCTTGTCGCTGAGACTACAAGCACGTCTCTCCGAGCGGAAGCACTTGACTTCCTTCGGTTTGCCTTTTCCAATCTTGCGCATCTCAGCCGCCTTCCCGCTGCGAAGATTGTTAGTGAGGAATCTAGTTCGACTGTGTCGACGTACCGATACTTCTCAAACGATGAGCGCTGGTAAGCAGTCCAAGTGATGAGGTAAATCTTCGCAACTGTAGGCAGATTCTGCCTCTGATCGTTCCACTGCTTCGCGAACATCTTCTTGACTAGCAACAGACAGATATAAGAAACAATCAAGGTAGTAAGGAGGGATCTACTCACCATTCTCGTAGAAGACGTGCCCCTTTGGCACCCTCATGAGCTGAGGCGCTTTCTTCGCAGCTAAGTTAGTGCATCTGTCAGGGAAGAACTGGTAGTCTTTGCACTTGGGCATTTGCGGCACACGAGGCAGATGTCTTTGCGGGTATGCGGCAGTGTTGTAAGACTAGAGGACTAGATTGATTGGCCATCTGCGCTGATACAGCTCGGGTAAATAGAAATAAACTACTCCTACCAACCTTGATGCATGATGCATGATGCATGCTCATTGGGAGAAGTAATTGTGCGGGTCACATGAAGCACGCTATTTTTCCTTTTAATTTTGGGTGAGCCTGGCCAATGAGAGACGCGTGGTATGCTTGGTTTTAAGCGTGCAGAAGAGGGCCTTTTCGGCTCCAAGGATTTGGGCAGTACTCGCTGGGTGCTTTGCAAGATTCGTGAGGCTCCCGGCGTGGGAGATGAGTCGGGCCCCAACGAGCTCACCGACAAGGACGGTAAGGTTGTATGCGATGGCATTCATGCGGTTCCGGAGAATACTCTGAGGGTTGCGTTCGATAGGCGGAGATGGAGATAACTTGGTCGTAGAGGGAGTGGACGTGAGCAATGTCAGAGTCGGATACTTCGGTTCCCATTGAGATTTCGGCAGCAGCCTTGATGGCTTGCTCGAAGTCTTTGGGTAGTATTGTGGTGGAGAATGTTGATGATGCAGTAGTACAGAAACCTGGATAACAGTTCTTAGCGTCGGAAGAAAAACTTAAGCTAGGACCCAAATGCATACCCATGCGCTTGATCACCTAAGCTTCAGCCTATAACCACCAGTGATTATGGCTCACTGTCCCACAGACAGAAAAGAGCCGGATACTCGCAGTTTGTTCGCCTTTCAGGTTCCTCGAACGCTTTAAAAGTTCTGATCGTTGGGCGATGCAGACTTGGAAATTTTGAAGAGGTAGTAGCTCATTGCGGTTTCGAAGAGTGGCCGGACGCGTTTAGAATGTGGTACCCGTGGGAATTTCATTCTGTTTTGGGCCTGTCGGCGGCACATTTTAAGTCCGTCTCGGTTTTCCTACGACACACGAGTCAAACACTCCATGGCCGACGTCAAGATATACCTGAAGCCACGACCAATATCGGCTCTTTATGGACACTGCAACTATATACCAAACATCTATATACCGTACAAACGATGCTCAGAATTCAAGTACGGTCCATTCCTCGCCGACTATGGGGCGGTCCCCTCTGATGCTACAGAAGAATACACCATACACTCGCCCTCCCTATCCGCCCAGCTTGCTGTATTCCACAACGAAACTCTACCTAGTCTCCAGGCCGACATTCCCAATCCAAACAAAACTAGTCGTTCATCTTGGTCCAGTCTTCTTGAGCTTGCCAGGTCGAAACTCGCAGGGATAGTCGACTTCCGAACAGAGTGCGAAACCCACATCGTTTGACTTTGCAAAGGCGATAGTGCCCCAGATCCACTGACGGACTCGTCATTCAATACTGCTCGTTGGTGGTATAGGCTGGTCTTTTCCATCTTGTCTCGGGACGACAGAGAGCTGCGCGACAACGACGACACCGAAGTACAGATACTGGTTTCGGCTTACATGTATGATGCCATTTTCTCCCTATCTGGTAAGTGTGTACATTTGTGATCTTCCACCTTTTTATTTAATTTACTGCACAGTGATATGGGCCAATTTTCGTGAAGAGATGTTGCAGCTGACAGATCCGGTTTCTCCTGCTTACCTACCTTCAGGCTATGGTGATTTTCTGTAACTGACATACTTTTCTTACACTAATGTGCTCTTTTCCAGGTAACAACTCGGGATTCTTGACTCTTCTTAGTACACAGGTATACACTATTGTCCCCGCACTCTACCCCGCCGATACAACAAGCAATCACGACTATAATTCTCCCCTATCTCAGTCCTCTGACACTGTCGACTTCCCGTCAATCTCACATACCGGCGACGGATTGACTGACAAGACATCCTTTCGGCTGCGAGTATGTTTTGCACCAAACTTGAATCAAAATAAATTCTGATTTTCCTCTTTAATTTTAGCGAAGAAACTACGTAACCATAATTGAATAAGTTCTGGACGAACCCGGTCTATTTTTTTCAAGTAACAGACAAGGTGTCGTGATACCGAGAGCCGCTAATTCGCATCCACGTGCCGTGTATAGGAAATGAATTAAAATTTAAATACACTGACTTCGCTAGTCACTCACGAGCTTCACGAGCGGCGAGACAATACTATATATGATCTTTTCGATCTCAGCTCTCTTCGGCCTGACTCCATCACTGGGTTTGGAATCCCGACACTTATCAAATTTACTTAGCCATTGCTCTCTTTTCGCGTGTTACTATTCCTTCAAAGAAGATGGTGCTTGAATTATAAGGGTGCCCAACTCTCTCGTACGTTCCTTCCTTGAACGTAATCCTCCTACTAATATGCTTTCTCATATTGTAATACAGGAGATTCTGGTGGAAGTCGTCGTGGAAATGCTAGATAATACCCGCAACGACAAGCGCACACTCAAGTCATCATGTCTGATGACGAGGTCGTTGTGAATAAGAACAAGAACCAGAGACATGAAAGCACAGTCATAGGTGCCAAGGGATTACAGCAAAGATGAGTTTGAGTCGATTCCATATCAGATCCGTAGGAAGAGGTGGAAGAATACATGGACAAGGCCAACCTTTCAACAGAACATCTCAGTAAGCAAATGTGGCTATTGAAAAGAGAGAATAATCCCGCCTTGGTTGGATACTAAGACGTTAGATGGCTTGTAGACACTGCAATGTGGTTCACAACTTTGCACGAGAATGAACGGGATTGCACGGTATTTCAGCGTGACAGGCGCCGAAAATTTTGTCCAATGAAACGTGTTATAGACGTCAGCATGCCAGCCTGCCGTGTCCAATATACAAAGTGCGAGGATATGGATTGGTACGAAATTCCAATGTAAATAATATGACGGGTGTAAAGAGACATATGTATAAGATTGGTCACTCATCTACTCTTCAGAATGAGAAGATACGCTGCACGAACAGCATTGTGGTTGTACACAACGAGTTCAGTGGGCCCGCCATTCGCAGGGCGCGCTTCAACCTGAAGGTTATACATCAGCGCCGCCGCCGCACACGCGCGAGATGAAGAGAAGTAACGCTCACGGAATCGTAGCCTGTGTCTGGCACAAGTCTGTAGTTCTCGTCCCAGACCAATTGTTGCGGCTCTCCGAGGGTGACTCTTGTTGCCAGCACAGCCTTGTACTGCGAGCCATAGCCAGCGTTGGCTGCATAGTTGAACGCCCTGACGGCCATGAAAATCAGTCAGTATAAAGAATTTGTACGCTGAGAGTTAATTCACGTGCTTGGAGGAGGCCGGTGCCATGTAGATCCCGCCTCCGAAACGACATGATTCCCTGCCAGAGGGAATCAGTGTTCACATCCAACGCATTAACAAGACAGTGAGAGGACTTACAACTGGCCGTTATACACCAGACAACGCTTGTATTGAAGCGTAGACGCGAACCCAGTCTCGATTGCCCTGCAGAGATGACAATTCCAGTCATTGCACAACGATGCCGACTGCCCTGGGTCTCCCAGGAGGCAAGTACGTGACTCAGCACGGAAGCGCTTGACTTCTTTGGGCTTCTTCCTGCCCTTCAGTTTCTTCGCGACAGACTCCCTGTTGTATCATACGCGAACAATGATCTCGTTGCCATAGAACTGCACCCACCGATAGTTGTCGAAAGAAGAGCGCATACCAGGTGTCCAAGTGATCAAGTAAATGCGGTCAATAACGGGACAAGAACCGGCGTTGTGATCCCATGTATCCTTGAAGGAATTGGCAACTGGCGCGACGTTCAGAACCAAATAGAGATGTAGACGCAGATGCAACGTACCATCCTTGTACATGACGTGATCCTTGGGAACCCTGATGAGATGAGGTGCGTTCTTTGCCGCCGCATCGGTGCATTTCGTTGAACAGAATTGGTAGCCTTTGCGCTTCGACTGCTGCTTGCACTGGAGACAGATGTCAGACATCTAGAAATACCAGGTATGCTTTAGAATACAAGACGGGGGACCAAGTCTCGGGGAGGAGGATAACGCCAGGATGGGAGGAAATCGAGCTTATTTATTATTATTTCAGGGACTCGGATAGTCTCACGACAGCACGAGGATGAGAGCTGTGATTTGTGAAAGACTAGACGCCAGACGCAGGACAAGTTGACAGGTGTTTCGCCGGAGCATAGTGCTCGTGCTTCCTAGTAAATAGCAGTCGAGAACCTAACAGCAAACGCGACCGCCTCGTGTGTCATAAAAGTTCCGAGTACGGATATCGACAGATGCAGTTAGTACAGTGTGCAAGCGACTTCAGTAAAGGCAGGTTGGTTTGATGATAGTAGGTAGAAAGAAGAATGGGTTTGTATGTTTGCTTCCGGCTCCCACGATCAATCAGATTCGCCTGATGTGAACTTGACAAATTCCATGAATTCGCGATCGTTCTAACCGAATGCATGCGCAGGGAGCTTCCTGCGTCTTTCGCGTTTCAAGGAAGTACCAACCCTCGTCAGTAAGTCAGCACATGCATAGGGAGTATGGTGATATACCATCCATGGACTCGTCTAAATCAGTATGGTACTATACTCTCATACACGTACCTCCCATGCTCATTCATGCCGTCTCAGTGCCCCGACAGGATGTCCTTCTAGTTCATGCAGCGAAAATTAAATGAAATAAATGTATTGCAAGCTATGGACGACGCACAGAAATGAAACATCGCGCTTCGCTCGGAGAGGAAGACAGGATTCGCAGTGTTGAGACGTAGGTGAGGCATGTTGGGAACTGGGAGGCGCAGGCGCAGGTGTGATCCAAAGTGAGAGTGAACTGTCAAGCGACAAGTGTAATTGAGACTTCCGGTATTTGCCGGTGTGATTTTGTGAAACTCTTTTTGCATTTCATTAAACGTACGCTAACTACCAAGACGCGGCGGAGGTACAGGTCCTCAGGCACTCTCCTTCCTTCCCTCTTGTTCCAATTTTCATCTGATTTTCTCTGGTGATTCGACATCTGATGTGAAGTAGAGTAACTGGAAGGTATTTTTACGCTAATTGAGTTGTTTCTGCGCTTGGTCAAGGCCTCGCCGGTGTGATTGACAAGTACGCATTTCAGTTCTGCAACAGAGCCACACAGCGGTACCGAATACTTATTTATACTCAGCACGCAGTATTGAAAAGGAAAGACGAGTCGTTCACTCTTACTTTTCTTGCCCTCGACTCTCATCGTCTCTCGCAGTAATGGGTAAGGAATCTAAGCATTTTCGGAAAGGTTGTGAATATTCACCTATGTTTACCAGGATACGCACTATGGCTCATCCCGTCCCCCGAGGAATACAATGCCTGGGAAGAGCTCATGAAGTTCCGACCGCCTCATTCCTCAGTGAAGCCTGATTCTAAATCATACCCCCGCTTTGCTCCCCATATCACGCTCGCCACATTCGCCGATTTCCCACCCGCTCTTGATATAAACAAACTCCCTATCTACGACCTCAGGCCTCCTGTGATGAAGATGAAGTTCGAATCATGGAAGCGGGGCGACACGTACCTCGGCGCTCTCGTCATCAAGTTATCCGAGCCTCGTGAGCTTAAGCGCCTTCATGGAGTGATTACCTCCTATTTGGGTACCCTCGGCGCCCAGTGGAAGAGTCGCAACTTTCCGCACATGTCGCTCTTCTACGTCGATGAGCCACAAGAGCGGTTCAGATTGGAGGAGGGTTTGAAAGACTACAAGGGGATGGGGACTTTTGGCGACAGAGGGTATCTGGCCCTGCGCAGCCGATTCACGTTCACGGGAACCGAAGTCTGGCTGGTCGATTGCACGCGTTCAGTGAGGCAGTGGCAGGTGATGGAGAAGAGGTCACTCTCCTCATCCAGGCTCAGAGAGCTTCGTTCCCGCCACACAGGATCCGCCACCTTGCCGGTACCTACCCGGGCTGGCCCTTCTGCACCTGCACCTGCTTCAGTGTCCGCTCCACAGATAACGAAACAGTCTTTATATCAACCACAGTACACTACGTCGCCATCCACGAAGAAGACCTTCCCTCTAAACAGGACCCCTTCTCGCTCTACACCGAGCCCATCGAAGACAAATACTCTTCATTCATGCTCACGTTGGGCGCCACTTAGAATAGCGACCACCGTATCACGACCCAAAGAACTACGAAGGCGTCACCTTAGCGAATCACTTTCATCGCCGCTCCTCCCATCGCCATCTCCATCTGCCTCTGCAACCACCTCGATCTCAGATGCCCAGAAGATGCCTATCTCGCCCACGTACAAGTACGCACAGCCGACACGTTACAGCCAACTTGAAGCAGAATCATCGATAACCGCTATGGATGCTGATCCACCACCCGTAGGAGCTGCGCCTCATCTTCTTTAACGCATCTAGCTGACATGACGGGTCAGTGGCCCAGCTACCTAACGGCGAGCTATAGTCGTTCGCATACCCCAATGCCGAACTTGTTCCCTTATATTCATAACCCTCCCCAGCAGGTTCTCCTCTACTACGTATCTAGGTTCAGTAGATGAAGCATAAAAACTACGTACCAGTATCAGCGTGGACGTTATCGACTTGTAGCAGAATGTTAACAAACAAAATCAGAAGCCTGACTTTGACTCTCGTTACTAGCGGGCGATGAGAAAGCGTCTTCGGCTGAAGTAGGTTCGCAGCAGGGTATCAGTGGTGTAAGAACAAGGCTTCGGAATTGAACATGTATGACAACGAAATGATATATGTAAGTGTATTCATTGCTTCGCGATGATGAGGTACGCCGGACGTGCCGCATCGTGGTGGAATACAACAACTTCGGTCGGCCCAACGGGGGGATGCGCCTCCACCTGTGACGACAACTGTTATTCAATCAATGCACCTCAAAAACCGAAATTCATGCTCACGGAATCGTATCCCTTGTCGGGTTCGAGCCTACCCCAATTGTCAAGTTTCACCGTCTGCGGGTTTCCCAAGACTACTCTTGTCGTAAGGACTGCCTTGTATTTAGAACCCGAGCCGCCGTTCTCCGCATACTGGAATGCCCTAAGGATATGTGCATGAGATGAGGTCCGTGGAAAATTTGGTGGTCACGTACATCGAGGACGACGGAGCCATGTATATACCACGCCCGAACCGAGATCCTCGTCTTTCGAAGCGGTGAGCCGGTCGAATAGGATATCTACCGATATGTATGTACGACTTACGACAGTCCTCGCCCTAGGCGTTTGTTATCGAGAGTCGTTCTGAATCCCGTCTCGATGGCTCTACAGAGCCAACAGTCTGGTGTACCACACAACTTGTTGTTCAACTCTCCCGGATCGCCCAGTCGACACTTGCGCGCCTCACAGCGAAAGCGCTTGACTTCTTTGGGTTCCTTGTTGCCTTTCATCGTGCGAGCGATGTTCTCCCTGCCGATGTGTTAGTTAAATAGTACGTCCAACGAACGATACAGAGATCCCACCGATAGTCGTCAAAAGACTTTCGGAGGCTTGGTGACCACGTAATCAGGTAAATTCGAGCTATGGATGGACGAGGTCCCCTTTGCCAGTTCCAGTTTTGGCCAAATGAGGTCGCAACTGGCCAAGCATTCAGTCGAATGAGGGTGAGGAAACAGCCAGGAAGAGTGTACCATCTTTGTACATAACATGATCCTTGGGAACTCGGAGGAGCTGTGGCGCTCTATTTGCAGCCGTGTCCGTACAGCGCTTGGAGCAGAACTGATACTTGTCCCGTTTTGGGCGCTTCTTGCAGACTAGACATATTTTGTTCGCCATATCGATGTCTGAAGGTCGGAAGAAAGCGTAAAATTCCTAGGCTGACTTATGAGAAGAGGAGGGGTGAAGAGTAGATGGTCTGTAGTTGCGGGTATATAAGTCGCAAGTTGACAGTCGTGTTGAAGAAATGAATGTGATTCCAAAAGACAAGGTTAGGCACCAGCGGTATGTTCCTTCACCAGTTCACAATTTCACTTGTTTGAGAGTCAGAAGCCCCAGTTTACAGGAAGTAAGATCCGACCTGGACAAAACAGAAACGACGCATGTCCAGCCCCCTTGCGACACTTCAAAAGACATTTCCGGAGTTACTGATTCTCCGAAAGAACGTGAAAGATAAAAGGCACCGTCGTGGCAGTCCTCTTGTATTCTCGAGCCAATTCTCGATGCACAGTCGGTCCCCAGAAAGCTGTAGTGACGCGGAACTTGAAAGGAAAGGAGGCAGCAGAACAGAAGCAAAGGAAGGAGAGCGGTCCGGCAGAACTTTCTCACGCCCAACTGTGATCAAGGCGGCTTGATCCGGCCTCGCCTCTCTTTGCACCACTACCACTGTACCAGCTACCTTCGTACTGTCCTCGCATCAATGCGGTTCACGAACAAGATTATTCTGAAATAATTGGCGTATATCCTTGGCTAGACTTCAGCTTCTCATTCATTGTTTCATACTCCTCATGAGTCCTAGGATATATTACTTCCAACTTGGCTGAATTGCAGACTCCATAACGACTTGAAACACGGTGGTGACTGCATGTAAAATCTGGGTACTAAAAGGAATCTAATCCGATTCGCTGCCAATGCTATACTCATCCCAATTATCGTCATCGTCATCATCATCGTCATCTTCTTCCTCTGCCTCTCCCAGGAGGTAATCCATCGCGTTCGGAAGCACCTAGTCCATTCGTTGGTGTCGAAAGATTCGAGCGATTAAGAGGCGACATACCAGTCGTTTCAACTCCAGACCAAAGTCAAAGGCGCTATCTAACGCCATATCCTTCTCCAAGTCGGCATTTTTGTTAACAGTGCCTCCGACGGGAGGAATGGTAATCGAGGATAGCGGTTCAAAGATGGAGAAAAAAGATTCATCTCCCTCATCATCATCGGATCCTGGCCCACCTTTGGCTGCCTTCTGGACCAGGTTTTTTTTCGGCTTCCAATTAACCTTGTCTGCGGCAATATGGCTGTATTGAAGCTCTCCAGCAGCGTTTATCTCATCCTGAAGCGCCGTCAACGGACAGATTAAAGTAGGTGAGTGAGAGAATCGCCAACCTTGTAATAGAAAGTCAACTTGAGCTTAGTGTTCTTGAAGAAGGCGTTCGGCGAGAAGTGGAAGTCGATTGCAAAGGCAGGTGTTGGTACCTTGGCCTTTGGCGGGTAGCTGAGAATGATGTTGGTCAAGTGTTTGAGAGCAGGGACGTCTGTCTCGACGATGTACGACTCGATGTGGGAGTTGGAGAGGACGTTGAGCCAGAAGTTGTTGAGCGGAGCGGGCTTCGCTTCGCCCTTCAAGGCAGGCAGTGTCTTGTAGTCAGCGTCAAGTCGTCGACTCTTCAGTTCGCCTGCAGCGATTTCCTCTCCTGTGGGCGCGGCAGTACCAGAGAGGAATGCAAAGCGTCGTTCGTAAGCTTCCTTAAACTTGGCGGACCACTATGCATAGTGAGTGCTCCGACCGGAATACTACCGTTGACCTTACCTTTCTTTCTAGGTCGAAGACTGCCAGCTCGTACTCCTTCTGTAGCGTTCTGATACTATCTTCGATGCCGCGGATACCCTGGATGGATCGCTTTTCATCAACAGAGAGCTTAGCGTATCTGAGGACATCTCATATCAGCAGCACCCTGGGGACGGATCGAAACGTACTCAAATTCAGACATAGCGACGATTCAGGATTGCCTACCGACTGCCTGCAAGTCTTTTATACAAATTTGTATCTTGCTAAAGCCGGTCTGCAGCTCCTCTGTCAGCAGTTGTGTTGGAAGGCTCAAAGCTCACTGACAGTTCCCTTCACATTTAGGTCCGGTAGTATCGGATATCACCGGAATCGACCACTCCAAATGTGCATTCTACAGGTATCCAGAGATGAAACTGATGTATTGTTTGTACTAGGGGTAATGACATGCACTTTCCACGCCTAGCACTGTCCATTCTTGCTGTTGCCGGTACAGCGTCTGTGCAAGGAGGTCATTAAGCAGAAGTGATGTGCTTGGGGCGTTGCTCGTCCATATAACTGTATGCGCTTCAACCACCTCGAAGGAACAGAGAAACTACTATTCACTACAGCCTCAGCCATGGAGTTCATCTTTCTCGGTACAGGAACTTCTGCTGGCCTGCCGTACATCGATTGCATCACGGCACCACCGGAAAGGGAGGCGTGCAAGACGTGCCTCTCCACATTGACGCCGGAAGGGAAACGGAACATCAGGAGAAATACCTCGGCTGTTGTGCGAATGGATACCAAGGAGGGTAGAAAGGCGTAAGTTCTAGGCTCTCCTTCATACCACAGCTAACATTCATCATGTAGAACCATTGTAATTGATGCTGGGAAGACTTTCCAGGCGTCTGCTCTCGAATGGTTTCCCAAGTATGGGCTAAGGGAAATCGATGCCATTCTCATCACTCACGCTCATGCTGATGGTAATCGATTCCATTCATGCTGTTAAGCATTATTTGACTTTGTGAAAGCGTTGAATGGACTGGATGATCTCCGATGTTAGTAGGCTCGGTATTTGCTTTACCCCGCAATCTGATATGTTGTAGCATGGACATTATATGGGCTTATTCAGCCCTACATCGATATCTACCTGTCGCAAGAGACCTTCGATGCCGTCAAGACATCATTTCCGTACTTGGTATTGAAGGAATGCGCCAGCGGCGGAGGCGACGTACGTCGTTCTGTGAAGAGACGGGTTTTTTCATTGATAAGCGTCCGATATACAGGTCCCGGAATTCAAGTGGCATGTCATAAGTGACCAGATCCCCTTCCAGATTAACGATACGGGAATATATGTCACACCGTTCTCTGGTAGGGGTCTACACTGGGGCCAAAGCTTGCTGTCTAACTGACGGATCGATAGTCCATCATGGTTTCTGCCCTTCGAACTCCCCGCGAGATCACCTTCATACGTCACCGTCTCTTCCACTACTGAACGAAGCACCCTTCCAGGTTCCCGAACGACGCAAACCATTCCTGAGCTTCGGATTCAAGATATCCAATCAGCTTGTCTACATTTCAGACGCATCGCACATTCCAGAGGAATCTTGGAACGTGATCTCTCCGAAGACCTCTGGTCATGTCCCCGTGTGCGTGCTGGACTGTCTGCGGTTGGAGCCGCATGCATCGCATTTCCACTTGGCACAATCTGTCTCTGTAGCGCGAAGGATCAGTGCCACAAGGACGTACCTGACTGGCTTCTGTCACGCAGCTACGCACGAGGAGTACGTCTCTATGGGAGAGATCATTGGCGGGGCGCTGAAGGACCAAGGGGAGATGGCTGCTCTGAACGTGAAGGGCTTCTCGGTTGAGAAGGGAGATGTTATCTGGATACGACCGGCCCATGACGGTCTGAGGGTGACAGTAGACGACGGGGTGGTATGGGATGAAACATACTTGAATCAGTCGGTCCACGATAAGGTGGACTGGAGGGGTTGGCATGCGTACTTGAAGAGTTTGTTATCTTGGAAGCGCCTTGTTAATATGTTATTCATATTTAGATTGTAGACACTGATACCCTGACCTTACTGATAACTAAATTGCTTGTCTGCCCGAATGCTAATGCAGGGAGAGAAACTTAGCCACGAGTCGAGCTTCAACAAGTGCACAAAGTAAAGCGAGGGTTAGAAGATGGTACGTTCAGTTTCACGCATACAAACGCTGATCTTTGATACCTTATAGCCTACCTATTCCGAGCCACTCCCATTGGTGACTACAGTGCCGCTACCGTGCACTAGGGTAAGGAATTCTTAATTATCCGACCACGGTAAGGAACTAACGACTACATTTCAGTACACTTCACATGTCGAGAGTGCCGATTTCCTTCATCGCAGCGAATGCGACTATGAGATGAATTACTCATACATTACTTGAGGATGAGGAGGTACGCGGGACGAACAGAATTGTAATTGTACACGACCAGCTCAGCAGGTCCGCCATCCGGAGGATGCGCTTCGAGCTGGAGTATCGTCAGTCAACGAAAAGAAACAAGAAACTCTGCTCACGGAATCGTATCCGGGGTTAGGCCACAACCGCAGTCTATCGTTGGAGACGACTTTCTGAGGGTTTCCCAGGACCGCTCTCGTTGAAAGAACTGCCTTGTATCGAGATCCTGTGTTGCAGTTGTCAGCGTACTGGAATGCCCTGCCATCAGAGTCAGACGCAGGTGTCTACAACATAAAGGACTACACGCACGTCGAAGAGGCTGGAGCCATATAGACACCACCCCCGAAACGAGTCCTCCTACTGGAATAGCTCTTCTCATCAGCGAAAGAGATGGAATTGAATGACACAAGATGAATTTACAGATTGCCCATGATCACCAATGCACGCTTGTAGCTGAGAGTCGACATGAAGCCGGTAGCGATAGCACGACAGAGATGGCACTGCTGTCTTTTGCACAGTTTCGTCGACTTGCCCGGGTCGCCAAGGCGGCACATGCGTGCCTCGGAACGGAAACGCTTGACTTCCTTGAGTTTCTTCCCGCGTTTCAGTTTATTGGCGACGTTAGCACTGGAAGTTGCATCAGAATAGTGTAGAGGAAGAGCACCGCGGCATACCGATAGTTGTCAAAAGACGAACGAAGCTTCTCCGTCCAGGTAATCAGATACATACGCGCGATGGTTGGGCGAGAGGCGTTTGAATTCCAGGTGCTGCGGAAAGACTTTGCAACTGGAGCAGAGGTTAGATGCTAGATGGACAGTGGAATATATAGGAGGCGCGCGCATACCGTCCTTGTACATGACATGATTTTTGGGAACTCTGAGGAGTTGGGGAGCCTTTTTCGCGGCGATGTTGGTGCAGCGCTTAGAGCAGAATTGGTATGCCTTGCGTTTTGGGCGCTTCTTGCAAACTAGACACGTCGAAACAGCCTTTGATGAGGGCATTTCTACGTGATGACAGGTGGTCAGAGCTGGCATGCAAAGAAAATTTAGAGAGGTTGACCTTGGACTCGCGGAATTGAAAATGTAATGACAAGAAGATATGGTGGGAAATTTCTTATCTTGGTGTCCACAACCTACGGTGCTCCCTGAAGGTAAATTAAGTTGACACTGTAAATGTTGACGAGTGTGAAGGGAGACCATCACGTACCGGGAATTATAAACCGAGCCTCTCCCACTCGTAGGCCCAAAATGCTTACGCCTCATGGCGTTCTTTATCGATCGTATAATGACCTGCCGTTCTACCAAGATTTCATCTCCAAGATTATCATAAAGCTGACACGAAGAAGGGTTAGCCTTGAACGCAACTGAGGCGAAAGCACAAGCGGCAGTTGCCGGAGCTCGTGTCTTCCTGCAATGGTCAACTGGTCCCCAGCCATTCAAAACGCGGCTAACATGCTCTCAGATACGTAACACTACCGGGCTTGAAACTTCTGAAGCTTTGAATTCTTGAAGCTTGACGCTGACGCTGACGCCACGTATGGGTATCATTCTAATTTTTGTTGAGGATTCCTTAGGACTGACCTGGTTACTTTTTACAGGATACGCACTATGGCTGGTCCCATCGTGTACCGAATTCACTTCCCTCTCTGAACTCATGAAATTTCGCCCCCAGCCATACACATTAGACTCACACTCTCGCTCCTACCCCTCCTTCGACCCACACATCACCCTCACCACCTTTGATGTTCTCCCATCCTCATTCAACCTCGACGCCATCCCCCTCGACAATCTCAACCCGCCCGTGGCATACTTTGACTCTGTAAAATGCGGCAACAACTACCTTGGCGCCCTCTCTATCAGGATCTCTCAATCCAGCAAGCTGATGTGTCTTCACGAAGCAGTCACCAGGCACCTCAATATGCTGAACATGCAATGGAAAAGCCGTGGCTTCCCCCACATGTCGCTCTTCTACGTTGACGAGCCGGATGAGCGAAAACGCCTCGAGGCCGAGCTCAAAAGCAGCAGGGCGGATCCAATCGTACGACGGGGGCAGATACCTCAAGTTGACCGCCAACCCAACCTAGCATACGATCAACCCAAGTGAAGACATTCACTGGGGCAGGAGATTTGGTTGGTCGACTGCACGTCGCGTTCGGTGAAGCAGTGGCTGCGTGATGAAGAAGGAGATCTCTTGGAATCCCCCACGTTCCTCCGCCACCACCGCCGAAGACAGTCCCGAAGAAGCAGACAGTCTGTACATACTACCCGCCACAAAGGACGTGCTCACCCTGAATATCTCGCTGTACCACCTAAACCTCGCCACCACTGCCGCCAACCTACCTCTCCCAATCGTAAGTGCATCTCACAGGTTTCGAGTACGATCGTGTTCTTATATCCTTTGACATAAGGACATGGTTGTCTCGCGGTCATCTTGAGATGGTGGCAGGGGCGTCCCTAACTTATCACTCAGACTCAGACGGGACGGTGGTGCACCCATTGATCGTTTTGTATTCTTTGATGCTGTCGGCTATGTATTCAATTCTCTTGCACAACCCACCGCGCGGTCCAATTTTTAATTCAACACCAGCCAGGTTTCTTATCAACAGTCGGCTACCTATCTTTTCAACCTGGTGTGAGGCAGCCAGCCACGTTTTAAACCCACAGTACTTGGACAGTGCTTTTCAGGCCTGTTTACAAGTTATTCCCAACGCGGCTCTTCAAAGTACAGGATGTTCAAATGCGGCGTGTGCAAGGTGATACTTCTTCGATTCAAAATTGATTGTAGCATGCCTCTAAACACCACGAAACCAACACACTATGAGGTGATCTCTGTTCCATCAATCACTCCATGGTGAGGTTCGCAGAAGTGGAGGCATACGTATCTAAGAAATTTGTCGTCCTGGAAGAAACTCTTTTCCACGCTATTCTAGAGTCAATAGTTTAGACACTTCAGCTTATTATTCTTTATTTTCTGATCTTTTCTTCGTTGTAATCCATGCAATCGACGCTGTGTGGCTACTGGCAGAGCCCACTCCCATAGTTTCGCGATTTTGAGACGCATACTGGGTTCTGGAAGGGAGAAAATGCATAATTTGAAGTACGTAAAAAAAAGTAGTACGAGCAGTGGAGCTAGTGCTAAACCTTGACCATGATGAGATAGGCTGGACGCACAGCATTCTCATCGTACACTACATACTCCAGAGAACCTCCTCCATCAGCCCTCCCTTTCACCTGAAAAGCGGTTATCATAACTGGTGACGGCAAAAGGTAGACAGACACATACCGAGTCATATCCTTTGTTGGGCTCCATCCTGGTGTGATCCTCTGCAGACAGTATCTGGATATTTCCGAGGACAGTCCTGGTCACGAGAACAGCGAGGTATTCAGAGCCCTTCTTGAGGTTTTTCGCATACTCAAAAGCCCTAATCGCTTGTGAGCAACCCACAAAATGCAGAAGACTGATACGTATACGTACTTGTTAGAAGAGGCGCTCATATAAATGCCTCCACCGAAGCGAATACCGTCTCTACAAGACGGAGTTGCAGAGGAGCTGACTTTTACTCGCAATACAATACTTACTTCGCTCCGCTGTTCACCTGTTGGCGCTTGAAATCCAAGCTCGTCCCGAAACTAGTTTTGATGGCGACACAAAGACGGCAGTTCTGGTTGTTGCACAAGGAGTCGTAAGACTTGGAGTCGCCCAGGCGGCATGCACGCCTCTCAGAGCGGAAACACTTGATCTCCTTCGGCTTGTCATCAGCTCTGTTTCTCTTTCTTGCAACTTCTTCACTGCAATGGGTGTGAGCATGCAGTACCTAAGTAGCGGGAGACGCTGGAGTACCGATAAGCATCGAAGGATGTCCTCATCTCAGCAGTCCAAGTAATGAGATAAATCTTTGCGATGGAGGGGCATGGAGTGGTCGAATCGTGCCATTTTTCGGACCAAAGCTTCGTAACTAGCGAGGAACTTGAAGTTACTTTGACGGGCATTTGGAAAGAAAGATGTAAAAAAAATGCGTACCATTGTCATGTATAACATGCCCTTTAGGAACCCTCATGAGCTCTGGAGCCCTGCTAGCAGCTTCCTTGGTGCATTTCTGCGAGCAGAACTGGTAGTTCTGTCGCTTGGGAGCGCTCTCGCAAACTAGACAGATATCGCTAGCCATGTGTAAACGCAGGGAGTTCGCGACGAAGCTTTAAGTGGAGTTTCCCTCCTGCCCACGTCGCCCAGAATCTATCATTTCATGAGTTGGCCGCGTGTTCGAAGGACGCCCCACGAGGACCTGATACACGTTGACCCTTTAAGTGACGATTTCATGCTATAGATCCGTCAGATATGGCGATGTGACGAGTTGTGAAATAGTTGGAATCACCTCGGGGTGTTTAGAGGCATGCCACAATCCATTGACGAAGAAAGTATCGCTCTTGTATCACCTTGCATCGAATTTGAACGTCCTGTACTCTGAAGAGCTTGACTGCGTCTGCTGATCCAGTACAAATCATAGAAGTTTCGAAAATTCACATAAATCATGATGGAACATTAAGCGAACCAAGCCAGATATGTCGTCTACTGTCTCAAAATAAGACCAGAAGCCTTTGTGGAGATGACTTTACACGCACTGTCAAGAACATGAGAGGTGTCAGAGGTGTAGACCAGCTGATCTGAAATCTTGAACCCGAAACTGAGGAAGTGTCTCCGCTATTCCGTGACCCGGGACGAAGGTGATAGTGAAAAGGGTCTGCCGCAGGGTTCAAGGGGCAAAATCCGTGATGGACTGTCACGTCATGAGAACCTTGAAGACTGCACTACAGCTTCGATCGGTGTAACATGAACGCCTGTTTCATTAGCTTCGAATGAAAGTTCATCAGTTTTTATATGCCACCTGAACCCTGAGATCTGTTTTATCAGGCGCTTATCAGTGAAGTGAAGCCACTTCGATCTCAGCTACGTACATCACCTCCTCCGCTAGCGGATTCTTTGGACACCAAGTACGGAAATAACATCTTGAAAGCAGTGAAGGCTTCTTTTGGTAGGTGCATATCGATGTAGGGGTGAACGAGCCGGTACAACTTTGTCTATGGTGCAATCGGCGGAAGGAACAGTCCTCTTGGGAGCAAAAACAGACCTTAAATGGAAGTTATCGATTGAAAACAGTACAGTAGAGTCTCTGCAGTCAATCCGATAGCTACTTGCGTTTGCTGATCATAAGGAGATACGCAGGACGCACTGCGTCCTTGTGGTATGTGATATACTCTAATGGACCGCCTTGAGCGCGTGCCTTGACCTGATAGAGGATGAGGGACCGTGATTGCCAGTGAAGTTGAACTTACGGAGTCATATCCCTTGTCAGGTGAGAGCCTTCTGTGTTGCTCATTCTTGAGGAACTGCATCTTTCCAAGCACAGTCCTAGTGACGAGAACAGTGAGGTACTTGGAGCCTCCCGAGAGATTCTCAGCATATTGGAATGCCCTATTAATGCATAGTCAGAAGTCGGAAAGATCATAACGTCATGTGCGTACTTGTTGGACGAGGGCGCCATGTACAGCCCACCCCCAAAGCGAACGCCAGTCCTATAACAATTCAGTCACCCAAGCGATGTCGCACAGAACAGGAAGACTCACGTTGCGTATTTCTTCACCATCTGGCGCTTATAGTCCAAGCTCGACTTGAGTGCAGTCCGGATGGCAGGACAGAGTCGACAGTTGTACTTCCTGCACAACCTGTATGGCTTCTTGTCGCCGAGACTACAAGCACGTTTCTCAGAGCGAAAGCACTTGACCTCCTTCGGTTTGCCTTTTCCAATCTTGCGCATCCTAGCCACCTTCCCGCTGCGAAGGTTGTGAGCGAGGAATCTAGTTCGACTGGGTCGACGTACCGATATTTCTCAAATGATGTGCGCTGGTAAGCAGTCCAAGTGATGAGGTAGATCTTCGCGATTGTAGGCAGGTGCTGCCTCTTATCGTTCCACTGCTTCGCGAACATCTTCTTGACTAGCGACAGACAGATATAAAAAGCAGTCAAGATAGTAAGGAGAGATCTACTCACCATTCTCGTAGAAGACATGCCCCTTCGGCACCCTCATGAGCTGAGGCGCCTTCTTCGCAGCTAAGTTGGTGCATCTGTGGGAGCAGAACTGGTAGTCCTTGCGCTTGGGGCGTTGGCGACACACGAGGCAGATGTCTTTGCGCATTAGGAGGGTGGTTGTAAGACTGGAAGACTGGATTGATTGGCCATCTCTGCTAATACAGCTTGGGTAAATAGAAGTAAACTACTCCTACTGACCTCGAGGTATGATGGCTCGTTGGAGGAAGTAATTGTGCCCGTCACACAAAATGACCATGACTTTCCCCACCGCGATCTTGGGACCGGAAGGCCGGCAAAGCAGTGACCGGCAACCTTGGCTTCCAAGTCATGATACGCTGACATGAAAACAAGGCCTAATCCGATTTCCTTTTTCTTTTTCTTCGGTGACGAGTCGCCGTTTGTCTCTTTCGCCAACGCCTTTTCCACCTTACGTGCTATTTTCCGTGATTTTTTTTTCCCTCTTCAGTCCCCTACTAATTCAAAAAATTCTCAGAAAACAGGGAAAAGGAAAGAAAAAAGTTCGTACCTTTTCCTCATGCCCGTTGACAACCTCACTTCCCTTCCGCTTCCTCTTCTTGTCCTCCTTCTCTTCTTCCTCATCACCGTTCATTGCCACATCCGAAACGGCTTTGGCAGCAATCTCCATCGGATCCCTCCGCTGCGTCGACATGAAATCCGTATCATCAGCCTTGGTGTTATATGTCTTCGTCTGTCCCGACATATCAAAGTGCCGCTGCTGCTGTTTTCCCACTTCCTGGCAAACCGCCGCACGCTGGTAGCTCCGTCCTCATATTGCATCGCACGCAACCGAGATTCGAGCTTGACCCAGCGCGCAAGTCCTATTGACAGCACTTTAGGCTCCGATTTCCCGTCCGAATCTACCAGGACATCCAGGCGTATTGAGAATGCGGCTTTGGTAGCGACCATACGCGCCGTTTGCAGTTTAATTTCGAGGGCACCTGGCTGATGGGAGGCGCATGGCATGTTAGGCTTGTTATTCAGCGCGCGGAAGAAGGCCTTTTTGGCTCCGAGGTTCTGGACAGTACTCGCTGGCTGCTTGGCGAGACTCATGAGCTCCCTGTGGGAGAGGAGGTGGGCCCAGATAAGGACGGTAAACAGCATCCATGCGGTTCCAGAGACATTCTGAGAGTTGGGTTCGATAGGTGGAGATGAAGATGGGTTGCAGGGAGTTGATGCAGAGAATGTCATGGATCACAATGCAATACCCATGTGCTCGATCACTTTTTCATATGCAATGTTGTCGATGATGATTTTGATGGGTTCTGGGAAATGCGAGCCATACCATTCCTGCTCAAGGCCAGTATCCAAGTCTGCAGGAAAGTAAAGGACATGCCTTGACACGCAGAGTATATATGTTGATTTCCTTGTCGAGGCCATCGAGAAGGGCGATTACTTGCACGTCCACCTTGTCAGGCGAGAATTTATTTTAAAATTAGAAAAGGTTGCCAAAGTCAATACGTACTACGAATATTTGGGAAATGGCCACATACCGAGAAAATGAGTGACTAGGATCAAAATTCATAGGCGAAAAATCCTTCGAGTCCGACTGAGTCTGACCCGTCCAAAAACGACGCGAGCTGTCCTCTAGCGTCACGATACAGATCCATATTTGATGGTCCAGCAGTGGTTTTTATGTCAACAGGTCTTTTATAACGGTCACTGCAAGGCCAGTAAGCAAACACAGAAAAAAGGCATCCAGAGAGACGATAACGTACTCAAATTTCGTCTCAACAACCAACAACGGTTCCTTCCCCTTGCCTTTCCCCGCGCTCGTTGTTCAAGAACGTTTTAATCCCACAGCAGAGTCGTCGTGTCTTTTACCACCATCGCCGTTGTTGTAAATTGGTGAATGGCCTGAGGCTTCAGCCTATGACCTTGAGTACGGGCACATCCCACAGACATAAAAGGGGCAGGGCAGCATAAAAGAGCCGGATACTCGAAGTTTGTTCACCTTTTCAGGTGTCTAGTGGATTGTGAAGAGCCAGTAGCAGTAGCCTATTGCGGTTCGAAGAGTACCAGCATCATGGATAACCAAGAGTAGTGGTCCGACACGGAGGGATTCTGTTTCTGGGTCCGCCGGCGGCACATTCCTGAAGCCACCAATACCGGCACTTTACGAACACTGCAACTATATACCAAACATCTATATACCATCCAAACGACGCTCAGAATTAATATTCAAGTATGGTCCATTCTTCGCCGACTACGGGACGATCCCCTCTGATGCTACAGAAGAATACACCATACGCTCGCCCTCCCTATCTGCCCAGCTTGCTGTATTCCACAACGAGATTCTACCCAGTCTCCAGGCCGACATTCCCAATCCAAACAAAACCAGTCGTTCATCTTGGCTCAGTCTACATGAGCTTGCTGGGTCAAACTTGCGAGGATGGTCGACTTCCGACCAGAGTGCGAAACTCACATTGTTCGACTCTGCAAAGGCGATAGCGCACCAGAACCACCGGCGGAACCGCCATTCAATACTACTCGCTGGTGGTTTACTCCATTTAGGCTCGAGACGACATAGAACTGGGCGACGACAACACTGAAATACAGATACTGGTTTGGGCTTACAGGTACGATGCTGTTATCCGCCTCTGTAGTGCTTACATATGTGATCTTCCTTACTTTATTTCAAACTGCACAGTGATATAGGCCAATTTTCGTGCAGAGATGCAGCAGCTGACAGATCCAGTTGCTACTGATTACTTGCCTTCAGGTAACGGTAAGTTTCTGTGTCTCTCCTGCTTCTCTTTTATTAATGTGCTCTTTCCTAGGCAAAAATTCGGGATTCTTGATTCTTGGTACACACTTACACCGCCGAGACAACAAACAATCATGATCATAATTCGTCCCTATCCCTGTCGCCTGACATCGTGGACCTCCCGTCAGTCTCGCATAACGACGGATCGACTGACAACATATCCCTTCTGTTACGGGTATGTTATGCATTAAATTTCAACTGGCGAATCCAACCTCCCCTTGCGAAGAGCCTGTGTTACCACAGCTGAATGAGTCCTCGCCGATGCAATTCTGTTTTGCGAGCAACGAAGTCAAAGCCTTGGACTAAACAAGTGGTAACACTCAGAGCTTGCTAATTCACAGTTGTATGTATGTATCATGTGTAGGAAATATATTTGAATTCAAACCGCCGACATTCCCTAGCTAGCTTCACAAGCGCGAGACAACGCCATGTAACGACCATCAAATGCTTGCAAGCTTGTCCGTCAATCATCTGAAATCCTTGTCCCGCTTCGAGATTTTATGGTATGTATTCTACACTACTACATCGTTGACGATTAGTGACGCGTCCACAGGTAACATATGCACCCGTTTGCATCCCAGCTTCTTATCCTCTTGTTCGGCAGCCGTTAGAAGTTGACCGTGATTACCCTGAGTGGCAAATACCAATGAAAGCCATTTTGCTTCCTTGTTCACAACCACGATGTCTCCTTCAAAGAACATGGAGGTCGAATTATCAAGGTCACCCAATCCTTCCGTACGTCCCGTCCCTCCTTTGAAACGTAGTACTCCTACTGATATGCTCGCATTATCAGATAGCGATACCCGAAATTCCCGTAGAAGTCATCGAGGAAATCCTAGATAATCTCCACACCGACAAATCCGCACTTAAGTCTTGCTCTCTCGTCTCTCGTCCCTTCTACCCCCGCACCCGCCAATATCTTTTCCAACACGCCTTCATCTACCACATCGGCCAAGAAACCCTTCTTCGTCTCCACAACTTGGCCCTCACGTCCCCGCACATATTCCAACGCTTCAAATCCGTAAAGCTCTACGCGTGCTATTAGGACCAAACCCTCCCGCAAGTCCAGTTCGCATTAACATCTATGACCAACCTGACAAAACTTGAACTCGGGCATACCATCATCCTCACTGGAGTGTCTCTGGACCATCGTATCGAGCTTCTCGCACCTTTCTTTTCTCCGCCTGTACGGAGTTGCGTTCAAACTTGAGAAAGACGCTGACCTTTCCCTGATCGAAGCCCCTCCTAATGGACCACACCTCGAAACACTACATATTTTGGCTCTCTACCCAAATAGCCAGTCCTCCCTAAAGTTTATCCTTCTCCCCCGATGTTGCGGTCTATTCCTCGAGTCTCTTCGAAACCTATACATCGACCTCCATAATCCTAGTTCTGAGGATCTATCGCTATGTTGTGAAGTGGTCCGTCTCGCCGCCGGAACGATCGAGTCTCTCGACGTTCGTCAAGCCTTCGAATGCCCTCGTACGTGTTTTTTTCTCTTACATTCCCGTTTATCCATGCTTAATCCCCTATTTACCCAGTAACCCAATGGCCCACCATCCAGTCACTCATCCTACCACCTAGACTCCGATCATTCTCCTTCGATCTCCGCTACCGAAACAACGAGGACCGTACGGACCTCTCTACCATGCGCTAGTTCATCGACGCACTATCCACCGCGAGCCGCTTGGAAACGCTCAAGCTCACTATACTCATACCCTCCTTTGAGGATTTTGCCGAGGAAGACGACATGTGGGATATGTTCATCGAATTGAGCCTCGTGCTTTCGGGATATAGGGTCTTTCGGTGCCTTGAGGTAACCTACGAATGCGACTTTTATGTCGAGGAAGAGGTTAAGGCTCAGATGTTGTCTTGGACGTGGACTGGTTTTGCGTTTTTGCATGAAAGGGATGCGTTGAAGGTAGAGTTGTCTGGTTATAAAGTTGAGTATCTGAAAGTGTAGGAGCGAAATGTATATTCATATGGAGGTTTCTTGGGGAGGAGTGGGCATGACCAGGACCGTCGAACAGTTGCTTTCTCTTATAACACAAATTCGTGGGCGCTGTGCATGCTGTACCGTGCAGGAAATGAATTGAAACTCTTTGCGCCGTTACTCGTCAAAATGTACTGACCGCTCGTGTTGTAAAGCGGTGACCGCGGTGCATGCAAATGATTATGGGTACACCAAGAAGTACATGGAAAGGTATGAGCTAAAGACAATATTATAAGGCAGTTTTTCCGTGATCTATTCGAATGTGCTCAATGTCCGATCGTTGTAGGTTTGCTTCATTGCACAATGACCTAAAGATGGAATCCTCTTTATCGAATAGGTTTATAACTGTGTCGAATTCTGCCACTTGTCCGGCTTCCATCACCATTATGCGGTCGTAATAAGCTATTCAAGAACGACGTCATTCCCCTTGATCATACTTTGGATATGTTTAAAGCTGACCTATCGTATTCAGCCTGTGGGCTATGCAAAGCACAGTTGCAGAAGCAAACTCGGTTTGAATCGTTTTTTGAAGCTTTGCATCCGTTTCGACATCCACGCTACTCGTCGCTTCATCCTGAGAGAAACCACAATATTAAGATAACGTCGGTATTGATCATCCGAACCATACCAGTACGATGATTTGACTATTTTTCACCAGAGCACGGCCAAGAGCGAGCAATTGCTTCTCACCCGCGCTGAAATTAGATCCTGGAAATAGCTCATCGGAATAACCAGCGGCACGGATACCAGAGATCTTACCTTCGTCTCCTACGGTCGCATCCAAACTGAACTTGGCCTCAGCAATAGGATTATTGACGCCATCCGGAGGAAGAAGCCATGCTCGCTGGAGAACCGAAATGAGTTCAGCATCCGTTTTTGAGCCTTGAGGATCACTGTGAGGTGTCAGAAGGTGACTATACTAAGACAAGAAGTATGATACAGATTATGCCGCAAAGATCCCAGGAACATGGTCGTATCCTGAGGTACCAGCGCTAGGCGGCTTCGAAGGGTGTCAAGTTTCATTTTACTGATGTCGCGACCATCTATTGTTATGCTTCCTCTCCGAAGTTCGACAATTCTGAAGTAAGAATGAGCTAATGTGGAAAATTCTTGAGATAGTGACCTGCCGAAAAAGAGCTTGTAGCAAGGAGCTCTTTCCTGTCGGGTTTGTCAACAAGCGTGTATAGGTAGCTGAAAGATTGGTATCACCTGCTCCAGTCCTCCCTACAATCCCTACCTTCTCTCCAGGATTTATTTTGAAGCTAACATCGCGAAGTACGAGTGGGAGTCCTTCCCTATAAGCCAGGTCAACGTCCTCAAAACCAATACTACCATTTTCAGGCCATTCAGCAGAAGGCTCATCGGCGCTTGTGTTGCTATTCCCTTCCAATGGCAACTGTGTGTACACCAGTACACGCTCAACAGCATTCATGTTCTGCTCAATTTGAGCAAACTGAGTCACCATGGAAGCTAAACGATAGGTTAGCGGATACTTCTAAGCAACAAACGGGCGAATGGAAACTTACAGAAAGTCAGCGTGACTGGAAGCGTTTTTTGTTAGAAAAGCTGCCTTGAGTAAGCGAGTTAGAGGCTTACTGTTCAAAGTATATGTCAAGATGACCCCGATCTTGGATGGACTGATAGTATTTCTATATCCGGCAGCAAAAAGGGTTATCCCAAGGATGAGGATGTTTCCCAAAAGATCAAGTCGAACATTAAGCCATCGTTGAATAGATATTGTCATGTAATACGCCCTGTTCTCCGAGTCGAGACTAGATTCGGCGCTCCTCACGCAACGATCCTAAAAGAATGTGATATGTGAGAGGCAGTGAACAGTTATGTAAGGACTATGGTAGCGTACCTGACTATTGAAAGCTCGGATTGTCGCAAGGCCGGTCAATGTCTCTAGATGAGTTGTAAGCATTTATATTTTTTTCGCGAAATATCAGCCGCAAACCTGAGTAAGAACGATACAGAGCCGAACGCATAAGGGAACCAAGTCGCTTGGTCTCCACAGACGTTCGACGGTAATACAGCGATACTGAGTAGTACAGAACAATCATAGGGCCAAAGATAATCCCGAGCAACGGGAATGTGTATAAGACAAGTACGAAAGTTCCAATGAAGGAGCTGGATGCAATCAAAAACTGTTGAAAATTGATCAGATCGGACCATAAAGCAGTACAGGACTTGCAGTACCTGTGCGAGGTTCGTGGCCAGTCCATTATCCAAAACATCTTGGTCCCCAGAAAGTCTTGACAATATCCGGCCTATGATTAATGGTTCAGCTCAAGACCGCATGAATCGCAAGAATGATCTCACCGACGGGAGTCATGTCGAAGAAAGAAACAGGAGAGCTCAACACTCTAGTCAAAGAGGTTTTGGACAAGGATAAACTAGCAAAGAGTGCAGCCATGCTATCATGAACAATCAGTTACAGAGTAAAACCAAAAATGAGATTGAACAGACTTGAAGCCTGCAGCCACCAAAAAAGTAAAGACGGCTTGGGAGACACCTGAAATCACATTAGAAACGATCGTGTTTGAGTAATATGGAGAAGTACCGAGAGCGGCATACGCAGCCATATACTGCCCTTGGGTGAATCCATGAATACCATCCACTGTCCAAATACCCAAAAAGACGGTGTTTCCAACTGCAGAGATGGATAAGAATGATGCTACAAGGGGAGACGAGTTGCACACCTTGGGAGCACTGATTCAATATTAGCAGGGACAGCAGAATCGGGGCCCAGATAACACCTCCAGCGGCACGCAGGTAGTCGTGATACGTCGCCCAAGTAACAGAGCCTCTATGTCTTTCTTCCGCCTGCATGAGAACGCCATTCCTATGATCTGATTTATCTGCGACAATCTTGAGGTCCGCGATGTCACTTTTCTCTGGCACATCCACGTCTTTTTCTGCTGCACCATATTCTTCCATGATACGGGAAAAGATAACGCTACTCTCCATGAGGTCCTGTTGGTATCTTCAGAATGTCTGTGGCGGACCACAGTGATAAACATACCGCAAACGTGCCCTGTTCTTTAATTGTGCCCTTGTCAACGACGTATATATAGTCCACCATATTTAGGACGTGCAAGGCATGCGTCACAAGAATCCTCGTTTTCGAAGCAAGTGGTCCCTTAAGCAAGCAATTGTCTACAATTGACTTGCCGACACAGGCGTCGACGGCTGAGAGTGGATCATCAAGAAGTACTATATCTGATGGGGAGTATGCAACACGGGCCAATGATACACGAGCCTATACTGGTGTCAGTAAAACAATAGCCTGAGGATGATTCATGCTCACTTTCTGCCCGCCTAAGGAAACCTTGAGATAGTGCTGAGGACAAGAGATGATGTAAACTGCGCACCACTCAAGTTAATTCCCTTCTCGCCAATTTCGGTCTCTTCTCCATGGGGAAGCATCGCAAGATCACGTTCTAGACCACATGCGCTAATAACTTCCCGGAGTCTAATTTTCGATGGGAGTGAGCAAAACAAATGAACGTAAATCAACGAAACGAATACTATTGACCTGTCTTCATCGAGTTTCTGGCCGAATAAGATGTTCTCACGCAAAGTGGCATTCCTGATCCAGGCAACCTGGGGCGCGTAGGCCAACGAACCACCGAAAATGACCTATTGAGAAGTCAGGGAGGTAATGACACATATTCCACAACAACGAACATCGCCTTTAATTCGCCGCATCTCACCGACCAGGGCTTGCAGAATGGTGCTCTGAGGGCTGGCATTAGATGGGCACCGTAGGCCGTCACGACAACGCACCTTCCCGGATCCGACACGACCTACGATGGCGACGAAACTTCCCTTGGGTACAGTCATACACAAATCTCGAAGTTCGAAGGGTTTGCCAGAGGCTTCATCGACATCCGCCTCGGAGATGGACAACATATTTTCGATCTTCTGTTTATTCCGCTTGTCGGGTTTTCGTCCGTGAAGAGATAGACTATCGGGTTGCTCCACAGTTTCCCAAGTGAACGTCCCGTTGACTTCCACAGCAAAGTTACTGTGCTCATTGACGATGTACTGGTTAGAAAGCTCTTCAGCAGTCAGGAACTTGGAGATACGACCCATTGCCACCAATGCATCTGAGACGGCAATGGCGTTGAGAGGAAAGTACATGAGATGTGTTCGAATAATCTATAAGCAAAGCTCAACAACGCATATAGGAAGAGATATTTGTACAAACATTGAACAATTGTAGAGAACTGAAAATGATGGCAACGTCGAGGTTATGACCAGTGAGCCCATACGTGATCTTGAATTTGTCTAGCCATTGAACTTCGCCACGAAACGGAATGCTTACAAATGACAGGACCGACGCAAGAACAGGTATAAAAGTGCTGACGGCAGTGAGAGCCGATCGAGCAAACCTATATGCTGTTAGCTTTGCTACTAAGTAGTCCAAGGAGTGATGCATACGCCGCCTGCTTGATTACACGAATCTCTTTCTGACGCAAGGTACCAATCTGCAAGGAGTAAAAAGTTTCCGATGCGTAGAACTTTATTAGTCGAATGCCTTGAAGAACCTACGAACTGAACATTGATTTACGTGGCAGACATTGATTGAGAGAAACGCACCTCTGTCGTGCTTCGCACGCGAGCATCTGTGATCTTAACGCATTTCTTTCGAAGACCAACCATGATACGGCCAATAAAAACTTGCATTGGGAAGCTGAGAACGAGAGCCTATTACTAAAGTATGAGGTGGAAAAAAAAGTCAAAGGTAACAATATGACGTACACAGACACCGACCAAGGCAGAATATCTAAGCTGTTTGCTATGAGGAAAAGCGCGTCAAGACAGAGGAAACAGACGAACGTTGTTAACAAGAAGCCAGACGACGATCGCAATCTGGACCCGATGTTTAATGACAGAAAAGAAAACTATGAGCCGGCAATAGATACCTGAATTGGAGCTACCCAGATACTACGGGTCATACAGTCAGCGAGATGTAGTGAATAGCATAGGAAGACTGACTGGTGAATATACATGCAAAGCTGGTCAAGATGATTCGCATCTGCAGAAATCATGGTTGTGATCGTCCCAACGCTATGCTCAATCCGGGCTCGTCCAGAAAGTCTCAGCGATTTTCGAAAGATACTTCCAATGACCTGACGAAGAAAGGCTAAATACACAAGTAGGAAAACCGAGCCAAAAACTTACCCCAGTCCTTAACAGCAGCCCGGTTGTCATGTTCACTATCTTACAAATTAGCTCGATTTGGAGAACAGGGGAGAAAGGACGCACGATGCAAGGAATGATTCATGAGCTGTGAAGGTCAAGTGAATAGAGTTACGAAATTTCCGCAATGTTCAATACACCTACAAAGCTATCAGTTTCTGGTGATAGAGATGAGTAGGTCTACGTCAACGGAACTAGGACTATCATACCCTGCATCGCAAAAATTGCGAAGGCGAGTCCGATCCCATAACCAATACCCGGTGGACGGTCCACTAATCCCGACACTTTTTGCTCATCCGACAGGCGGTAGTAATCATACGAGGCAGTTAACCAAGCCAATAAAAGTTTTGTCAATAAAGGCGTTGTGGTCTCCAAAGTTTCTGAAAAGCAAGGATGATTATGAGCCTGTCAGCGTTATGTATATAGACCAGTACCTAGAACTAGCACGCAGAAACCAGCTGACCAGAACCGGACGAAGAACTTCCGATGAAGCGCCTTGGCTAGAGATAAACCATACCCTGTTTGGGCTGCCACATTCTCTTCAGTATCAAGTACGGCCTTTTCAACATCGCTAGATGATTTTCTTGGGGAGTGTGTATTTTCAACGCCGCTGGGAATTTTGTGACGGAGGGCAAAAGGCCTGTGTTCAGGCGGACACCGTGAATAGAAATTTACTTCTATATCGTCCGTGATCGAACCGGCGGTATGTTTTGGGGGCAAGCGCCATAGATCTACGGTAACAGATGTTCAGGTTGGTGCACTTCAAAAAGGAGCCAGAACCCCAACCTTCATTCTCTAGAGGTCTTGAGAAACCAACAGCGAGAAATGGGCCTAACCACTGAAAGAACAACCTCGAAAAAAATCTGTACGATTGATTTCAGCGAGGTTTCGGAGTAGAAGTAATACAAAAACACGAACGTCGTGTTCTCCTCTGGCGATACAAGGTCATTTGCAAAACAAGGTGGTGCAGGTGGCGGGTGTAGGGGATTGAACATTGCACAAAGCAACCGGGGCATTCGAAATCGTGTAGCCAGGTCACCAAGGCTTTTTGAAGGCGACAGAAGCACAGAAGCTAAGAACCGGCTACGTATTTGTATAAATACACAGAGCCGCTGATCAGAGGAAGCAGGATGCTTCACCGTGGAAGTCAGCTTAGGGTCAAAATTCCGCTTACGCTGATTGATGAGAGGCCCCTCCGCATTTGTTAGAGGAATATCAGCTTTTTTGGCAACAATCCAATTGCAGAATGGAAGACTGAGGTCAAGTTGTCTCGAGAGCAGATTTTTGATAGACGGCAGTGAGTCGTATTGGGGATCTTCAGTTGTAAAGTGGGGCGTTCTTCTTGGTTCTTTTTACTACACAACATTAATCTTATTAGTAATTTATTAGTATATAGACCAACTTCAACTACCCACTGTATTGGAAGCTGATTCAAAGAATAAGCATGTCAGAAATGAGCATCCCGGGGACCTTCAGGATGTCAATGCTACCATCGCAAAAAGAAACCTTACTAACTAGAGTCAGTTTTGGTAAGGCAGACAAAACAGAACTAAATCACCTAAGTTCATTCACGCGTCACCCAAAGCGGTGTCCCATCGCCGTCATCGTTCCCCGTGTCCCATTCGCTTGGATGCAGCTGACTTCCTGCACCTTTTTAGCACGTTAGAGATCATCCATTACTTACACATCGTGGCATTCTCGCTAAATGAGTACCCGTTCCCTGTTGACTGGCACGATCCCGTCATTTTTCTGACCACTTTAGAACCCTGCGAAGAGTCTCTACTCCGCGAGACTTACTCAGTGTGATTACAACGGTATGAGCCTTTGCAGGTGGACCCGGCCGTTCCCTATTGGGACCTGGTGGTGGTGGCGTTAACGCCACCACCACCGCCTTGCGATAATATCATTTTATCATTTCTCTGGTTTCTTGAGACATGTACATCTGAACGTAGTAAGCGTTCAGGATACGGATTGATTTCCACGTACATACAAGAACAAAAAAGTTTTTCAACACCAACAAAACGATCTCAGTTCTATCACAGCCTCGCATCCTTAGGCATCTTCTTCATCGCCTGACGCACTCCCAAATCTGACAAGATATCCTCCGTACCACCCAGAACTAGCGCAACAATTGTCAACCAAAACAAACAAAGATAAAAAGAAGCAATCTTACTAGCATCATAACCAGACGTCCTATGATACTGCGTACAAAAAACATCAGTCGGATATGACGCGTAGATAGAAAGAAAACCATACATTCTCCACAAACTTGCCCATACCTGTCGTCGTAAGAGCGCGTCCACCGAATATCATCGTCGCATCTAAAACCCACAAATCAGTAAGTACCCACCCAAGCCCACGGAACACGACGCACCTTCAGCAGTCTCCCGACCGCATTTCGACACGAACCTGCACAGTACGTTCAAACGCAACCCCAAGAGAACAAGGACAAGAACAAAACCCACTGTTTGAGGAACCCAATCGGTCCAGCGAGCTTACTAGACATATCGCTGTATGACATCTACGCCAATCATCCCATCCGAGTCAGTACACGAAACCTACACCGAGCTCAAACTTACATTATTCATCTGATACGTAACACTCTCAACCCAATTCTGACACGCCTCGACCCTCGAAATCATCCTCCCAAGCTTATGCCGAATCACAGCTTGCGAATTGAGGGGTTTTCCAAACACTTTCCGCTGCGAGGCCCATCTACAAAAAAACACCTCAGCACAAGCATCAACACGAAAACCAAAAAACCCACTTGAGACACTCCTCCACAATCAACCTCTGCGAAGCCAAACTAGACGCAGTGATCATCCACCTCTCATGATTGAAATTACTCAAAATTACAGACATCCCATTGCCCACTTTCCCCAGCGTGTTCCCAACCGGGACCCGAACCTTGTCGAACGTCACATACGCCGTCCCAGCCGCAGAAGAATACGCCGTCTTGATAGGCTTCGTCTCCACACCCTCCCCGCGCTCGATGAGGATGACCGTGAACCCTGTCTCGGTCTTACACCCCGTCGTAAAATAATCCGCAAAAGTCCCATTCGTGATCCACTTTTTCGTCCCAGTAACAACCCAGTAATCCCCATCCCTTACAGCAGTCGTCTGCAACCCACTGACATCGCTTCCCGCAAAGGCCTCCGTGATAGCGAGCGCGATGTACTTTTTGCCTGAGAGAACCTCTGGGACGACCTTTGCTTGGATCTCGGGGGAGCCGTAGTTGAGTATGGGAGGAAGACCGATGACGTCGCCGTTCAAGAGCCCATCGAGGAACCCGCGCGTGCCGAAACGCGCGATCTCGCCGTTGAGGATGAGTTCGTGGAAATAGTCGAATTCTTCGGGTTTCGTTATGCCGCCCATCAGTACGCGACCCTTGAGGTGCTTCCCAGGACCTAGACGCATGGCAATGAAGTTGTTTTCGCTGTGTGGGTCATGAGAATTGGACGAAGCATAAGTACCTTAAGTCCTCGGAAATGCTCACCAGAGCTTGTCAACCACGGCCTGCGATATCCGCTTTCCATTCGCCTCACACCTCAGCGCCTCGGGCTCAACGACAGTCTGCATGAGAGTCCTCACAGCCTTATGGTACGCCCGGTGGTTATCAGTATAATACGGAGTCTTGAACCCCTCCGCCAACCACGTCGGTTCACCATACGGAACTTGCGAAACAGCCCCAGGCACCGGAGCCTTGATGGCCTCCTCCTCGCCTGCGACGACACCAATCTGGAGCCGCGCATACTGAGGCCTCAGCAGAACTTCGTGACGGTGAAGGCCGAAGAAGGTCTCGGTGGAGTCTTGTCCGGCGATACCCTCTGCGAAGAGGACGTTGGAGCCGCCGGGGTGCATGGCAGCGAACCGGGAGAGGTCGTATACTTTGGCGTCGATGATGATCCACTGGAATGTGTGATGATAAGCTATGTGAGGTACGAGTTGCGACGAAGCAAAGCAGGACTCACGAGGTCGCCTTCCTTGTTATGCTGTACTGGAATGTTAACCTGCGTTGCAAGTGTCCGAGACGGTAACGCACCTGCGCGACCTCTTCAGCCGTAAATTCCTTCAGTATTTTTGCCATTCTGATGATGATGGTAGGGAAAGAAGGGGACTTTGGAGTGGCTGGCTATTTCTGTTCCTCATAATGGCTAACCAAAACTGAAACGTGCCGATTGGTTGCTTGATTTTTCACATGTACTCACTCGGACTCAAGTTATACCATCGTCTGTCGAGAATCTGTCATAAAAATTTTACCACCGCAATTGCAATGAGCCGTAGCACTGGTAGTTGCAAGGAAAGAAAGCAATTGAAAGAAATGAAACGAAACGAAAGTAAAGCCAGATAGAGCACGTGCTTTCCTCTTCCATTCTCTTCCATGAGCAAACGCGGTCGAAAACCAGCAGCAATGGGCAACTCTCCAACACCCGGCACACCATTCTCCACAACTCCCCAGCCTCAGTTTCACCAAGTCCACTGGGCACTACCAGGCCAGAACAACGAACGATCCACCACTCCCGGTGTCCTTCAAGGAGACATCACCAGCAACCGACGAGCGTCTACCTCGACAGTTACCACCACAGATCATTACCAGCGCAGCAATTACAACGCTGCATCGTCTTCCACCTCTTCTACTCCTTCAGTACCCGTTCTTGACACAACAGGGCTCATTGCTCTACCGGGAGAGGGCGAGGATTCCACGACTGTCGTTCCAACACCCGTAATACCAGCGCCCGCTGCTACTACAAGCACAATAACGACCGTTATCCAGCCGCAACCCATTCCAGTGGCAGCCAGCCAAGCCCCAGATAGACGAAGATGGAGAAGGAGACGACGAGATGCTCCCCGCAATGGCAGATGATGATTACTCGGCGCAACTCTCGTTCCAGAGTCAATCGAAGGATAACCTCAAGTGCGCATTTATTCTGTCATGGGATCTCACTGTTCTCTGACTCGTGTTCCTTGTTAGGGTCCTGATGGACAACTTCAGTCCAGATCAATATGACCGTTTCGAGGCGTACAGACGACACGCTCTACCCAAACAAGCCGTTCGCAAGGTCAACCCTCCCCCTTCCCTCTCTCAAACCTTATCCTAACACTCCACCACAACAGGTCATCCAACAAACCGTCGGACAACAAGTCTCCCAACCTGTGGCCCAGATTGTCGCCGGTTTCGCCAAAGTGTTCGTCGGAGAGGTCGTTGAGAAAGGTTAGCACACACTGCCACCCTTTTGTCTTCGTATCGCTTACCCGTCACAGCTCGCGCAGTACAAGCACGCCGAGGAGAAACAGGCCCACTGTCACCCGACCATCTTCGGGAAGCATATAGGCTATATCAAGAGGAAACAGGGCGTGTCGGGGCTGCGCGGCCTGTCAGGTCTAAGAGATTATTCGTGAGGTAGACGTAAGTGATCTCAATGTCGCTGCATCATACCAGGGCTTAGCTATAAGAGGTTTGCAGCATGGCATGGTTGAATATAACGATGCCGACACTGAGAGAATGCTCCGTATTCCGCCAAACGCAAGTGTAGCCGGAATCTATCAAACCACATAAAGGCCGGTACCAGAGTAGGGCGAGGATGGAGGGACAGGACCGGCCTAGAGACTCTGTTCACCAGGTTATTCTACTTGCGCAAATTGTAATATACATCGTTGTTTGTAGCAATTACATTTAATTTTGCCACCACCTACACAACCTCTCCAGCCCTAGCACCACTAATGTTCACACAGTTAAAACTCTTGACCCCTATTGTGAGTAGTCCGTAAAGATCAGTCCCACGGTTCACGACGAAGCGAACCGTGGAAATGACCTGGGGTTTAGAACGTTTCAAGTGTAGTTCTAAATGTCATTGCCGACAAGGGTCACTACGGCGCCGAAGGAGAGTCACGTTAACGTTAGTTGACGATATCCACTACATATCTACTTTCCATTACCAAGGTGATTTACATTAAGGTTCAGTGAGTCCAATGAATACTTACTTCAAGTTAAGTGTTGGGCTTACTAACCTCGCCTTTCCCAATTTCCCTGGCCTTTCTCTTGTTCTTCGTGGACTATATAATAGAATCATCCGTTGATTTGGAAGCCGAAGACGATTTGGAACCCAAAGAGATGTTAACTTTGACAACTCGTCAGGTCATCAACATTCGTTATCGCATACCTGAGGGTATCTTCAGTTCTCCGTTGCCTTTAGTATCTGCTGATAAGCAATTAGCTTATACACTGACAGACACTACCATGGACTGCCAATGAACCTTTAGTCCCGGAAATCGTGGGAACACTCTGATTGAATCTGGTAATAGTCACTTCTGGGGCCTTCATTGGATAGGGACGACGCATCTTGCCGCTGTGAACTCAGAAACATCGTGTCAACCGAGTGATCTCCCAGTGAACATGGTCAGAGTTCGTACTATCGACTGAAACAGTGTGTTGCATCACCTGAAGATGAACTCAACACCGCATTGAATAGATGCTGTCGTACTGGATCCGAGTCGATCGGAACCCAGTGCGTTATGGGGTTTACGAACGGGGGCGATCTCAGAAGACGAGTCTCAATGTCCCTCTCGTGCGAAGGTGGGCGGTTTTCTACACGTTAGAACTTGAACTAGTGCCGCGCTACGTGAAATCAGAATTATTTCATCAGGTATCCGTCCTGGCCTGCACCTTACACAAAAGTGATAACAGCCGTCAGCACTCCGAAGACGGTCACGAATACGGGATTAGATCGATAGCCACCGAGGACAGTGATAGTGGAACAGCAGAACAGCACAAACTGTAACAGAAGTTGTCTTTGTGAACGTCGAAAGATCTGGCGGAGACTCTGGGAGTCCATAGGCATAACAACGAAATCGTATAAGAGAGGCCATACTTTTAGGATAAGTACTTATACAAACAACAGCACTTGGAGCTTTTCAAGCGCCGAAGCTATGTGATGCACTTGGCGAATATATAGACGCCATCTATTCATAGTCGTTTTCTATTCCGCGCTTTGGTTGCCAGTGCATAGCTATTCATTGTGCATGGCCTTTGATCCTTCCATGGTCCTATGACGCCCGCCTCCCTTATGAGAAGCTCTGGTTGAGTGACCGATACTGCGCCACTGATGGAAGGGATGCGATATCCTGAAGACGCCGGATCGACAGCATTGAACAGGATGACGAAATTGTTTCTGAACGGATCGATACACCCCACTGAGGCCTGGGGATGTAGGAATGCGCATAATTAGAACTAGAATATATACGGTGACATACGACGCTGTTTGAAGGAACAGAACCCCCGCTCGCCAAACATGACGCGGACAGCACGAGCCAGGAAAGATCCTGCGTTGGATAATCATCGGGGGTTGGGATATCAAGTTTAAGTTGTGCATCCGTAGTCAACGAACCTAGACATTCCCATTCAGAGAGGGGGGCAGCCACACGGTCATGGCTTCTGTAGAGGAACCCAGAAGCGGGGGATGTGGACCTGAGGATCGTCGAGATAGTATGAATCTCATCTGGGGAGGCCGATATCCTTCGAAGCACGGATTCTATCCACGCGGCCAGTTCGCTATAATAGAGGGTTCGCACCCGGAATTCTGATTGTGTTGTAGTAGCGGTTTGGGTATGGACCGGATGGTGTATAGATACCCTGACCGGGTGCGTCTCCTTGATGATGGCGGCCCATTGTTTGGGTACGATAGAGCAGATTGAGAAGACTTGGACGTGGAAGGAAGAGAATGCTAAGCTCGGATGGAAGCCAAGTTCGGTTTCTCGGCCCGGAACTTGACAATTTGCTCCTAGATATATTTCTGCCAACCTTCCTAGAGAACTGGCGACCGTTCAAGCTCAAGTCCAGATCAACATTTCAGGACCTCGCCAACCAGTGAAACGCAGCCTTGCGAGGAGAGAAACGAGAATATCTGTTCGTACGCGACGTGCTTCCGACCAAATGAAGCCTGTGTTTTGAGTGCTTTCTTTTACTTAGCAGGGACGGAGGGATGGAAACCGGGAGACGTCGGGGGTGAGGGTATGAATGAGTCGAGGAATGCCCGTATTTTCCGCCAAATGCAAGAACTACAGAAAGGCCGGTACCGAGGATGGAGGCAACATCAGAGTCAACAGGACCGGCTTAGAGAATCTGTACACCGGTTATGCAGTATATCTCTACTTGCGCAGAATAAAACTACATCTTCCCACCAACACCACCTGCAGACACCTTACTCTCCTTAATAACCCTACTAAACGCCCTGAACCCCTCCACCTTGGCATCCCCAATCAACTCAAACGCCGCTGCTCTCACTCGTACTAACCACCACGCCCTCATGGCGCAGCCTATCCAGCGCGATGTTCATCTCCGTTGGGTGGCTCGAAGCTACCCCATCCGCAAGGATGTATACCTTGAATTTATGTCCTTCGAGGAGACCGAGGGCGGTTTGGAGGATGCAAATGTGGGCCTAAGCGGGGTTGGTAGGGGGCAGTCATAAACAGGGGTGGGGGTAAGCGCACCTCGATACCCATAAGCACGACGGTCTTGATGTGGGGCCTCGAGAGGAGCACGTTGTTCACCTCGGGAGTGAGCATTGAGAATAGCGTCTTGTCGGCTGTCCCGACGTGGAGACTCCCTAGGGAAACGAGGTCGATGGCTGGGTCTGTTGGGCCCAGCGCTGCATAAGGTAAGGTAAGGTAAGATCCCAGTAGCCAACCAACGACGGACCTTTGCAGTTCTGCGTCGTTACGAGGACTTCACAACCCACAATCTACAAAACTCCGAGTAGTCAGCCTATCGTTAGTGGTTCCCCTCCTCACCGGCACCGGCACACCTTTGCGATCTTGAGCATTTTGTTGACGGTAGGTACGACTTGGTCATATCCATGTATCGCTGGTCCTAGCAAACAACAACTTCATTGGGCGCCGCGAACCTTGGCTGAAATGCTTTGACTTACGAAACTTATTCTGCATATCGCAGATGAATATAATAGTCGACTCTGGGCGGATGGACATCGTTGGTGGGTGCTGGTGAGGGCCATAATGATGAGGGAGTTCCGGTATGTATGAGATCCGAGTCGGTGTCACTGGATCAGCCTTGGCTTCAATGATCGAAACTAACACGGCCCGGGTACCTTTTCTGCTACCATGACGCAGACTCTTCCACTACAGTAGACTTGGACATCCTTTTGCGCTCGTCCTCCTGCGTACCCTCGCCTTCCCACCCCTCCGTGTCTGCTATGTAAAAGAAAGCACGTCGCATACGAACAGATATCCCTCGCTTCTCTACTCGCAAGGCTGCCTGAAATCTTGTCGGACTAGAACAGTTGGGAGGAATGCATCTGGGACCAAATTCTCAAGGCTGTGGGCCGAGAAACCGAACTTGTGGCATTCTCTTCCAACTCAGTTCCGCGTCCAATCTACTCTATCGTATCCAAACAATGGTCCGCTAGCATCAAGGAGACGCACCCGGTCATCTATAGCACAGGGTAATCCGGTCCATACCCAAGATTTCCGGATGCGAATCCTCTATTACTGCGGACAGGCCACGGGGGATAGAACAGAATATGTGCTTCGAAGGATATCTGATTCACCGGCACCTCCCCAGATGAGATTCATACCATCTCGACGATCCCCCTCTTCTGTGATCCTCTACAGACCACACGATCGACCTCCTTGGGAATGTCTACCACCAATGCACAATTTGAACTAATCGTGATTATCCAACGCAGGATGTAAGATTGGAATTACTAGCTCGTGGCCGTTCGGCGGGCAGGGGGGGGGGCTGGGTTCTGTTCTCCCAAGCAGCATTGTATGTCACCTATCTCTTGTATTCTAGTTCTAATTATGCGCATTCCTACATTCTCAGGCCTCAGTGGCGTGTATCGATCCATTCAGTAACAAGTTCGTCGTCCTGTTCAATGCCGCGTCTTCAGGGTATCGCATCTCTTTTTTTTTCATCGGTGGCACAGTATCGGTCACTCCCCATCGTGGGGTTGCTTATAGGTAGGTATACTAAAAAGCCTAATATCCTGTGGAGCTTGGACCTCGTCCGTCTTTCTTAACAATATCTATCTATTCCAGAATCCAGAGTGTATGGTATCCTTGTGGCGTTCAACCTCTATACTTGGGATCGAGGATTGGACGATTCGTGCATGTATTTGGGGACCGTTGTCCCTCGGTGAGGCGATTGGACAGTTTTACCTTGAAGGTGCCGGAACTTGGGGGAAGGTCGAGACCGATACCGGACTTGTAATCATGTACTGGTGCTATATATCTACGATGGCGCAGTCACCGATGAGTTAGTGTACAGGTTCATTGTCATTTTATCACGCAGTTTTGATCTGTGCATATCAATCTCAGGTTGTCCGTCTGAGTTCCTTCATACCGGTGGTTTTCAAAAGTCGAAACGCACCCGAGGAACAGCATCGACAGTCAAGCATTTTGAGGGAACATCCCCCTATTGGGTGAATTAGGGCTTGTCACAAGGGAGGCGGGGGTCATAAGAGCGCTAGCATGTTGAATATGCTACGGGGAAGGGAGTCGCAGCGTCAAGCTCGGCCTCGGGGATGCCACATGGGTTCGTACGCCGGCTCTTCGTAGGTTTCTTCGCTCCGAGAATGGACTATGGCCTGGGGGTGTGGTACTGCGCGGAGGAAGGGGCTATAAATAGACAGCCCCTGCAGTGTATGTTCATCACACAGCTTCAAGTACTGTTGTTTATACAAGTACTTCAAGATCATGGAAGCATGGCCTCTCTTCTACAGCTTGACTGTCATGCCCACGACCTCCCATCGGAGTCTCTTCCAGATCTTCCGACATTCCCAAAGGCAATTCCTATTACAATTCGTGCTGTTCTGCTGTTCCACTATCACTGTCCTCGGTGGCTATCGATCTAATCCCGTATTTGTGACCATTTTCGGAGTGTTGACGGCCGTTATCACTTTTGTGTACGTTCAGCCCACCCAGTAACAAGTACATATAACCTGATTCTGATTCTTAGCGCGGCACTGGTTCAGGTCCTACGTGCAGAGAACCGCCCACCTTCTCACGATAGGGACATTGAGACTCGCCTTATAGATGATCGTCCCTCACTCCGAGTAAGAACCCTGGCAGTGGTCCAGCAAGCCCCTGCGGCAACCGACTCGGATTCTGGTGCGACCGCTCACGATCGCAACACGTCGTCTGTTCCCACAGTCCATGTAAGAACCCCAGAGAACACCACTGTTATCCACCGAGTCCCGACTGTGACCAAAGTTCAAGCGACTCGGAGCCAAGAGGTAAATCATTGTCGATGTCCTCTATCCCGATATACACTGAGATCCCACGTTAAAGCTTGTTCGCAATACTACTTATGTCCCACCGGCAGGGTGGTCATACGCACCAATGAAAGGCCCCGATAGGCCTTTTCCACAGTCGCTCCGTCATGAACAGGCGTGGGTTGGTCGTGCACAATGGGCACTCAAAGGCGGGCCATCAGCTTACTACTGTGGCTCAAATCCGAATCGGGACTCATACGCAAAACCAAGGGGGCGGTACGCGAAATAAAACTTTGCATCGCCTGGGGAAACTTCTTTGTACATGGGAATCAACCTGTATGGCCTCCGGCTACTCCAAAAGTAGAAAAATGCTCTGGTATTCTTAACCATATCAGTGAAAAATTCAGTTAGTGAGGATCCCTTCCCTACGAGGGACCGGCACTAGGTTCTTATGACCCTCGCTAATCGGATCACAGGAAGCAATCATGGATACATACGAGGCCATACTTATACGGATGAGAGTGACCCTAATTAATTCTCTATGAAATCTTACACTGGAGTACGATGATGAAAAAGAATACAACAACGAAAGACAGACTGTGACGGCCTGTAAGTCTCTGAACCCCGATATTCAGACATTCGCCATGAGCCCTATTGCATCCTTTCAACAACTACCATGAGCTCATCCGACCGCTCCGTCTGGGCTTCAATGTCCGCTTCAAGGACTGCGCTCTGCATGGTGGATTCCTGAAAACTTGAAGTGGAAGGTTGCGAAGGTTGAGAAAGTTGGGAAGCCATCTGGAAACGAAGGGTTGACACTGTCACACTTTTGTCATGTTCTTCGGTTGGGTGTGTGTGTCCTGCCGCTACTCTGCCAACAAGGAGCGTGGGTGCAACTCCCTACACAAAGTGTTTGATAAATGACGAGGAAGTCCAAGGTAGTGAACGCACCCTTGCAATGACAGCTATTACATTAAAGTAATATGTTTTAAGATCATCGTGAATGAAGAAAGCCAAGTCCAGGAGCAAAGCTATTGAATAGAGAGCAGAGGATTCCACTAGCACTTCAATGAAATGGTGATAAACTCTCAGTCGGCCACCTGCTCCACATCTAACCCCAGCAACAGTCAAAACATGGAAGATGATGACCAATGTGCACCATAGTGTCGTTGCCAGGATGAAGGACATGTAGAGTGTCATGAATACTACTGAATTTGATCCACTGAAGTACTCATGATGTACATCAATGACTTTCGACACTACACATAAAGTTGAATATATGAAAAGGATAGATGAGATCGGACACTTTATCAGTTGTGGAAATTAGGGAAAGGATTGGAAGCAGAACAATAAGCCAGCACCACCCCCAAACTGTCCAACAGCATCAAATCTAGAGTCGAAAAGGTGGTAAGCTGACATGGATAATTGCCAGTGAAGCAGCACACACAATATATGAGTCTGTGAGAATGGTACTCATAGAGGCTGTAGCACCTGTCTCCAAATAGGTTGCTTGGTTCACACCAATAAACTTCGAGTATATGGTCCAAAAACTTTGCCCATTTTCAATGAATCCAGAGCATAGAAATGACAAAGTGGCAGCAACATTGATAGTAGTCAGAGCATAGAGGAGAATAATAACAATAACCAAGACTTGTTGGATCCGCCAGCACTTGTTGATGACTGTGCCACTCATGTCAGCTTAGATGTCATAGTATAGATGCTCCTTGCTCACATATATTCCACAATGTAACAGCAAGAATGCCGGTGTGTTGGAATCCTCGGTGTTGCGCAGGGTAGACTCCTGGCTGGTAAGGCCAGTTGATATGAACTTATTATTCTATGGCTCCTACAGAGCCTGTATTTATACTACTTCACAATGTAATCTAGAATATACTACAACTTTCTACTAGTCTCGTGCTTATGCAGCAACTCTCAGCATGATGCTGGATTTCCCCTTCTAGAACTTTCCAGCAAAATCCCAACACAGTGTATATGCCTGTCATCAGTCAACACATACATGTCAAGGCACTAAACATTGTTGCACACCATGCAATAACACGAGGAAAATTTGGGAGTTCAGACTGGAATCAAGATATTGAAACACATAAGCTTTGTCTTCATCTGTAAGATTGGATGGAATATCTCCCTGAGTCATCATAAGGCAAAGTAAGAGAAATAGGGTAGTGGGTTATGAGAATAACACATACTGACCCTACCATTATAAACAGTGGAGCTCATGGCCACGCTCATTGGCTACTGCAAAGATGACCATCAGTATTAAGTTGAATCAGAATCCTTACATGCCAAATGTGTTTGGTGAATAAGTGAGCCATTGTATACATTGATAGTTAACAACTTGTAATAGAGTTGCAACTTGAAGTGAGATATTCCTGGACAAAGCCCTGTATCATAGGAAAAGTGGCGATTGCAAACTGAATTGACTTAAGCCTCTCAAAGATTGGTTCTATTGAATCATGGAGGAAGTTGCACCATGTAAGAGAATTAAAGAAACCATCCTGGTGAGAATTTAGCACAGCTGTCAGATTGATCTTGCTCTGCCATAGCATGAATCCTGATCAGATTTGACTGCAAAATTGATAGAAAAAAGGTAAGAAAGTTTTAATCGTCATGCCAGTAGCTAGGAAAGGGATTGGAAAGGGTATTGGCATCTGTAGGTTAAACCGTGATATGGCTGCAAATGATCAGAGAGAGTTTACCCTGGAAATGGTGCATCTGTAAGAAAAGCAGGGGAAGTGATTTCAACATGTACCCATAATGAGCTCGATGAAACCTGATCTCTTCCAGAGACAGTTTCCATTTCCAGTACTTGTTAAATCTTTAGAAGGTTGGGTGTTGCACAATGTATCTAAGTCAATCTATCTTTGTTTGCATCATCAGTTCTTTTTTGATCATCACTTAGAGCAGAGATAGGCAAAGTTGGTGACATGGACCAATACTGAGAGACAGTGAGAATAGACTGGTGGTACATAGCAGCAAACATCAATATTGAGGCTAATGCCAGCATGACAATGATCCCATTGATGAGAAGCAGTTCAATCAAGGTCCACAGAAGAGTAACCAAGCACCTCAAAAGGATCCTACAAGACTGGTCACATACAACTCTGCAACACAGATGATAGTGGTTGGTGCTGGTAATATTGGGATGACATCTATGCAGTGCTGGGTGCTAGCTCTCAGGGTGTGAACATACTCAGGGGAGGGTATAGGGGGTTGGTGTGACTGGGTTCACTCTTGGTGGTGGTGCATATGCATGTGATGATCTAAGTCCTAACTGAACACATTTCCAAAGGGTATTTGTGGTTGAGTGACCAGTACAGGCTTTCCATTGACAATGTGCTTGTGTACAAGCTGGTAGCACTGAATGGATCTGAAGCTTTACTTTTCACTTAAGGTACATATCTATCTCTTAGATCTCCTGTTATTAATTATTTTAATGGGACACAGCAATAACTACAGTATCATTACTTGGTTTATCCTAAGAACATTCCCACAGGATACCATTTGGGTACACCTGCCCTCGAAGTATCAGCAGAGATAACTGGTTAACTTCTCTAAGGTGGTATAGCCACATTCTATCTACATTCAGTGCAGCAGTTGTCAAGTTCTGTTCAGAAGTCATCAATCCCAAAGCCGCAATACTCAACATATATGTCTACACTAGCAGTCAGGTGTGCAATTCACATCCTCTCCCACTATTGAGTTCTCATTGAAACAGGCTTCATCTCCACTTAAATGTTCTATGATGGCATCACTCCTCCAAACAGAATCTTCAACGATTTCCTCAGCATACCTCACAACTTGTTCTTTCACTGACCTCATCAAGTTTCAACTTGACGTCTGCTTCCATTGATACTGGTGTGTTTGTCAACTTGTGGGATTACTGCTGGCTCATGAACCTGACTAGGTCTGTGTATGAGGGTATCCCTAAGCTCGAGTACTCAGAGTCTACCATCCAAAGCATCATTGATGGTCTTACTGTAAACCTCCCTTCCCCTCCTCTCCAATCCCTCTCTAACCCCTTTCCTAGTCCTGGGGCTCAACTCTTCCTAACCAGCTACACCCTTGAACCTTTCCTCCCAGGCTCTTTTGCATACCTAGGCTCACACACTCACATTGTCTTTTCCACCTGGAGTGGGTGGAGGAAGAATGCGTTTCATAATGCAGCAAAAAAGTTCTGGGCAGGGGATGGCATGTGGAGATACCCAAAATAATATGCCATCATAGATATGTTTGGTGAGGAGGGGCTGGGGAGAATGTAGGCTTTGAGGGAGAGGGTGGATCTGGAGGAAGTGATGTGATTGATGGGGTTCAAGGTGTAGTAGATGTTGGAAAATGGGGTATCAGTTTGTTCCCAGTGTCACATGCATGGTAGCAAGCCAATAATATTGTGCTTGGCTGAGCTCTGCAAACACATGAAGATCTACACTAAAGTACCTACTTTTATACTAAATGTACTTTTACTAGAACTTTCCATGCTTTTCCTAAGACTTCTACCTTAATAAGCAACTTTGACATGATGCCGGATTGCCAAATCCCAACAGTAGAGGAGATGGGAACAGCGCTGCCATCACATTCAAGTTAGCACCGATCTTGACTTGAGCACTCATGACACTTAAGATCTAATTCTCCATGTCCACAGTAAGCAGAAACAACACCCTCTCAACTCTGTGCTGTCTCTTCTCACCCATCTACTTGGCTGCTTGGGCCTTAACATCATCGGCTAAGGTGACACTCACAATTTGCCTGGATCTCACCCTCTGTGTGAGTGCAATGATGTCCAAAACAAAGTGAGGACATTATGTTTCCCTTCCAGATATTCTCCTGCATAAAATGGACAAGAGAATGAGAAAAGCTAATGTCATCATATTACTACATTTTACTAGGCATCAAGACCCAGTTGTGAAGGCTACATAAAACTAAACAGATGGAGTACCCAGTGGCATGGCAGTACATCCTTGGTCAACTCTCAGATCCATTCTTGGCCCATCCCCAACACTGGTAATGGGCTTTATGATAAATGGTGTGTGGAGTATATAACCATCTGGCAAGACTACAAGCAGCATGTATGCTTTTAATTAGAGCCCAATCCTTGAACAACACCAACATGATAAGGTATCTCTAGTACTGAAGCAGCCCAGGAAACAGTCATCAAACCAGATAATAGAGATAGATGATATCGAGGATGATGATGATGACTCAAATGAATGGAGGATTAGTCTTCATGGAGACAGACTACATTGAAAGAGAACAAGAACAAGCTTTAAAGATGCACCTAATGGAGTTGAAAGAGGATGAGAATCTGGTGGAACCACTGCCATAGAAATATCAGATTCAGAGTAATGGTTGATAACATGTGGCTGTATATAATGTAATATGTACTAGTAGTTGTATACGATGGACACCAAAGTGGAATGGATAATATAGGCTAATTGACCACCACATTAAACGTTTACTGTCCAGCAGTCCTTGATAAAATGAAAGAAAGTGTGTTGTAATTATCCTGGTGTATTCAGAGATTCATTGCTAACTGTGAAAGCTGACTTTGTGGGTTTGGCTTAAGAGCTGACTGAAGGGGGGCCTTAGAAAGGTGACAATGCATCATATCAATATGCACACTGCCTTCATTCATCCAGCCTTGACTGGGCTCCAGATATCTGCCCAGATCAAGGGGAAACTCATCACCAGGTTTGGGAGTTTTGTACATGCCAGTGTTTGTCCACAGTTGATCCCTAGAGCAAAAGTCAGAGTGAAAACTAATCAATGAAGAAACATGAAATGAACTCTTGTCAGTTGAACCATCCTTTCTGCCACTGCTTAGGCAAGATTAGGGATGGACATATAAGGTTTTGGTTCCAGCACATGGATTGTCTCGATGTCCCTGTCATGTCATGTAGACTGGCCATGCCAGCTGGGGCTTGCTGGGCCACAGTGCTGTTCACTGGAGTTCTTACTTGGACTGGGTTGACAGATGTGTTATGATTATCTAGAAGACGAGTCTTGATGTCTCTGTCATGAGAAGGTGGGCAGTTTTCTGCATGTAGAACCTGGACTAATACCATGCCACATGAAATCAGAACTTATTTAACCAGGTATCCATACTGGGCTGAACTTACACAAAAGTGATAATAGCAGTCAACACTCTGAAAACAGTCACAAATACAGGATTAGATCAATAGCCACTGAAGACAGTGACAGCAGAACAACAGAACAGCACAAACTGTCCTAACAGAAATTGACTTTCTGAACATCAAAAGATCTGGCAGAGACTCTGGGAGTTCATAGGTATGACAGTCAAACTGTAGAAGAGAGGCCATGCTTTCAGGATGAGTACTTGTGTAAACAACAGCACTTAAAGCTTCTGAAGTGCTGAAGCTGAAGCTGTGTGATGCACTCAGCAAACATGCATTGCAGGGGCTATCTATTTATAGTTGCTTTCTGAGTTGATGTGTATGGCATTTGATCCTTCCATGGCCTTATGACATCTGCCTCCCTTATGAAAAGCTCTGGTTCATCCAATAGCATGGAGGTGTGGGATCTGCTCTCAAAATGCTAAAAAGTGCTTGACTGTCAGTTGTTATGCACTAACTCGAACCTTCACCAAGGCTGATCTCTATCCTGTCACTCGCGTTTGGTGATTCAGTGTTAGAGAGGCATTGGTAGATTGCGAGAAGTTAGGCGTCACTTTATAGCAAAAGCAAGGAGCTTGTAAGAGTTAGGAGTATGTAACCTTAGCCGAAGCTGGGGTCTAAGGCTACAGCGTAGGCTAGCTTAAATACATGTTAGACTCGTACTAAGAATAGTGTCTACAAGGGCATGTGCAGCGAGAAGTGCGTCTTTCAACGAATGAGGAGGGAGGACACTAAAAGAAGTGTACTCCCGACGAATGAGAGTAAAGAGCGCATATCACCTGTACCTGCGTGGGACTCCGTCTGAATAGGCTGCATCCCGTAGACCGCCCTCGACTAGCGGTCAACTCTCATCCAACTACTAAGAAGCATGATGCCATCAAGAGAAGCGTGATGGCACATGTGGGTCACTGGTCATCTGGGAGGCGGCAGCGTGAATTGGGGTGATGGCAGCCGGTTAATCGGGTAAAGAATGTGCCAGCAGAATATCATGGGTCCAAGAGATAAGATAGGTAGGTCTGGGGTTCTGATGGATAAGGATAAGATAAGATAAGGAAAATAGGGGTAAAACCATAATAATACCCCCCGACTAAGACTGTTGTCCCGACAGTCCTTTAGACGTACTCACTCCCCCAGTCGAGGGAGTTAGTAGATTCCATATCCTATTCATAGTCCTTGTTTTGTTCCCAAGCAGACATGCCCTGTTCTTCTAAGAGGAAGCTAGGGTCAGTCTGAGTCATTAGAGGAGACATGGAATGCTCGTCTTTGAAGACGTCTTCATCTGTGTCTGATGAATAAAAGCCCTGCTCGTCGAAGGATAATGGATCGGTATGATTCCTGCTGGCCGTTGGAAAGAGTGTTGAGCTCTCGGTTGAAGAGCCAGGAGATGATATGGTTATACATCCCCCTTCATTTTCCAAGTGTCGCAAATCATGATCCCGTATGCGGTCTTCCTTGTTCTCGTATTCCCTGACGAGTTCTTCGGCATTGGCGAGATTGCTCCTCTTGACCCAAGTAGCTTCCTCCACTGGGTATCCTTTCCATTTGACCAAATATTCCATTATGGTCTTCCGGCTGTGTCCTCGACCGACGGCGCGGTCGTGGTCCTGAAGTAGTTCCTCTACTTCATATTCTTCTTCGCCCTCCACGAGTTTTGGCTCGGGTGGCGGAGGTTTTTCCTGGTTGGAAAACTCCGGGGGAACGTATGGAGTTAGGTATCGTTCATTGAACTTGTTATGGATCCTCCATCCTGGCAGCAGCTTTAGTTCGTATGCGGAGGGTCCCTTTTTGGAAATTATTTCAAAGGGACCGATGCGTTTGTCACCTAGCTTTTTCGCCGGTCGGGGGAGGTGAAGGTTGGTTGAGTCCAACCAGACTTTATCTCCTGGTTGGTACTCCTGCACAGGGTGAGTGTGTTTGTCATAAGCCTTTCTCATAACTTCGTTGGCTTTATTCAAAGAGTCTTCCACTTGTTTGCATACTCTCTGGAGGCTTTCAATGAAGTCAGTTATCGATGGTGTTTCTGACTGCCTCACTGCGGTTGGGCAAATTTCTCCATCTCGTCCGTAGACTACTTTGATGGGAGAAAAGCCCGTTGCAGAGTGTTGGCGGTTGTTGTGAGCGAATGCTGCCCACTGCAGCCATTCGCTCCAGTCGTCCTGCTTGTGGTTAACGAAGACTTGAAGGTATTTTTCGAGTTCTTGGTTAACCCACTCTGTTTGTCCATCCATCTGAGGGTGATAGGCCATTGACGGATTTCCTTGAATATTCATCATTGCATATAGCTCAGTGATGAACTTGGAGATGAATTGTGGGCCTCGATCCGAGATGACTTTGGAGGGGGTGACTCCAAATCAACAAATAATTTTGTCGCGTAGGATTTTGGCCCACCCACTTGATGAGAGTTCCTTCATGCATGGGATCAGCACGATGTATTTCGAGAATCGGTCTACAATGACTAGTACCGCATTGTAGCCCTTGGATTCTGGAAATCCGGTAATCATGTTGACCGAGATGTGTTCCCAAGGTCGAGATGGTACAGCGTTGGGATGTAGTGGAGCTGCTTTCTGCTGCATATCAGTTTTTGTCCTTTGACACGCTTCGCATCCTCGTACGTAGGTTTCCACGTCTCTTCGCATTTTAGGCCACCAGTAGTCTCTTAAGACTAATTTTTTGGTTTTTTCGATGCCTGGGTGTCCTGCAGAGACGTGATCATGGTGATGGGAGATAAGTTCTCCTTGTAGAGTATGGTCACGGGGGACATAGATTCGTCCATCATAGAATAGAAGGTGGTCCTTTTCAATGACCCCCTTCTCGTGGTTGAGGCTTGAAGCAATTCCTCGGTCCCACCGTTGGTGATTGCTTGTCGCTCTCTGAATCTTGCCATGAATTTCTTCCTCTGTTGGCATTATCAAGGCACAGAAGAATTCTGGCTTCAAGAGGACAATATCATCATTGTCCTTCTTGCCTTGATCATGGTTGGCCCACCGGCTTAGAAGGTCGGCCTTCCTATTGGACGCTCCTGGCTTGTGGTTGAGTGTGAAGTGGTATTCCGCTAACTCAGTAACCCACCGCGCTTGTCTGCAGTTGAGTTTCTGAGGTTTGCGGAAGTATTGCAGGTTTGAGTGATCTGTCCAGATTTCGAAATCTTGACGGGCACCCATAAGATAATGTCGCCACTCTTCTAAGGCGATCATTATTGCTAACAATTCCTTGTTGTAAATCTCGTAGTTCCATTCTGTCACGGAAAGGGATTTCGATAGGAATGCGATCGGGCACCATTTCCCTTCCTGTTCCTGTGACAAGATGGCCCCGATTGCTCCTTCGCTGGAGTCTGCCTCCATGCGAAACTTGTTGTAGTCATTTGGCATCGCCAAAATGACTCCTGTTGCGAATTGGCGTTTGAGTTCCTCAAATGCCTCTTGTTGTTCCTTTCCCCACATCCAAGGGTCCTTTCCTGTGAGTTTCGTCATTGGTTTGATGATTGCGCTATAGTGCCAGATAAATTGCCGGTAGAAATTGGTGAATCCTAGAAAGGATTGTAGTTCCTGCTTCTTGGAGGGTGCTGGCCAGTCCATAATACCAGCAATTTTTACTGGATCCATTTTAATGGATCCTTCACTGATAATGACCCCGAGGTACTCTGTTTCGAGTACCTTGAATTTGCACTTTTCCGCTTTCAAGAACAATTTGTTCTTGCGCAGAATCCTCAGGACTTCCCGCACGATTCTTTGGTGTTCCGCCTTGTCCTTGGTGAAGATGAGGATGTCGTCCAAATAAATGGTGACCTTTCCTTGAGCAATGAGATCTTTGAAGATATCATTCATCATCCACTGGAACGTGGCTGGCAAATTGGTTAATCCAAAGAACATGACCATGGGCTCATAGAGCCCTCGGTTCATGCAAAATGCGGCTTTGAACTTGTCCCCCTTCTTGATTCGGATGTTATTGTATCCCCAACGGACGTCCAGCTTAGTGAAATACCTCGCATCCTTTAGCTTATCCATAAGGTCAGAGATAAGCGGCAAAGGATAGTGGTTTTTGATGGTTATTTCATTAAGTTTGTGGTAGTCTTGTACAGGCCGCAATTTTCCATCCTTTTTCTTGACGAAGAAAAAGGGAGATGCCATTGGGGATTTCGAGGGTTGAATTTGGCCCGTGGCCAGGTTTTCATCAAGGAATTTGTCCAATTCCTCCTGCTCCTTTGGGTTTAAGGGATATATCTTGCAGTCTAGACTGGCATTGGCATTGGGGATAAGCTCAATGGCATGGTCCCAAGGCTTGCGAGGGGGAAGTTCGTCGAAGTTTTCCTTGGCAAAAACATCGATGAAGTCTCGGTAATGTTCGGGAACAATTTCCTCGAATGACTTCACTTTCTTTCCCTCATTGGCCTTGGCTGCTAAGTCATTGGCTTTATGCCCCACCGCTCATATGTGAAAGGCTTCTTCGAAGTCTATGATGAGGATGGTATCCCCTTCCTCGACTTCAGTTCCCCACTGCTGTTCTGGATCCTCATCTGGGAGGCGGAACGGTACCTTGCGGCAGTCGCAGCATGCCAAAGTTACTGAGCCCATGTTCCAGTCGATAAGTGGATTGTGCCTCTGTAGCCAGTCGTGTCCTAGGAAGATGGGTGTGGTTCCTAGGTCGATGACTGCTAGTTCAATACATTTGCTGTGGTCTCCAATCTTGAGTCGGACCTCAGCGAATTCGGTGATGTCGCCGCCCTTATTGCGAGTACCATCCGTGTT